AGTTAATTTTTATTATATAAAATAGATAAGGATCACTTTGAAATGTTGAATGGGAAGATTAATGTCTAAATGAATCATAATTACTTCGTTGACTTGATTACAAAGGCCAATCAAACTGTGAGATCATTGAATTAGAAATTCCAAAAGAAACAAATGAGAGATAAAATGGACAAGGAGTACTTTAACGTTTTGAATGGCAAAATCAACTTCCAAATTAATGATAAAGAATATATAGATTTGATTGCAACAAAAGCTAATTACACTGTCAGACCATTAACATTAAGGTTGAGAATGTAATAGATGAAAGCAAAAATGGATGAGGAAATTAATGTAAGTCATATGCATTCATAAGTAGATTTCCAAATTGAAACATGAGAACGTCTAGTAATAATAAAATTTAGATGACTACTATAAAAATATATTCTTTTTGCACAAAAAGCGAAAAAACAAATTCGTCAATAAGACCATGCTAAATCAAGGAGAAACAAGAAGTCCTCTAACTCAAAGGAACTTTACTCAATACTCGCCTCAAAGATAAACATAACAGTTTAATAAAACCATGTTGCCTTCTTCCCCTATAATCCAATCAAATAAGATTAAGGTATAGCAATATTAAGATTACCTTAAACTCAATCATTAAATCAGTTAACATTAAGGGTAATTTAATGTATAGATCTTGAATCTATTGGAATAAAAAGTGTAAGCTATTAGTTAAATTAGTCACATAGCCAAATAGCTGAAATAGTCATGCACTAAGTCTGGGGTCGATTCCTATGAGTAAGCATTAAAAACGATCCAAGTCCTCAAACAAAATATAAATTAAAAGGTCATAAAGGAATGTAATTCTATTTATGAAGAAAAATAGAACCATAAGTTGAACGTTCTTGAAAAAACTTATTCTGTAAATAACAATATTAATTCAAGTATTTTTTAAGGGTTATGGAGGTAATTTAACAGATGGATGATTAAATCTACTAATATATGTTGAACTACAAATCCAAAAACCCGATACATGATCACAACTCCATTCTTGAAGATATAAATTAGATGAGAGATGATGCATATAACGAAAAGGTTCGAACTTTCAGTAAATATCACGATATAGATCAGGAAAAGAAAAGGGATAGATAAAAACTCAACAAAGTTAAGGCATATTTTTGAGTTATTAATTTTTATTAAAGTAACTTCAATTAATATCAATTTAACCCAATTTAAAGAGGGTTAAAATTAACAATTAATTCTTAATAATTGAAAAATTAAGCTCTATGTTTTAATAAAAGACCTGATGACCAATATAAATATAAGGGAAATTTTAGAGTTTGCAATTATCACACTAAAGAAACGATATTCAAAGGTTCAAAGCTATATTTTGTTAACAATTTAGAGCTCCTTAGAAACAAAAAGTCTGGTTCTTTTTTTTTTTAAGTCAATAATTAAAATACTTAGGAAAAAGAATAAATCAAAATATAATTTCTATTTACTAACTCATCTAAGATATTTTAAAATGGATAATTTAAACCTGTTAAAATTTAAAGTGATATAGAAATTATGCTATGTTCGAATATTTAGAATAGAATCCACAACTAATTTATGAAAACAGCAAATATAGATTAAGATTAATGTTTCCATTTCTTAATCCAAGTTAATTGGTGTTGAGACAGTAAAATTAATAATGAGAAAGATACAAACCTGTAATCTTAATGTAAATCTTTTACAAAATGAAAACAACATATTTAACAATCAAAAAATGATAATTAATTAATAATAATTTAACGAATACAATAATATGCAAATATAAGTTCCAAAAGATGTTGTCAAACTTTAATATGATTTCTAAAATTTACTTAACAAATATCATGGCTTAGAATAGTTGTACATGAAGTAGTCAAATGAAATATTGCAATTAAAGAAATAAAATGAAAATCTAAGATGTAATGTTGAGAATTATGAATGTTAAAAATGCAAAAAGTATCAGAACTAAATAGATGAAATAAGAGAGGAAACAAAAAAAAAAATAAGCACAATTACAAGCTTAGAGAACTAATTGAAAGAAAAATAAATTAAGAATGATGAAATCTAAGCATAAGCATAAGTTGAATTACAGAATAAAGTTTTGTACTTTGAAAGTTTAAATAAAGAAGTATTAGAAAGATTGGATAGAGTAAATAAAGATAATTAATTATTTGATATCTTGCTAAGGGAGAGGGATTAAAGAATTGAATCTCTCAGTGAAGTTATTCAACAACAAGAGCTTCAAATCTAACAAGATGCAGAAAATGATAATGCTTGGAAGGAGAAGTTTATAAAAATCAATAAAGATTATCATAAATTACTCTTAGAATACAATTCAACAAAAGCTGATTTAGAGGCGTTATATGTCAGTTAAAGAAGATGAAGTGATTTCTAATGAGTTAAATTATTTACTCCATCAATATTAATTTATATTAAAATACATATATAATTTAAATCAAAACTTTCAAAAGTTTATACTTCAATAATTGCACCATAAATTAATCTATCGTAAAAAAAGGATGTGTAAATCGGAAATTGAAATTAGACGACCAAATTTATTGTTTCTCCAATTATACAATAAATATTTAATAGCCCAGAATCAATAAATATATAAATTATAATTTTATGCAAAATACTAGCCGGCCTTCCCCCCATTATACGAAATCTTCTCTGGCTAAGTATGAGTATTATGATTTAGACAATCTATTCAGCAATAAGTATAACCACAAAAGAGCTCATTTACACGATGGCTGCAAAGATTATTTTGCATCAGAGATAAGAATGAATAATAATATATTACAAATATGATGGAAGTATCCAACTTTGATGAAAGTCAATAACCTACATTGAAGATCATTTCAAAGTTTAGTTAATATGATGAATATTTTTCAATTTAAGATCCAATTAGAATAATACAAGGAAGTGATGTACTTTGAATATTTATAAGTAGTCATAATATCCGTTCGTAGTGAAATTTAATGAAAAGAAATTACTCGACATTGACGACTTATATAATCAATCACTTCCCCCATTAACTGGGTAGGTGGTTCTATTAATCACGCAAAATCCCCCTTTAGAGCTAATTCACTTTATAGAAACTTAAGCCTCTCAGTTCATCATTTATTTATAAACTCCAAATCTTGAGATTCAAGAATACATTTCAAATTCTTCAATAATAAAATAGCATTCTAAGCCGGAAATAATTATTGGAAAGGTTATTGTATATAATTAGTCTAGTTTTCTTTCAAAAAGAGTTTATCATTAATCGATCAATACATCTTTATGCCGGATTACTCCCACGAAGGTAAATAGCAAGTTGTAGAATGCATATCTTTGTTATTAAGGTTGGTACCACACGAAATTGATAAATTTACATTTCTCATTAAATTGTAAGGCAACCCAATTTAAGATATTTTTTCATTGGGGTCTAGAATGAATGAAGCATTTATATAGAGGTATGAAAGTTAATTTTGGATCAATAAGATTCTGAGATAATGTTAAAATAGAAATGGAATTGTATTAAAATAGAGAGATCAGAAAAAGACAGGCTTTGAAAAGTCACAATACATGATGCTGAGCAATAGTATTAATTCAAACAAGGGGTTCAATTTAACAGTTGAAAATACCGAGTTTATTATTAATTTAACAAAGTATCAACAAGGGAGTGGGATTGTCCATGTTTTTTAATGTAAGATTTTTCAAAAAGGAGTGGAGAGTAGGAATACTAATCATGTTGACTAAGCAAAATTATTTTGCTCCTTAATATTCTTAATTAAAGAGTTGAAGGGATTTAGTCAATATGATTAAGAGGATTTTATCAATTTAATGAAAATAACTTCGTAGTCTTCATTTTTATCATGCTGTTTCTGCATTAATTTGATGAAGCAAGAAGACTTGAAAGAATTAAGTTAAGTAAAGATGCATTACAAGAGATACTTGGAAATTCTGATTTGCAGTGGAATCATAACAAATGAACAAGATAGTTACGTATTGTAATCCATTTTCAATAAATGTTTGAATTGTCCAATCTATGATATTTCTATACCGAAAAGTGAACACTTGGGCTCTGGAGACAACTTTTCATAGCAAATAATATAGGCAGAAGAAGCAGGAGAGAAGATGTATTCAATGGATTACGATTATGCATTATCTTAGAAATCTTATCAAATAGTTCTTGGACTATAGTAGGATTTAAATTATAGTGAATTGTAAATTGAACCACAAAAACGATTCCCTTATTAGGCAACAACATCTATATAAAATTCGTTCAATGAATGAAAATTATATCTGTATATTTTATGGGATTTGCTATAAACTCAATATATATTATGAGTATTATGGTTTAATTTTTAAATAAAAAAATAACAAAGATTTTAATTAATGAAGGGTTAAGCTGATTAAAAGAAGGAAGCAACAAAAACAGTCAAGAAAGTTAAGACAACCAACAAAAGCGCACCAGTGAGGTAGAGTTCAAATACTAAATGTAGATTATGGGTTAAGGCTGCATTCACAGGTTTCAGAAGATCAAAGGTTTAATAAAATGAGAATTAAGCATTGCTCAAAATTCAACATGTGGAAGATGTTGCTTCAAGCAGATTCTATTGGGGAAAGAGAGTTGCATACATTTATAAGGCCCATTCACTTAAGAACAACACAAAATTCAGAGTATGAAATTGATTTAATTCAGACAATTTGGGGTCGTATTAGTAGATCACACGGATCAAACGGAGTTGTGATTGCTCGTTTTGGCAGAAATCTCCCACCAAGAGCTATTGGATCAACCCTTAGAGTATTCCTCTATCCCAACAGAGCTTGAAAATACACACATACAATACAAAATAATACATTAATCAATTTTAATTATTTCAATATATATATATATATTAAATAAGCCAAAACCCAAAGGCTTCTAATTGCTATTAAAACATTCTGAATTTTTTCATTAATTTTAATCCTTATTAATAATCAAGAGTTTGAAATATAATATTATGAATATTTTCTTATTATTTTTTTATGGGGCCATTCTACCTGTGTAATCAAATGATACTCTAATCAATGTTTAAGCTATTTGGAGACACGGAGCAAGAGACTTTTATTATTGCAATTGGGGATGTGATAAAAATAATGAACCTGATGGTGATTCCTAAATTCTTACTCCTGCAGGCATGAGACAATAATATGTTTTGGGAAAATGGCTAAGATAAAGATACATAATTGATAATCACCTTCTGTCTCCCTAATTTAATGAGAATGAAATTTATATAGAAAGCACCGACTACAATAGGTACAAAATATATCAATTTGAGAACTATTATGAGTGCTTATAGCAACTTATAAGGAATGTATCCAGAAGGCTCTGAACTTCCAAATGTAACTGAAGATAAGCTGTTGCCTCCTAATTCTGGTAGTAAATCTCCTTCTATAGGAAATTATGCTCTACCTAATAAAATTTAACTCATACCAATTCATACAAAAGAAGAGGAATAGGACTATGCCTTAGCAATTTATTGTAAAACTACAGGGTCAACAGTTAAATAGAACAAATAAACCGAGCTGTATCATACAATCAACTCTGCGAATTAAACCTAAGAACTATTCCAAAAATTCAATTCAGAATTAGGTCTTGTTGGAGAATAATAAGTAAATGATATAATCGAATTGGCTAAATGGAGAGACACTTTTACATGCAATAGATATAATGGTGATTAGTTGCCTCCAAAATTAGCAGCAAAAACTCTGTTTTTTATGGACGAGATTGCATTACTATCCTTTAGTTTGAGATAGTTTCAAAATTGGGAATAATCGAAATTGTATTCGACCCCATATCTATAATAAGTTATTGAAAACTTTGATAATTTTATTAATGGGAAATCCAAAGTTAAATACCGAGGTTCTTCTTCTCATGATTCTACGATGCTAGGTATTATTTCTGGTTTAAATTTGACAAGCGCTTAATGTTAAGCTGATATTTATTTAAAAAAAGAACAATCAGACATCTTCTGTTTAACTGAAGTATCTTAATTAATATTTTAGAATATAGAATTCTCATCTAATCTAATAATCGAGCTCTACAACAATACCATTAATGGATTATATGTTAGAATACTTTATAATGGGGAATATGTACCAGTGTGTTCTAAGTAAGGAACCTTTTGCTAATATGATAAATTTAAATCAATCCTCAGGTAGCAATTTGTGGATTACGAAAAAGAATGCAATTTGAGCAAGGAGATTCAAAGACCAGTAAGAATACATAATAGAATTTATAAGGTCGTTTACAAGATTCCTCTTTGGGTCATACTATTTTTTGTATTAGTGTTACTCTGTACTTGCGGGATTTTTCTATTGGTTTTCAAGTTAAAGTAAATGAAAGATCCAGATGTTTCGGATTCTACTATTTCCTAATGATTGTCAAATATTTTATTTGTTATAACAATATTATAATAATTAACTTATTTAAAGAAAGATAAAGTCAAGAGTTAAGTTTTGAAAAATTATATACAATACGCAATTACTCTTAATCATTTTTATTTTCTACTATTTTACTTTAGTCTTTTGTGCAATCTTGCTAGTTTTCCCAATCTTTTTGTTTTCTTCTTCTTGATTCCTTTTTTTAAATTATTTATTGGTTTTGATTTTTACTCAATCTCCTATATCTCATCTTTATCTATTTCATCGACTGGTTTTTTTTTCATGGCCTTTCGAATTTCTTCAATTATTTTTTCATGTTTTTGCTAATTTGATTTCTTTGCTGTAAGGAGAGTTTAAATTTTCTTGCCTTATTAGTTCAATTCCTTCTCTTCCACATTTTTAATGTGAACTGCCGATTTAACTATAGGATTAACTATAACTTCGCCTATTTTCTGAAATAAAAATTCCTAATCAATTCTGGTGAATTGGATATTTTAATTGCCATTTTTAAATTTATTTAAATTGTTTAATGCAAATTCAAAGAAAGCCTTTTCTCTCTGGATATCATCGTTGTAATCTATATTTTACACATTTCCATTGACGATAATAAAGGGGTCTGTTTGTTAACTCTATAATAATTTGATCTTATTGTTAAATTTGTATTCAATGCCTTCTGGCACTGCCCCTTAATTTTTTATCATTATTTAAAATATTATAAAACATATTTGATAAATGAACTAAAAGAACAAACAAACTTCATTTCTTTTACTTCTTAACTGGCTTAACATCAGATTCGTCATCTTCATCTTCCTCATCTTCATCAAATTAGTCATCTTCATCATCATCTCCGTCTTTAGCTCCTAATTCATCGTATTCATCGCCTTCTTCTTCATCACTCTAATCAATAATGAGATATTAGTATTACGGAAAATTAAATTTCTTATCCTTCCTTATCCTTGTTATCCAACACTGATAATGATGGGAGGAGCTCGAAAATTTTATTGAAGTATCCAGGAAGTTGTGTAATTGGATTGTCAGCCAAATCCAACTGTTGTAATTACTTAAGTTATTTCAAGGGCTCCACATCCTATTAATTAATGGGGATATCTTACTTCAAATGTTTTAATATTATTATCTGCAAGACTTAAACATGCTAATTTCTTGAAATTTTTGCTGATGTAAGTTATAGCTTAACCATCTAATTGATTTGCCTCCAAAATTAGATTTTCCAAATTATTCAATTTTGGGAATCCCTCCAAGTTTTTGAGTTGGCATTCGACAAGACTCAAACTCACTAGATTCTAATGTTATTGAATAAGATTTGCTGATTGAGAATCAAATTGACCAATTGCGATTCCCTCAATATCTAAATCTTCCAATTCTCCATTCTAAGCTTCTTATTGTGCAGTTATTTCTTTTTTTATTGATTCAAGAGTGGCAGCCATTTATTAAAATATTTATTAATAAAGTCATTTAATTCGCTTTGAAGTTAAATAATTAGAATCTTTATAATCCGTATTTGTGGCTTATAATATTTGTATATATTTTATTAAATATTGGGGAACTTAAAAGTAGAGTTTATTTTCTATAAAAATGGATGGCGCACTCGATAAAGACTACTAATAATTTAATACAATTCACGAATCCAAAATTATTTAGTTTGAATCATTGTTATTGATAATAAATAATTGTATATTATTATTATTAAATCTATCTTATAAATTCTACAATTTAGGGGAATACTTTGATAAGATTAAAATTTTAGATTCCAATTTAAATAAATCAATTTTAATTCAATTAATTACATTCTCATTCAGAATTAACTTATTATATATATAATTTCTTACAACTCTAACCACATCCTCCTCCCCCAAAAGAAGACATTATTATACATATATTATATATGAATTATTTAATTTAAGGAATCACCCTCAATTGAAATCAAACCTCTCCATCATTATTACACTTTAAAATACTCAGACAATAAATCCATATTTTCATCCACAACATCTGGTTCTTATGTGTTATTAAAAAATGGCTTAAATATATAAAAAGCTATTACATGTCTCAGAGCCTCCTGGCAAGAAATTCTATTGGCTGGATTCAATTACAATAATTTCTAATTAATTATTGCCAATCATAATACCTTCAACAAATCCAAACCATCCTAAGTCATCTATGTGTTTTAGAATTATTAATCCAGCCTCCGTTCCAATTCTTCTTAAAATTAAGAATTCTATATATTACTCATTATAAGATACAGATAAAACTTAAACATCATCCTACTTCGACGATATACTCTCACATATCAACTTCATCTACTGAATCTCGCTGTCTCCAGCAAATAAAGGGGCATTAAGGACCATTTGAGCAAATATGCACCCAATAGACCAGACATCGATTGCTGTTGTGTAACAACAAGGCTTGAGTAACAACTCTGGTGGTCTGTACCAAAGTGTTATCACTTCATAGGTGTAGGATCCAGGTACTTACTGAAAGGATCTAGCCATTCCGAAATCACCAATTTTAACTTTGCCTGAGAAATGAATTTCAACAATACAATACCATCTTTGCTTATCAATATGTTCTGGGGCTTTAAGTCTCTGTGCATGCACTTCTTTCTATGGCACTCATTCATCCCTTTTAAGATCCCGTGTAAAATTTCCTATTTATGATAACTTCACAAAATTACCTAAATCTTTTACATATCCAATACATTTGACTTCAAATAGGCATCCAAGTCAACATCATAGAATTCCATCACCAATCTGATGCATTCCTAAACATATTCAATTTCAATCAATCTTATTTCAATTTAATTATTACTTCACAATATTTTCACATTACACTGTTTATAATATTGATGTTTCTCTCAAAGCTACTTAGGATATCCCCTAATCTTGTGACTAAATATAATTTATATCGACAACCTGCTTCTTTATCTTCTTTATAGCAACAATCTTCCCTGTCGAAGTATTTATGGCTTTATAGACATCTCCATAAACGCCAGATCCAACCTTCCCTAACAATTAATATTTAGAGATCTGTGACATTACGAAAAAATAAATATTTCAAAAAGCTTATTATTATTTTTACAATTATTTGTTATTTTTATTCAAAAGTTAAACCAGGTTTATAAAATAGATAATTGTACTCCTTTTTTCAAAGATCATTATTATAACAAACTTCATCAAATATAACTTTAAGCATTCTTAGTTATCAGGAGTTTTATTGCCAGTCCTATTTAATATGAGTTTTTGAGAATTGTAATTTAATGATTTGTAAGTATAAATAATCAACACAATCCAAAAAGCATATATCGATAAAATCTGTCTAGTATTCATTTCAATTTAACTATTAAATAATAGTAATTGTATAACTTTTATAAACGTGGATTTGAACTTTTTGAAGTTGTGATCAAATAGAATTCCCATCTGAAAAAACAAATATAAAATTTTATTTGATAGTAACACTCATGCAAGATATAATAAAATACAATCAGTCTAATTTTAATTTTTTTGATTCTTCTTTTAATTATTCCTGATTCTACAGTTCCTCTGCTTTGATTTATTTTTACTAACTTTGTTAGGATTCAAATTTCTCCGACCATGCACCTGTCATTGCTTTCACTAATTCTGGAGAGCGTAAAATGTCTATCAATTCAAAATACAATAAGTTTTCTCTTAAATTATAAATATTTTAATATACTTTCCATAATTCTCTAGCTATCTTGCTACAGATACAGCCTAACATATTGATAATAAGTCATCTGGTTAAAGCATTTATGTAAACTCTAACATAAATACTTGAGAGGAGAACGTGCTTCTGATGCATTTTGCAATGAGAAGAATTATGGTAGTGTAAATTGTGATAACACTTAATCCATTTGTTAGGACTGAGAATTTATCACACACTACAAAATACAATAGTCCATCAGCCAACGTAATGTTTGATTAATTGGAAGATAAACTGCTATTTCCAGCATACTGAAATTCCCAATTAGACACTCCTTAAAGAGGGTTTTTATTTCCATAGGAACAGTTAATGTTAAGGAATACATTCTAGGCTGTTTGAAGATTACTTTTATAAATTGGAGTAGTATTGTAACTTGTTTAAGAATTTTAATAAATCCTAAGGGCTTCAATGTAGAAATTAGGGAGCAAGATTCCTGTGTTATCACAACTCTTGGCAGCTTACTTGATGTATTTCAGTACATCCCTTCCCAATCCTACTGTGCCATTGATTCCATTTATCAAAGGGTTGTAGGGATATGAAAATCTGTATAAGGTAGGGAAATTAAATTAAAATCGTCTACGAAATATAAAAGTTACATTAAACATGAAATTGAAGTCCTCCTCAAAGGATAAAGTCTGATCCAATTCTCTAATCAATTAATTATACAGTGGAAGTGAGACTTGCCATTTTTAATTCGAAAAGTCTGATAATTAAAATCTTTAGATTCCCCCTGCATTATCTATTTATTATTTAGTTATATCCAGTTTGGTTAGAGCTTTGATTTCCGACTTATCTTTTATTATGGGCAAATCTAATCCAAACAATTGACTGGATTGATAAAGTTCAACATTTAAGTTTGTGTCAACATTTACTAAATTAATAGTGAAGGTTCCACTAACAATTGGATTGTCTTATGCAGCAGGGTTAAGAGCAGAGAACAAAATTAAGGGACCAAAAATGCAAATTAGGATAAAAATAACAAAGAAAAAGAAAATGATTTTGCTTATCTTTGATATTTCTAATCCTAATTGTCTTTTCATTATCCTTTGGGAATTTATTTTTGTAAAATATAATTATCTTTGGATGTCCTCTAGAGTAAACCATTAATAAATATCAAGTGATGTATATAAGCAAGTCCAATCCATCAATACCTTTAAATCATATAAAAATGGAATTGAATAGAACGTTAGTGCAAAGTAATAGCTAAGTGAATTATAGATATACAAAAATTGGTTTCTTACTTTCAATTCTCGATATCCATATCTAAGTTAAAGGGCAGATAAGTAAAAGTAAGCACAAAACAAAAGAAAATATATTACAATAGAAGTATTGTATTCTGTATAATTGTCAATGTTTCTGTTCCAAAGTTGCAACAAATAACAATAGACAAAACAGAATACCAACGTTAGAATCACTACTTGTAATATGTACTTTTAAACAAACTAAGTTTTGTACTTGTTTTTATAGACTGCTTTTTCTTGATTTTTAATATATTTTTAATCTCCTCTTAGTTCAATATATCTCTCAACCATCATAAACAACATTTAAAACACCAATGCCAATACTAATTGAGCAGGTACTTAATTATATTTTAAGTAACCTTAAATATTTTGGGATTCTCCAGTCATGAAATTGAAAAAGAATAGCATATACAAAAATAGGATTACTTAAATGGAAGCGATAGATAAATAAAGATCTATTCCTGGTCTTGCATATTCATAAGACATTATCTTCTCAAAAAATCCTGGTTTATATCTATCACTTAAGATTTCAGGATTGGCTGCAATCTTCCTTTCTAAATCATTGCCTATTTTCAACATCACACTCTCAGGTTCCTTCTCCAACCCTGAATTCTCCAATTACAATTTTTCTTATAATTAATTTTCTAACTCTATTCTCTCTATTTCTGGATTGTCTATTCTACCTACTTCCGACTTAGATCTCGATCTCTGTATCTCTGATTCTTACACTATCTCTTCCACCATATCCTTATTGAAATTGTTCAGTTTCAATCTGATATACCCTTGAAAGATATTTTCTATCTAGGTGAAAGGGTAATCGAAGATGCCAAATGACTTCTGCAAGAACACTTAGAATGTAATCAACCAAATTGTAAATATTTCATAGAACAATCCCAAAGTGTTACTATTATCTAATACGTAATACCATGGAATATACTATATAGGTTCAATTGGCTTACTGTATGAGACTCCATACATTGAGTCTACAAATATCATTACAATAATGAAAAAGTATAATGAATATGAGATAACCCAAAATACCTTAGTATTTGCATCTATTAATCCCCATACGAACATGACTATTGGCAAGACCATTCCCAGAAGCGCATAGTTTTTGAAATAGTAACAAATAATTATGATGTTGGTTATAGTGTCCCATTTCATCAAACAATATTTGAATATATCTTGCAGAAACAAACTAAATAAATGCATCGTTTTCATTTATATCAATTTATTGATTGGATAGTTTTATTTTGTTTATTCCAAGACTATTCGCTCCTTCTCATCTATGATATGAATAAATCTAAGTTCCTTGCTTAAGTTATAATTCGTTTAATATTAGTTCACGTATTTATTATATTATTAACCCTTATATGGTTTATACAATTTCTTGTACTTGCTCATTGCTTTCTAAATAATCTTGTCTAAAGCAGCATCATTTAATTTATCTTTATTTTTACAAATCTCCTGATAAAATCTTCTATATATTTTTTCAAGGCTTCTCATCTCATCTTCATAGGATGTAGTATCGTTCATCAGATGATTCTCTATTTTGATGAATACATGTCTCTGCAGTCTTTTATTTTATTAAAGAATATAATCCATCAAAATATGAAAGGGCATAAACTTTATTTGTTGATTATCGTTTCTCATCCAAATTATCATTTTGATGTAGATCTTCCTAAAGAATGATTAGTCTTAAGGAATTTAAACCTCTGGCTCTGTCATAAAACTAGCTGTCAATTAAGGATACTATTAGATATTAATCGATTTTTCTTTTTAGATTGATTAGATCTATATTTCCCTTAATCTTTTCTTCCAAATCATCACCTTCCTTTCTATTGTGTCTGTAATCTAGTTTAGTAGGTTCTTCTCTTCTTGCAATTTTAATATTTTCTTATATTGTTGGTAGTTGTAATTGTAGGCAAGACCTCTTGATATCATCCTAGATCTTAATTTCAATTTGGATTAGTAATTATCCTATGTGCTTTTCACATGGTTGGATAATTATAAATCAAAATACAATGAGATGAAGAAGATTAAGAAGATCTGTCCATCGATTTTTAAATGAAAGGCCTCCATACAATAAAACTCTAATCCATTCCCAACATCAGTTCGTACTGTCGGAGCATTCACACATTATTCTAAGAAGGTTGGGACTTTCAATAAGGTAAATAGGGCAATTATGATGGCAGATAATGTAAAAATTGCCTGATAAAACGCTTTAAGTTTTATTCTTTGAGAAAAAGCATACGGCCATCTGAAATGGAATTCTGCAGCATATAAAAATCCAATCACTATAAGTAATTACAACAGATTAAAAATTGATCTATTCATTTCACATAACCACAAGACGAATCCAAAGAGAATCAAATGATAATTCATAGTGATAGTCTGAATCAACACATGTCTGAAACTATAATTCTTTTATCTCCATAGATTATAAGCTATAATGATTTGACTATCACTGTGATTACTGAGTACCTTTTTGCAAACTATAAATTCGTTCTTCATTTTGATAGATTGCTTATAAATTTGATTACAAAACCACTCCAACATTATAAAATATAAATAAATAAAGGATACAATGAGACAATTGAATACAATGACAATATTCAGCAATTCATTAGTCTCACATTTCATATCTTAAAATGCACTTTATTTGAGTTAATCACAATCCATAATTTCTGTGCTTTCAAACCCTAAAAAGGCCAACCAATAATCAGATAAATCTGTTTTAGCCATTACATTAAAATCATCAGGAGTTAAATCTAAATTGTTCAATTTAGGCACATCATTTATTGAAGGAGTCCAATTTAATAGATATAGGAAATATTAAAACAGGATGGAGAATATTGCTACAGAATTTAACATTTTAGTATTTTTGACGGTAGCACTCATTTAAAATAATATTACAGATATTATTAGGTAGACTAATGAAAATATAGTATTAACGAGTAGAGTATTTGACAAGTAGAGTAAAACTAGGAATCTTTGGAATATCTTAAACAATGATTCATGAAGTAAAATCTTTACAAATCTACTTTTATTTTTAAAGTAATTCAAAATTAATACTTCTCTGTCAAATGAATTATATTCCCTATGACTTTTGACAAAAACGACAAAATCGTATTTTTAATCAAATAATTCTTTACTTTCTTCATAAGACTGATTTTACATCCTTGATTCCTCTATTTTAGTCATTTCTTATATTTCTTATAGATTTTCTATTTTTTTTGTTAAGTCGTCTTCTAATATCTTTGTACAAGCAGTATCAATCACATTAACAAACAATAGAAACAAATAAAACCACGAAACTTACCACATATTTGATTCAGTTTGAACATAATTATTCTCATTGCAATCATTATTATTTGATTCGTAACCACAATAACACTAATTTGTAATTATGTATTATCTTGAATATGTTCCAAAAATGAAAAAGCTAAGCACTGTATAATCAACCCATAAAGGAGGGTTTACAATTACTGTAAATGATTCAGTTGATAGAAATTAAGAGAAGTATGAAAGTAAGATACAAAGGGCTGTGAAGTAGAATGAATACAACCAAATTTTTCTTTTGAGTTTGATTCTCGTGGTTAGGCGCAACAATTTGAATTGATCATTCAATCTTTTAATGTTCTTGGGTTCATCAATGTGGGATATGTCTGAAGCAAACTCAAGGTACAACTATTTCAGAAGATAAATTTCTAAATCTATATAATGTTTTACATTTTTGTAGTTTTGATAAGCTTTATTACTCATCGAGAATATCTAATATAGTATTGTGAACTCGATAAAAATAACTTAAATATAATGACAATAATATGAATGCTGCTACCGATCTCAGATAAAGTACACAAGATATCACAATGTATATTGTAATTATATCAGTATTAATATGAGCTATTCCAATCAAAATTGACTTAAGCCACTTCTGTTAATCTAAGATTCTTAAATCCAGAACATTTTATGAATTCGATTCAGTCAAATTTTAATTTTGTTATTTCATTTACAATTTCTTGAATTTTGACAATTAATTCAATGCAAAGGCACCAAACAAAATGTTTAAAGTGTCTGCCAAATACTCGATTCTTAAATTATCCGTAGAATAGGCATATAGACCAACTTCCTAATAATACAGTTAGAGGTTCTCATAAAATGTTTAAAATCCTTCTGATTTATCCTTTAAGTCTGGTACACAACTAAACTAATAAATTTTATGATAATTTACAAAAATGAAAAGAGATATCTATATGTAAAAGCAAGCAGCAATAATTGCATGTATATATACCACAATAATCTTAGTTTAATGTAATTAATTTAAGAATTTATTGATTTAACATGATATATGAAAACAATTCCTATATATAATAATAATACATTATTTAGATAACTATAAGGAGTGAACAACAAGAAGCATATATTAATTACATATGCTGTCCATATCAATGAATGGCCATATAAGGTTTCTATAATTCCAAAATAATATCTAAAATTAGGGGTACTTTATTTCACACTCTCAACTTATGAGATGGTGGCGATTAATCTCTAAAATATGATGATCGTGTTACATTTGAATATTGATCGTACAAAGTAGTATTAAATCCGTAATATTATATGATGGTTAGATAAAATAATAGCCAATTCAATACTAATTAGTGATTTAGCATGTTAAGTCCTAAAACTTAAACAACAAAATAATTTGAATAAACTCCAAACAAAGTGTATAAATATTTTATGAAAGTGAGGACACTCATGTAAACCAAAAGAATTATCCAATATTTTTATTGAAAAGGTACTTTCTTCCCTTTGTATTCACATTTAGTGGATTAATTAACAATGAATATTATCAAAAGGAAAATCATGATAAACTAAATTATATTAATTTCATTGAAGCCAACCCAATATAACAATATTATGACCATAAAAAAGCCGATTCTGAAATAAAATGCCAAAAAAATGTTAAACCATTAAGCCCTTCCTTCATTTTCTTTGGGTAATATTTGTATTTATTTTTCTCTTTCCTCCTGCTCCTCTATTTATTTGATGAACAAAAAAAATAGACACAATGTGCAATTCATCAAAATTGAATTAACAACTGAACTTTCCTAATAAAAGAATCCAAGTTTTTAACATACTGTTGTTGGTAAGTCATCTACACCTTTGTATTAACTGGAAGGACAAAATTAATAGAAATTATCAGGTCTATCTAATCCAGTTATATTGCTGTAATAGAAAGTAAAAAAATTGATCAATAATGAAGGAATATTACAAAATATTGTAGCCAGTCGAATTATTTTAAAGTTTAATGTAAACCCTGTTAAAATAAGCCAACATACTAATAAAATTGAAAAATATGTCTATTGGAGTATGACTATACTTAAAGACAATATTTGTAAAATAATCAAAGAAATCAATGGTTTATCTATGGTAGTTTTTATAATTTCCAATTAATCATACCAAGCTTTCTCAATTTTATGAAAATAGGTTGCAGAAGATTCATATTGATTTTGAAAGATTCTATCGATTTTAGGACTTTCCTTTGATTCACGCTGCTCCTACTCCTCAACATCTTCATCTGAGATCTCTTTACTTTCCTCAAAATCAATCTCTTTAGAATCTTCTTCCTATTAACTAAAGTCCCCACTTTTTCTTTTCCCTTGGGGGGAATCATTGATATCTACTGAAATGTTACCCATCTAAATTTTAATGAATTCTTAAAACTATTTAAAATCCTTATATTATTAGGAGATCTCCTATACAGTGTAATGAAATTGATTTTTGACATTCTGTGTTTTTATCTTTTCACTTACCAAGCAGAGCATATTGAGTACAATAATTGAGAAGATAATGAATAGGATGGCTTGGGATTCATAATTTGAAAAGTAGCCAAATAATTAGAACCCAGTAAATTATAAAGTGAAGGATGCTGCTCTGCTATTTTAAAGGATGACCTTCTATATTGGTGTGCTGATGAAATACATAACAACTAATATTACCATAATTACTATCTTCAAAATAATAAAATATTGTTTATCTACTAAATGATTGTTATACATTCTCAACAGCAACACCAATTAAAACCCCCACATGATGAGACCTATTAAAGATTTGGTACAGCAAGTTAGAATAATCAAACTAAGTAACATTATCAGCTAAATATTAATTGCCAATTGTTTACAATAAAAAATTTGGTCAAAATTGGACTATCTGATAACTCATAGAATTCTTATTTCAATTCGACATTTCTGAAAATTAAAATAATGATTGCCAAAGCTAACATTATGCAGTTTGGTGCAAATGCTAAACCCTGTTCAGATGAAGACACCATGATTTTGCCGTTTGTCAGTGTGAAATAGACTTCCAGTCCTCTGAAGTTTTCAATTGACATCATTGCATAACCCTTACTATATTAATTTAAATTACTCCATTTTTAGCTATAGGGTATAATGTGAGCTTAACAACCAAAGAGATTGCGGAAACCATAGCAAAAACATACCAAATGATCTTCTTAAAATCATTCAGAACCAACCAATATTGAGTTATAAAGTTATTTTCAGATTGCTCCTGGTTCTAGTTTGTATTATGAAACTATTCTTGTTATGCAGCGAATTCTGCTAATGGATAAAGTCTCCCATCTTTAACCTAAACTCCTTTATAGCTACTAATATAGGAGTAATTTAAAATTAGGAGTAAACAGATCAAATAAATGGTTGAGTAATAAGACTGTATTAATATGCAATAAATTAATAATCCAAGCATTCCAATGATGTCTAAAGCTTAAATAATCTTCCTGTATTTTTTTGGTTTAATAGCAAATTCAGAAATTGGTTTTTCAGGAGAATCCTCTTTTTCATTTTTTGAATTTGAATCTCTTTGTAAATCAGAATTATCACTTTCTGATGGTAATTGTGAGTTGCTTTTTCCACTTGGAGTGGGTATTTCAATTTCTCCCATTGACGATCCTGAATTATACATTTAATAAACTATTAATATTTTTTAAACAAAATATAGAATGGTTAATCTCATAGTTTTTTCTAAGAAGTCTATAACCATTCTTCCTCAGACATTTTAAATATGTATAAGTTGTTGGCCTCTCTATCTAGGAAAGTATAAACGAAAGTAATTTACATATGATTTCAGGCTCTGGTAATTCATTTGGATTTGTCACATTAAATTCATCCTTGAATAGCATAGGATCGTAATGTTAAATCTTTGAAATTAAGTCTGGTCGTTCTATTTTAATATAAACTTGAATTATACATAGTTGTAGGAATGCTGTTTGTAGATAACCCCAAATGTGCTTAGCTTATGGATTAATCATAAGGGCGCTTAAATACAATCTTGCAGCATCCAAATATTCTCCCTTGTAAGAATAGGCAAATGCCAAATTGACCCACACTCTCACATAATTAGGTCTAAGATCCAATGCTCTATGATAGCAAAACATGGCTTAATCTGCTTCGCCAAGATGTGCAAGGGTGGCTCCTAATTTGTTCCAAATCTAATAATTCTTAGGTTCAATTTGAAGTGCCTTCTTAAAGATCTCAACTGATTTTTAATAGTTTCTTTCAATGAAATAAAGTACAGCCAATCCATTCAACAATTCGACATCATTAGGTCCTTGTTAATGAGCTGCTTCAAATACTTGAATCATTCTTGCATTCATGCATTTTATTTAATCTAAAGTATAATCATAGATATTTGTGTTGTCAGGCACAATGCTATCATCAACAGGAACCTTATAATTAGGATTTCTGATTAACCATTATTTTAAAAAGGACATTGCTTTGACTTCATCCAAAATGTTTGTGCAAGAGATACCTAAGGCACTCAAAGTATCTAATTCATTTGGATTTTATTTCATAGCATTCAAGAAGGCAGCCACTGCTCTTTAATCTTGATCATTTTCTTGATGTAATCTACCCAGGATTCTCCAAGCATTAGAATCTGTTGGATTCTTTTAAATGTGAGCTTCCAAAGCAAGAATTGCTTCTGTATTCTAACCTTGATGCACTAAATTCAATGCTGCTTATAGAGGAAAATCCATAGCCAAATACTTGTTATTTTCTTAAAATCTATAAGTATCGTTAGAATCTTTATAGAGTTCAAATTCCTATAAATCTGATGCTGCTTACCAGGCTTCAGAGAACATTTTATCAAAGTCTGTTCCTGTATCCATTTCTTTAAGTATTTTTTAATAGGTATCTTCAAGCTTCTTTTAAAATTGATCTTCATTTTATAATTCACTTTCATATTTTTCTAATTTTTCATCCCACATTTTAGAGAACTTCTCTTCAACTTCTGTTAGATCTGATTGTTTTTATTCAACATTCTTTGTGGCCTAATCCCATCCTTCTTCCAATGTTTAGATTCTCTCCAAAGCTGATTATTCTACTTTATCACCCTTCTATGTGAGCAATTCATTGCCCACCAATTTTAGATTTCCATTCTAGATATCCTTCATAAATCTCAAAAATTTAGACTATTGAAATCTAGGATCAGGATCCTTTTCTAGAGCTTAGACCAAGTCATCGGCAAACCTCTAAGATTTTTCACTCTAAGCTTGGAGATCCTCTGCATTTTCATAGGCTTCCTAAAATAAGTATTCTTAAGCCATTTGATCTGCTTGATATTAGATTTCTGCTTGTTGCCATTAAAAATCCATCATCATTTATTACTGTATCATTGCTTACTCATATTTCCTTTGCTCCTCTACAAACATCTTTTCCATCATAAATCTTTATTCCACATTAGCTTAATCATATTGTTTGGCCATGGTGTCCCATTATTAATTCATGCTCTCAAGCAATCTTTAACGCTCTTGTAACTTCTATTGGACCATAGGATCTTATTGAACATTAATCTATTATTAAATTTATCTAAGATTCTTATATTGAAGATATACTATTGTTATGTTTAGCCAAACAGCATTCTATCCATAAATTGCTTGAATGGATTTTAACTCATCTGTTAAGTTCCATCAGCAGTGCAAGCTCCACCTGTATAAATATTTCTTAAGGCCATTATTAATTAAATGTTAAATAATTTATTTGAGTCATTATGTGTAACAAGTGCTTTGGAGATCAGGTCGAATCTTTATTTCTGCTCTCCTCCCTTTATATACATCAACGAATAGAAATACTAATTCAATGCAAAGACCATATACTTGCTGGACAACGTCATTGTAATTTATACGATCGATAATGGCATCAAATTTGTTAATTAAGACTTGGAAGTGCTATCCTCCTACACTCTTCCTCAAATACCACTGGCCATATATCCTTATAAGGATTTCATAGTGCTGGACTACCAATACGAATATTAGATCTGTAAAATCGATGAGATTGAGAATCTAGTAAAGAAAAACAAAATAGTGAGTTTTGCGCCAAATCCCACCAATCAATTAACATATGTGATCAAACAAAAATTGATGGAATGCAATGTTGTCTACTCTCATAAATTTATGGATATAGAAATGGGTGTTGAACAGATCTACTGCATATCCAAAACCTAACCCCACTTCCTCTACCAAAGCATTGTATTTCCCCAACTAACAATCATCGACCTGAATAGATGCGAAGAATTGTACCACATCGAATTCGGATCTTAAATCGAATAGATATTCTTGTATCACAACACCTTCTTACTTCAGAGTGAGAACAAATTGTTCTAAATGCAAAATCAAGAAATTGTAGAATTCAATTCAAGCATCTAATTCAGAGTAAGTTGTGTGGTTGAATTCAACAATCAAACCTTCTTTGGATCCATAAACGATAATTCCATCCTTGTTAAGGATAATTAGATTATTAAGGAGTTCTATAATTTGGGCTAAATAGTAGATATACATCCCTGTAATCAAATATGTTTCATTGCAAGTTACAATAAGAAATACCCAGTAAGTCTATTCAGAAAAGGCATTAATGAAAATGTCTTAGAAAGATACAAATTAACAAATGAATTGAGACCAAGAAAGATCTTCTACGTAAATCCATCCTTGATGATGCTTAGCTTCTCTTAGTCCTCTGAAATCTACACCATCCCTCAATTCATTATTGCAGACATCAAAGTGATCAAGAATTAAAAGACTCTATTAATCCATTAACTTTCCAGTATGATGTTGCTACAAATTACAGTTAATAAAGTGATATTCCTGCAATCATATGAGAATATTACATATCAAGAAGAGTTTTATTAGAAGATAAAGGATTGCAGGTTAGATTTAGCTAATAAAGCCTTATATCTCTACTTAGGCAATAATGAATTAAGATTGTACACGGTTAACGATTCCAATATTACATTGATATCTTAATAGGTAATCAATCGACTTAGTGCATTCTAAATCATAAATAAGAAACTTCACTATAGCACTTGGTTTTAATTTGAATTACATAATTTTAATGATTAATAACATTATTCAATCAATAATATCAACAGTACGATTGTATCTATTGAATAAACTCAGAATTTCATTTTATTGGGTTTGATAGATGGTAACTTGGTCACTTTAGCCTCTGACTCATACAGAGTTCACAAAATATTTTAAATTAGCAACACGCATCCAATTAAATTGATGAAGTTTAACAATAAAGTGATAATATTTTCACATCATATCTACATGATTGACAATTAACTTTAATAAATTATTGTGAATTGGGATCATCTCTATGATATCAGTTTCCAAAATGATAAACTTATTGGGATTGTTTAAAATGAAATCCAAATGGTTACTTTGAGTTAGGGATCCAGTTCATAATGCAGAGAATTAAAATTCATTAAGAACTTAGAGATTAAAAACTTGAGATTCTTTAAGGATCATTTGATAGTTTTGACAACTTAGAATCTATTGTTGAGTTACTTCGATGATCAATTAAAAACTCAATCTCAGTAACAATTTTAAATAGAAAAAATGGAATAATATAATAACATATACTTGGCAGGATTCACAGAATCTTAATAAGGAAAAATCAACATTGTAAATGAATAGCTATAATTAATTTATAATTATACTTATTCAGAACCAATCTATGATCTCAAACTCCATTAAAATGTTATCTTTTTTTCAACTGAAACTGCCATTCATTCAAATGACGGATAATTTGTACACAATTTCAATGTTCCATTAAAGGGATTTGACATCAAGGATAAATACTTCTTAATATATGAGAATTTCAAAGTATTTGTTTAAAACTATAATTTAAGGGAGCCCATTTATTTTATTATGACGAAAAGATGATAGCCCTAGGAAGTTTGAATTGTCCTTGTCAATATGCTTCCTTTTATTACGACGATATAATTTGTTTCTCTGAAAATGATGTTAAAATTGCAAAGTTGAATTTGCTTACATTCACTATTAGTGAACAGATGGAAGTTGCTATATCAAACCCCATTGAAGTCACTTGTGTAAAGGATAGGTATTATGGAACTCTATATGGTGTATTAGGATATTATGAATGAATTATAATCATATTGTTTTTATTTTTAGATTCAAAATTTTAATTTAAAATTATGTATTAGGAAGACACCCTTAACATAAATCAAATTCAATTTAATCAACTTCTATTGGAGGCTCACAGTCAATTTTAACTAAGAGATATGAATCAGGCAATTAGATTATATGAGGAAGCTTTGAATTGCCAAGAGGCTGGAAGAGGTAAAATCAAATATAAATTACAAGATATTGATAGAATGGCTATAATCCTTGCTAATTTGGGCATAATTTATTTTCATAATTGCGATTATAAATAAGCAACTGAAAAGCTAATTTAAGCATTCACAATGCTGGATAGAAAGAATGATTTCAAATGTGCATTACTAATTAAGATTTTAGTAAATTTAAATTTGATATCAATTCTAGGGAAATTTAGCAATTATCAAGTTAATAACAACAGAATTTTAAGAATGCAAAGATTATAATGACTAAGCAATTCAATTAATTTTATCAGCGTATAAGTTAATAATATTTTAGTTAACCCCCATTGTAATATCAGCTTTTCAAAGAGCTCATGTACATATATTATAGGTTTTAATCATTTGAAGCTATGGGAGATGGCAATTTTGAAAATCTAGAATAAAAGTGTACTGAAATTTATATAATACTAATGTAGATGATGGATAGAGTTTAGCATGCTTTTATTCTTCAATGGGATTGAATCGTGAACTATGTGGAGACATGGCCCTTGCCTTTAGGTATCATCAGAAGGCTCTAAAATTATGGTATGAACTTAAGGAAAATGGGTTTATTGTAATTACATTAAGAAGAATCTTAACAATAGCACAAAATGAAAGAATGGATTGTAAGGATTATGTGTAATAATTATAAAAATGTATGTAATCTCCTGAATTAAGGGGAATCAGCCCAGAAATTTTGTTTAAGGATTGTGAAAAAAAGTTATAATGTGCTAGAGAAGTATATATTTATTACATTTTTCATTTAGATAACCACATCATTGCAAAAATTGGAATAATAATTGAATTATCAAAAGAATTAGTAATTATTGTCATAGCCGTTAACGGTTAAATAACAAGATGAATTTTGGAAACTTGCCCTCAAATTAAGACTCAAGAGAGCTATCCAATATTGCTATCATCAAATGTCATAATAGGAAGTTGAAAATGCATCTTTACTATCATAATCTATTGCGTAACTCGAACATTCTTTGAAGTTATTGGACTAGCAATAACCATATGAAAACTATTTATAAAATTTACCATTTACAAAGGAATCAGTCAATATTATCAAATCTCATTTATTAAAATTCAATCGAATCTGCTTGAAAATATAATTACAACCCTTTCTCAACTATCTTTATTAGTTAAAACAAGATGATGATTAAGGACAATAGCATTTTTAATAGTAGCAATTTAATTCAAAATTTTAGTCTAATTAACCATACAATTAGTAAATTTAAAATTCAAATTATTAAACTTAACAATAACCACAGTCTTTATCTAATAGATAAAAGTAACTTGATTCTATAAATTCATAATACAACTCTTAACAAAGTTAGGCTAATAATGATTACTAAAATTAATTGAATGTTTAATCCTATCACTCAACAAATGATTAATAAAACTATATGGTAAGAGGTTAAAATCCAGTCTAATATTAAAATAATCAATATTAATAATTTAATAACCCTACGCAGAGCAATTATCCACAAAATAACCAAATTGAACAACAAGATTTCAAATAGTAGAAGTAATAAACAATGTATGCAAATAATTATGAGTAGCAGTAATTAAAAAATAGTGGGTAATTTGGATCATAAATTATGGGTGTTACTGGAAATAATCAATCGAAAGTTAATAATCCCTAATAATAATAATTTTATTAGTCATAGTAATAGTAATAATAGTAATAATAATAATCGTAATATTAATAATAATAAGCAAATCTAAAATTCTCAAAATCTTAATAGAATCCTTAACAAGTAAGATAAGGTTAAAATATGACAGTTTCTCTAACAAAGTCATAAAAATTAAAAAATGTAAGTCTTCTTAACGCTGCCTATAGAACCGTCATGTTGGGAGATTAACTTACTAAATGCAACAAGTCTTCAAATGGAAGAATAGAAAGATTTTTCATTCTAGCTAATGATGGAACTTTTAGATGGGCTCAAAATAATAAACATATTAATGACCCAAAGTCTGTAAACTCCTATCTGGTTTCCGATATAAGAGGTTTATTGTATGGAAAAGTAACAGATGTTCTTAGAAAATCATACAATGACAAATTAGAACCTTGGTTATGCTTTTCTTTGGTAATGAAAACTAGATCAATGGACTTTTACGCCCAACCTTTATAAGTATTAATTTTCATTCCTACTTTAGATTAACTCTTGGGTCTTTGCAATGTCTGAAGAAATAAAAAGAAGAAATCCTTCTGCATTTGTGATTACCCCAGGGAAGATGTTATGGAGAAAAATAAAGATTATCTTACACTGGTATTTTGTGGATAAAAAAAAAGAAAAAGGAGGGAATAAAAAAAAGATTTAGCGCGAAATTAGATTTGCTAAACTATTGGTTTTATATGCAAATAATCTATAGAGATTACCTTAAATATAATGATTATTTCATAGTTTTATAATACAATTTTATTTATTGACATAATAAATACTAAGATCATAGATAAAAAATTATTTTTGAGTTGATGGTTACATCGCAATTATATTGATATTTCAGAAAGTTGAAATATTTGCATAGATATAATTGAAATCAATATGCTAACAAATGATTAAGAAATCAGATCAAACATCAATGATTTTACAATTAAATAATTGATTAAAATCAATTCAGAGTTATAAGGTAAATTTAATTTAACAATTTAATAAAAATTTATTATCATCTTTGTAAACTTAATCCTTAAAAATAGGATTGATAACTTAAATCTTCTGCTTCAAAAACAGAATTTCTTCGTATTTCTTTTTTACTTTTTGCTCTAAATAAAATTAAGGTTAGAATTATTGGCAAAAAATATGTAGATAGTTTTACTAATGCATGTATCAAAGCATTCAGTGAATCTGAGAAATTATAACCTTCATCTCCAAAATGACCAATTATTCTACAATCAGACGAAATCATATATAAGAAATTAACTATCAGCAAAATTATTGATCCAAACAGGCTTATATAACACAAGATTCTTAATAATTGTAAAATTCAATACTTTAACTAAAAAAAATGAGATTTTTATTGCTTGGTTTATTATTCATTTATTAGAAGATTTTAAATATTTTACTAAAATCTTTTGTTTAATTTTTAGACAACTGCTAAAAAACCTATTTATGTTAATAAGCTGACAGATCTGAATACTGTAAATGAAATTTCTAATCTAATTTTAGATATTTAAACTTACATTTACACATCACTTACTTAGATCTTGCTTCAATTACAGACATAATAAAAGTTGTAATATCTAGGGTTATGAGAACTCCAAAGATAATTAGAATTATATTAAGATTTCTTCTTTAAGTTGACCCTACAACTAATTTTTTTCCAAAATAGTATATTAAGCACGCTTAATATACTTAAAAAGCCAATTCCTCAAGAAAATAAAATGTTCTATGAATTCTTTACAAATTATATATAAAATAAACTAATATTACTAATATCTTACAAATGAGAGAAAGTATAATTAGTATTAATATTTTCGTCGAAATTCTCTATAATTTTCTGCATTGTTTCCTAAAAATCAGAACAATAGTAATTGACAGACAAATCAAACTCATTATTTCTAAGATCCAAGCTCTACAATAATTAATAAGCATTCTGATATTACAAACAACATTCAAGAACTAAAAAATCACTGAAACATTCTATTGCTCCTTTCATTGTTGAAAATTCCTTTTAAATTAATTCCTTTTTAAAACAATATATATTTATTTTATATGCAATAATGTCATATTATGATAAGTTGTAACTTCATTCTATAAGCTTTTGCCCATCTTAGATCTCTTGGTAACTAAGTTAAATTATATGCTTAATGGATTTTTCAAGACATTTAGAAAAATTCACAAGGTTGTAATGAGATAACACAATTTAATTGAATTATTTTTCAATTTTAATGATCAAAACATCAAGCTTGTTTGATAAATTATGTTTATGAAAAAAGATATGGCTTCATGGATTTGCATTCATCGGAAGCTTTGCCTAAGAATGATATTCTCCATATATCAAAGCTTTCATAAACGATAAAAGTCAAATGAAGATGATTACATTTTAAAACACTATTAGAATAAGGAAACTATCTTTAGTCAAAATTGATAGATATTATGCATCTCCTGATAAGCACTTCTTACACAATTTCATAACTCAACATAACGAAGCTTAAAAGTGTGCATAAAATCTACTTTCCAGGCAAATTAGAATATAAATATATAGTGATAAATCAGAATCTGAAGATCTATTCATCTGCTTGTTGTGCCTAAGGCAAAAACATCTATAAGGACATAGCTTAACAGTTCTTAGAGGATTATTCGCAACTTAAATCGATAATGCATTTGGATAGTTTAGTTTTGGAAAATGTGTATAGCTTCCTACAGCAACAGCGAATTTTAACATAGTTACAGGAAACCTATGAAAAAATAATCATGATTACATGAAAACAGCAGAAATTGAGATTGAAGAACAAAAGTCTTCCTCAAGGCAACCATATTTGATCAATATAAGATAATATGCACTGAAGCTAGAGGTCTTTTTTGAGGTTACTTGGGAATGATAATACTATAGATTAAATTAAGTTAGCGATTCTTATTTGTGAAAAACTTATTACATTAATATTAATTCAAATTAGTTACTGATTCTTTGTTAAATCATTAATAGTGTGTATATTTGAATAAAAAAAGGTTAAATTATTAATAATATTAAAAATGAATATTTAATAATTGATTGACTTATTTACTTAGAGATATAATGGACTTCAGCCACAGTTTTTAGTTAAAGCCCCAGGAAGAGTTAATGTAATCTAATCATAAATGCTAGTTAATTGGTGAGCACATCGATTATATGGGATATGGAGTATTACCATTTGCTTTAGAACAATCTTGTTTTATGCTATTTGCCATAGATGGAAATGACATACAGATTTAGCATGCTGATGAACAATAGTTTAAACAATTCAATCTTTCAGTGAATCCCAAGGAACAATACAATGAAATCTAAAACTATATTAAATATGTACTTGCTGGATATAGGGCAGGGATTTAATATGGTAATGCAAATTAAGGAATCAAGATATTGATTAGTGGCAATGTCCCATTTTCTTCAGGATTATCCTCATCTTCATCCTTGGTGGTGGCATCCTCTTTAATGAGTTTATAAGTTAGCGGAAAAACTTAATAAGATATTGATAGACATTAGTTTGTTGATTAAATTATTAAATTTGAAAGAGAAGCAGGCACAGCTTGTGGAGGGATGGATTAGACTATATCAGTTTTTGGACAAGAGGGATCTGCATTATATATTGAATTTGACCCATTAAGATTAACTTAAGTCAACCTACCAAAAGGATATTCATTCATCATTGCTAATTCATTGACAGAATCAACTAAGTTAGAAACACTTGGAAAGCATTACAATAAAAGAGTAGTTGAATGTAGAATTGGAATTAAATTGATAGAATTGACTTTAAATCTTGAAACAAATTTTAAAACTTTGAAATAATTATAGGATTATTTACAATTATCACTTGATTCTATGGAAGAACTTTGTAAATTTATTCCAAAAGGAGAGATAGATTTAGAACAATTGGAATATTTGCATTTACCTGTGCTTTTAGCGGATATTCCTTACTTTGAATTAGTATTAAATTAGAATAAAAGTGTAAATCCTTACAATAGATTGGCTCATGTGGTAAAGGAAGCTCAAAGAGTGATTAAATTCAAAAATATATGCGACTCTAAGATATCAGATGATGCTAAGGCAATTTTATTAGGTTAACTGATGAATCAAAGTTAAAAATCTTGCAAAGAATTATATGAGTGTTCATCGGAGAACATTGATAAATTAACAAGTTTGTGTATTAAAAATGGAGCTTTGGGAAGTAGATTAACTGGAGCAGGATGGGGAGGATGTACAGTTAGTTTAGTCAAAGAGGCAGAAGCAAAGAATTTCAAAAACAAAGTATGTTTTATTATTAATACTAGATTATTGAGTTCTTCTATAATCACATTGAAAACTAAGATCATATTTTTTCAACTCAACCATCTTAAGGTGCCTCCATCATTAAACTATGATTGTAATTATTCAAAGCATATAATATTTGATTTTAATTTTGAATATGAGGCTTATTTTGCAAGTAGGTTTCTTTTCAATTCTCCCAATTTATATGAGAAGAATGCCACTGCTTTTACTTTTTATTACTAAATTCTATTTAATTATATTATAATTTCGTACCTATAACTACATTCTTTTAATGTCTATTTCTCAATCATCTAAATTATTAATAAATCAACTTAAAATTTCTCATTACTAAATTTTAGTAGATCTTGATTAGAAAAATAAAATATTGTCAATATAAAATTGAGAACAATTTAGATGAATTTCATTTTATTATATTTTTGAATAACTACTGACTATTTAGATTGTTAATTCCAAGACATTTCTTTTTGGCAGAGTGTATTAGTTTGGTAAACATCAATTTAAATAATAAATAATATTGTAAATCCATTTTTATTGATATTATATTATATCAATTATATTCGATTCAAAATCTAAGGCGTTGTATGAAACTTTTAGTTTCCATATCAAATCTGGTTTCAAAAATATCGATACATTCAACAATAATTTCTAATTAAGCATTTCTATTTTTTATTCATTAAATTTACCTTTATTCAGTTTATTGTCTATGTGCTCTTTCAGTATCGCTGCAAGTTTAATCCCAATCTGCCTATTCAGTAGATTTATTGAAAATAATCTTAAATTAAAAATAATAATTACGGAATCTTGAATTGAGATGTCATTCTTGATTTCTAATATTTTTTATCCAATTCTCTCATTAGCTGCATTTAAATCAGCCACACTGCCAGACAATCTTCGATTAGCCAAAAGTAATCTCTCTTTTTAAGTTAAAAAGTCTAATTCTCTTGCATCATCTGCTCTCATTTCTTCCTTTTGAACCTAAAAGATACTGTCAACAAGAGTATCTATGATTTTAACAACCTTTTATGCTGCATTTTCTTGAGTATTTTCTTCTTATAAAACAGTCAAGAGCACATTGACCATACTATGGAAACCCTTCTTATTTGGGAAATATTTTAAAAAGTTTTGATGATGATTCTTAAGTTCAGCAAAACTATTCTTTTTCAAAGCCCCAATTCCTTAAGATAAGATTTTCTTTGCTTCTTAAAGGGCAGAGACTAATCCTACCAATTCATCTCTTCTTTACTCAAATTCTGACTAATGTAATTTTTTAATTAATTACTCTTTAAACATTTCTAGCTTCTTATAATACAGAGATTCTATCCAAGTTTCTCTATTCCTCTCCTTACTTATCAAATAGTTATTGTTTCTTATCATTTTATTCTTATTAAAGTAGGGGTAGTCTTTCTTCTGATGTAGCTTTACGTTCCTTAGCAACAGTTAATACAGCAACTGCAGCACTTGAGGCATCTTAACATGTTTTCAATTGTCCAGTTATTTCCTCATCTTCAACTCTTTATTCATTGTTTAGATCATCTTTCATTTATTTCAAGAGATGAACAACTGTGTCAGCTGGATGTTCCTGAGATAATTACACTTAAAGTGTTTAGATGATGGTCTTTCCAAAATCACTATTTCTTAATTAAGCGAAAAAGCCTTCATCTCTAGCAAATGTGGCTCCAATCAAAAAAACCAATAAAATGATCTTCATTTAATTAAAATATTCAAAAACGAATACACATTACTCATATCATAGATATTGATGACTCTTTCCTAGGCTATTGTATCTCTTATCCTTCTGATTCATCCACTTCAGATGGCTCCTCTGAATCGACCTCCTCTTCATCCATTTAATCTTCATCTTCTTATCCATCTTCTCCTTCCTCTTAGTAATCTTCTTCGTCATCAGCATTCTCCTAGAAATTAGGCTATAAATTATAATCTTCATTATAATACCATCAGTAAATCTGAAGGAAGGGTCTTTTGAACTTTTGAAGGACTAACACTCAAATCAATCTTGCTATTTTAAGACAATAACACTGATATGCTTCTGGCTGCCTTTTCAAGAGTCTGTATGGTTTTGTTGTCAGCCACAACAGCACTTTTAGTTTTAGACAAAGTCAAGGATTTCTTAGCTGAAATTTATTGTTAGAAATTCATTTGTAATTACTACAGCTAACCTGTTAGATTTGCCAATTATTGTTTCAATTTCCTATTTTTATCCACAGCCTCCTCATTTTCTGCTTCCAAAATTAAACTTTACTTTTTAACCTTATAATTCTCAGATTCTAAGTTCTTGATTTTCTCTCTTAATTGCTTAATCTTTTGTTCAAGTGATTTCTATTAATATAAAATTATCTATTACGTTATTGTTCTCTAAAATCTACTAAAATTTGTCAGAACTCTGAGGAGAATCTGATACTAATTTCAAATTCCTTATAAATTTACACAACTAAAAGGTGTTGATTGTCAAAGCATAATCTGGAATTGTAGGATGAACACACAATACTAAAGAAATTTGCAATTATGGCCATCTTAGAATCTATGTCAATTCTTTTCCTTTGTCCTTCATTGCTAGAGATTCATTTAAGCCTTCTTCTGCATTTTAAAACTACTTTTAATTCAAATTTGAATTTGATGTAAAAACAATGAACTTCTTAACTTGAGTTTCTTTGTTAAATTATAATACTGTTTCAATGTAGAGTTTTCTTATTTTCACATATTTCTTACTATTATCCTTTATGGTCATTTTAAGTTTGTTGAGTATTATTAACCTCAATTTTGATATTGATAATTCAATTTCTCTTACTTTGCTTTCATTATCTCTTTTACTTTACTCTTTGTTGAGAATTATTTCACTATCGCTTGGATGCTTAGGCTAGCCATTAAAGAACTCTTCATAGACAATCTTTACTGTTAATTGTTTGTAATCTTCATTTTATTAAAAGATTTCAAATTGTTATTTTATTTGACTTATTAAGGTATCTAGATATTAGATTAGGAAATGCTTTTTATTTGTTCTTGATGCCCCATATATCAAACACAATTAATTCGATAGCAGAAGTCCTTTACCCTAATGTATACTGTGTTATCTATCCAATTATTGAAGCGAGTATTAGAGATCTTGACTTATGACATCAAAATGATAGGTGTCGAAGTATGATTGTTCTAATCCTGATTTAAGCTATTTGATTACTTTAACATTTTCGTATTTTCCTTTTATAATGTCTACAAAAGGAGATTTGAAATTTTAAGAACCTTTAATAAATAGCAAACTTGCCACATCTTTGGGATGATCTTTAGTAGACTTAAGAATAGCACTGGGGTTTAATTGCTTTTATGGTGTGCTATACTAAACAATTGATTTATCAAGTTTGGATGGTGATGAAATCCTTTGACGTAGTTGTCTAATTTCATTCTTCAATTTCACATTTTCTTATTATAAATTTGACAGTGTTTTATCATAATATTTCACTTGATTGTTTTGAATCTATTTAAGTAGATTTTTATTGTCTTTTTGCAATTATTTTATTTGTTGTGATTATTCTTTGCTATTATTCTGTAAAGACTAAAATGCATCAATAGTAATTCCTAATTATTAGAATTAAGAGAATTAAGAAATTTGGTTTTGCAAATCAAAATTTTATTGCTACAAATATTCAATATTCTTTTCTTGGTATTAGATTTGCTCCTCTAAACTCTTGAATTACATCATTTAATTTGTTAAATAAATTTAATTTATTTCTCATTCAAATAAAAATATTATATATTTCTCGTATTAACAAGTTAACCGAACTTAATATTACATTATAAATTGCAATTGTAGATTAGTCCTTTTGCGAACAAAAGAATAAACAAAAATTTATATCATATTGTATTAGAAAAAATAATTTTGGAAATAAATAATTTACAATAAATATTTGTTTTAGTAGTTAATTGGGGTTTTATTCTAAAATAAGCTTCTCATAGAATTTGTATAAATTTATTGTTAAGAATTCTAGATTTAAAGGATCAAATATTATAATGATTCTGTGTAGTTTACAGAATGCAACAAGAATAGAATGAATTGATGAATCAATACGAAGAACTTAGATTATTAAAATTAAAGAAAAATAGCAATTTATAAGTGTTGTAATGAAATAAATCGTAAATAAATTTATTTTAGAAAATATCATTTTAATATGCTCCTTTCTACATCGAAACTTGCAACATCAAAATTATCCAGATCATAATTATCAAGTCCCCAAAGGTCGACGGTCAATTATCTAAGCCAAGACTTGGATTCACCATCGAGACAAAGAATCAAGTTATTATCTGATAAATGGAATCACATTCAGAATGGAATTGACAAGGATAAATTGGAGAAGAGAGAAGTATTAGAGGAGAGAATTAAAATCATTGAAGACGTGTTGTCATAGGAAAAACCAAAGGATGAGTAGAGATTTAAAATACTTAAAGATTAAGTGCTTAAATTGTAAGATCATGCACATAATTAAAAATCTGAAAGAGAGGTACTCCTATTATTGTAATATAGGCATTTGACGATAAAAAGGAGAAAGATTTTAGAATATTATCAGACAATGTTGCACTTTCATTTGAGCAAGAGAAAAATGCTAGAGGATAAGCAGAAACAAAGTTATAAAAGCAAATAGATGAAAGATTTGCTTAAATTACATTAACAATCACTAGAAACACCCATCAATATGAAGATAGAAGTTAAGCGAAAATAGCTGAAGTCTTATAGCAAATCTCAGTAGTAAAAAACTAATTAGATCAAGAAAGATAATCAAGGTATTTTAATTAAATAATATTAAATTAGAGAAGAGTCAGCTGAATCTTTATCTGAACAGATTGATTCTGAAATTAATAAGTTTTCTGATTAATTACTTATAGAAAAGAAGGTTAGAGAAGAAACTTAGGGAAAGATATTTAGAATGATCGAGGATGTTCACGGTAAATTGCAATAAGACATCAATTATGAAAGAAGAGAGAGGGAGGCCACAACTGAAGCTTTGTTAAAACTGTTGGAAGATGCATGCATCAAAATAGATAAAAATTTTAGATCATTCTGATTTATCATTAATAATATATATATTAATTAATTTTTAGTATACAATAATTCTTTTTTAAACTTGGGCTAATATAAAGGAAAACATTATTGATATTTAAATTAATTTTAATATAAAAATACATTTTAATAAATGAACAAAGATCAACTTATTAAATGGATATCAAATGTGATTAAAACAAAAATAATGAAGAAAGAAGATTAAACTATTTATGAACTAGAAGCTAAAATTGGAAAATTTAAGGGCTAAAATGTCCATTCCAATAAATATTTACAATCAATCAAAGGGATGGAATAATTGGATAAAAATAATTCAAAATACTAGTTTGAATCTAAGATAAATTTAAAGCAATATAATAATGCTTATGAATATTTAAAATAAAAGGAAAACTAAGTTGTCATTTAAAGATTAGACTTTTCATTAAACAAACAACAAAGGAACTCATTTCAAATCATCAATAACTAAATATCTGCAGTATTGATTGAAAAGCAAAAGAATTTATAAGAAAACATTGATATAATAAATGATAAAATTCATTTCAGAATATCTCTAAATTAGGAAAAAACTCTATCAAAGAGCTTAAAAGATATCATTGCTCAAATGCCTTCAAGAAAATAACATGCAAACTTTATAAGATTGAAGCAAACCTTATTTATTAAAGAAAACCATCTAGAATTTGCACTTTCTAAAGTTTCTTCAATCGTCAAATATGATCCCGAATTTTAAAAGATTCTTGATGAAATTTCTTCATCAAAATGCATTAATATTCAAAATAAATTAGAATAGATCTTTAAAGATTAGAATCTGACTGATTATGAATTTGAAATTGAAGTAGCATAAATAAAAGATTTTAATGATGAGTAAATTGAGTAATTATCAAAAGATCTCTTAAACTAAATAGATGTATTTTGGGGCATATTAAATTTCAACCAAATTGAGGATGAATAAAAACCTGAAAAGAAAGTCAGATTGAATCAAAATGAATGATTAATATTGTAATTATTGAGTTTGTTTTATTAAATTATATAAATAATTAATGAGCATATAAACCACACTTTAAAGTACTTAAGAAGAATTAACAAAATTGCAATCACTTATATAGGAACTCTCAGAAAAAGGCAATCTTGATGAAATAACAGAGGGAATGAGTCACAAAGATTAAATTGAACTTAATCTCAACTTAGCTTATACTCTGTCTTCACTCTATTATTGTAATATGTACTATAATTATTTAGCTTATTTAAAATTAAACTAAGTCGAAACCTCTGCTCACCCTATTATGAATGAGTTATCTAGAATATAGGAGGCTTACCAAAAATATTTGCCTTCATAAATCAAACAACCAGATTAGAAATAAATGAGTCTGGATAGAGATGCTGCAAAGAGATTTATACAACCAAATTTAAAGAGCTTAGATGATAACCAAAATTATTAACAAAAACAAAAAAAATTAATTGAAGAAGATAAAAATAATACAACTAGGCTTGAATAACCTGTAGATATATGGAAGAATGAAAAGGATTAGTAGGATCAAAATAAACAAAAATTAATTAGAGGAAATCTCATCCCCTAAACAGGTCATTTGAATTGGAAAAATCAGATTGAGAAATTAATGAAAAAATGACATGAATGTATTTATTTTAAATATTAAATTAATTCTAAAGTATAATAATTCAATTCAAGTATATACATCACCTTAAAAAATTACAAAAATTATCAGATAATACATCATAGGAAAGGTAATTCGGTTTTTATTCTGATAAAAATAATTTAGATGTACTTCAATCAAAAATTCAAAGTAAATCAAAATTAGGTAACCATTTAGAATAATTTCGCCATATAACTTAATTATATTAAATGAGTAAACTAATTTTTATCATTTATTTAATGCATAATTTATAGAGAAGATGATTAATATCATAAATTGAATTAATGATCCTAAAGATATAAGTTAAATTTTACTCATAATAATTTCTAATATGAAATTCTACTCAGTAAAAGGAAATAATATAAGTATAATTAATATCCATATAAAAATTGAGAAGAGAACTCTTAGATATTTTATTTCTTAAAATCTCAATGCCAAATTTAAAATATGAGGTTTCATCTCTCTTATAATAATTGAATAATTAATATTAAATAGTCAAGTAATTTTAAGCAGTAAAACCTTGTTTTATTCTCATTAATAATTTTTCTTATTGTTCAGAACTATTCTAATCAATCTGTTATTACATATTATAAAATGATAATTTTATATGTCATTATTTGCCACTTGGCCCTGGTACGCAATTTAAAATATGAATCTTATCCCAAGTGTCACATGTCTCAGACTTCCATTGTTTTAAGCATTTACCCTAAAATTTATTGTAGTTGTTCATACTGATCTGCAACAGACTTATGTTTCAAATCCACAAACTACACCTCCGGCACTTTGACATCTATTTGTGCAATCTAAACTCCAAGGGGCAAATTAATATTCGTATCTTAAATTGCTTTATGCATTCAACTAGCTGCAAATAACTAAACCCAATAGCAAAATGAAAACGCAAAATCTCATTATTATTAATAATAAAAACGATATTATAATTTTTGCATAATTTATGACTTCAGAAGGTGTGGATAAAGGAAATGATAGTTGAATTTAAAGAGAGATATTATAAGAAAAATTAGCTTCAAGGTTAGAGTCAATTAAAAAAATGTAGATCTTTTTGTGTTAGGCATGAACTTTTAAATCTAAAATCTAATTTGTTAAATTATGTTTAGAAATGTAAGTATTGGTTATTTAAGAACAATATCATATAATTAATTCCAGACAATCTATTTAATTATTTATTCTATATAATGCACATATCCATCAATAAAGAATCAATAATATGAATTAAATTTATCCAATAATTAAAAAGATGACATTATATGGAAGTATAAAGGTTTTCTTAATAAATTAACAAAAAGGTTTCTAATTTATATATTAAAAATATTATTTTTTATTGTAATTCTATTATGGATTAAAATTAAGTAGAAAGATACTCAGTAACCTTAACAAATGGTAACACGTAGATTTTTGACTGTTAATCAATTCGCCTCAAATAATAGATTTCAAAGGTTGATTCTACCATCCCTTTTGAGTTTATGATGCTTGTAAATGATAAAATCAATTATGTTTTTTAATGTAGCTTAGATTTGACTAAATCATTTGTGAAAATACATCAAACCAATGAATTATATAATCTGAAGTTACTTGACATGCAACAAGTCTATAATGAAAATTTGAAATTAAAAGCTAGGAATAGACAAGTTCAAGATGAAATAATAGAATTTAAAAGGAAGAATGAGGAGATAACCAATGAATCTTTAGAGTTTATGAAACAAACTTAAGAGCAATAAAATTAAATAAGTTAAAAAAACAATAAGATAAGAGAGTTGGAAGAAATTTTAGAATAAACTTCTCAAAATGGAATGAATGTTCAAAAATCATTGGATTCAAATTTATAATAGAAAAATAATTAAATAAAATAAAAGGATGGAGAAATCTAAGCATTGCAGCAAGAAGTCTCAAATTTAAAAGTCAAAATTTAAAGTCTTACTAAGTAATTTTTGGAAAAGGAGGATGAATATAAACAAAAAATTTAATCTGTTGAATAATCAGAAAATGAATTACGTGATAATCTTATAAAAAGTGTAAATTAAGTTTAGGAACTTTAAAATTATGCAACTAATCAATATCATTAATTTTGTACTCTAAAATAAGAATACGAGAACCTTTATTAATAGGTGGTACCATATTATTAGGCCTATCCTGAATTGAATCAAGCAAAAGAAGAATTAGATAATTAGTTAGTAGAAAAGGATAAAAAGATAAGCTAATTATAAAGGGATATTACAAGATTGAAAAAAGAGCTAGAGACTGCTTAAGAGCAATAGGATTTAACAAAGACAGAATTAGAAACATAAACAAAAACATCTAAAAATTAATATAATAAACTCACTATTGAGATAACTGAATTAAGAAACTAAATTACAAATTTGAATAATTAAATTCAATAATAAGACTAAGAGATTCAAGAAAGAGAAAAGAAAATCAGAGATCTTAAGAAGTAGTAATAAAATATAAAAGATCCAGAAAATGAAGGAATTCAATAGAATGCTTTTATTAAAATATCAACAGGTTAGCCAATACCAGAGTACTTATAAAAGAAGAAATGAATTAAATTTGCAATGATTATTATAAATAATTGATAATTATATATAGAATTGTATTTTTAACAATAGATATTAAATATATGAAATTGTGTTGTTTTTCTAAATTTATTTGGTTAATAAGTATGTAACTGAAAAGGATATGAAAGATCTATAAAAATTTATTATAGAAAATAATCAATACATCTTAATCAGATTGATATGATTATTGAAATAGTTTGTAAATAAAAATAAGAAAAAAATTACTTTTAATTGAATTAAAGATGGGTTCCTCAGAATTTTAATTTTAATTATGTAAAGTAAAATTTTATATCAAGGAAACAATCTACTTGAATCTCTTGGAAACAAACTTACATTTCTGATATTTTTTAAATCAAAGTATAAATATAGAAATCTTTCTAAACCAAATGCACATCCTCCATGAGGATAGGATCCATATCTTTAAATATAGAATTATATTTTACCTAAATGAATCAACGTAGCCTTTTAATATTTGAGTATCTTGCCCTATAACTTTTAATTAATTAATTAAATATTCTGGATCATGAATTCTTTAATGGCCTGATGCGATTTCTTCTCCTCTCAAAACGAATTTATAAGATAAAGTAAAATTAGGATCCATTTTACATGGCATAATATAGAAAGGTTAATTTTCTCTTGGTAATTCATACAAAATGAAAACGTCAGTTCCATATTTCTCTTTTACTAATTTTCCTAATTACATTTAATTTGCAATGTCAAAATAATATGAAGGACTTTAAACAGTCCCAATTTCTTGAAGTAATTTTATTGCATCACAATACTTTAATTTGATAATAGGGTAGCAAATCCTAATAGGTTCAAACTAAAACTACTATGCAATGATTTAAATTTCTTAATCAAACTTTTTCTCAATTCCATTCAATATAAATAGACATAATTCTTCTGTTAGATCTAGCAATTCAGAATAATGTTCCTTGATAACCATTTCTAAATCCATACAAATAAATTCACATAATTATCTATGAGTGTTACCATGAAGTGCTCGAAATACTGGAGATACTTCAAAAACTTTATCAAAATCAGCCATTAGACTCATTTATTTATGTTTAAAAGATGATTAGGATAAAAATGCTTGATAATTAAAGTACTATAATTTAAAATTGCAATAGCTATCTTTTGTATTAAATCCTAATAATTTTGGAGTGTGAATCTCGACAAATCCCTTTTCTATTAAGAATTATCTAAATAATAAAGCTATTCCTGATTTAACTCGAAAAATGGCCTATTTAGCAGGAGTTCTTAAGTCAAGAACCCTATTATTTAATCTTTAATTTTAAGATATTTGGTAATCTTGACTTTAGATTAACTGTTTGTTTTCCTATTTATCTTCATTCTACTTTTACTGTTACAAATTAGAGTAATAATCAACAATTTTTCTTGAAGCTTCTTCAATTTGAAATGGCAATTTAGGAATTGATCTACTTATTACTCTAATAGTTTATATATGTAATTCCACTTATTAAGTACAATACTTGATCTAAAAATTTGGTTATAAAACAACAGCTTCTATGTCAACAATAGACTCTAAAGTGATTGCTCCTGTATATTTAATCATTTGTGAACTTATTTTTTCTCCTTTCGTTAAAACAGCTTAGATTGTATACCAATTCTCTCTGAGAACTAAAAAAGCAATTTTTCCTTTAATTCTAGAATTGTGAATCCTAGCTCTCACTAAAATAGTTTATCCAATTGTTGATTCATTGATTTGACACACTTTCATCCATTATCGATTTGTTTTCTATGACTATTCTATTAATGAAACATCTCCATAACTATCTCCCTCATTAATGTCTTAATATTTCTCGTTCAATTCCTAATTTATCATTATATTATTAGTTCCCTTGAAATATTTTTAAAATAATTCTTTTATATAGTTCTGGGGTTTATTAAATTATTGATTTAAAAATTGTTGATAATTGTAATAAATTAGCAATCCATTTTATCATTGAATCTCCTCCTTTTATTATACAAGTAATAAAGTTATTAATTAAATCAAGATGAAGAACTTTGATGGTAGTAAATAATAGTTTAGCATACTGTTTATGAGATTAATTTAAAACTAGTTAATCGTAAAATTTTACAAATAAACTGTTTAAATTGCTTTGGAAATATTGGGGATTTGTTGAATTATTCTAATTTTTGAAAAATTATACCACTACACATGGATTTTCTAAATCAATAACTCAGTAGAATTGACTTAGTTATTTTTAATGCTATATAACAATTATAGCTATGAACACAGTACAATATTATTTATAAATTAAAGTTCTGAATAAATTAATAGATGAGTTTCAAATTCATTATACTCATTATTATATGAGTTCCAGTTGTTTTATAAGACAAGTAAGTTTTCAAAACCTTAAAGCAAACACTTATTTTTGGCTTTTGTTGATCATTAATAGATTGGATATNTTAAATCCTAATAATTTTGGAGTGTGAATCTCGACAAATCCCTTTTCTATTAAGAATTATCTAAATAATAAAGCTATTCCTGATTTAACTCGAAAAATGGCCTATTTAGCAGGAGTTCTTAAGTCAAGAACCCTATTATTTAATCTTTAATTTTAAGATATTTGGTAATCTTGACTTTAGATTAACTGTTTGTTTTCCTATTTATCTTCATTCTACTTTTACTGTTACAAATTAGAGTAATAATCAACAATTTTTCTTGAAGCTTCTTCAATTTGAAATGGCAATTTAGGAATTGATCTACTTATTACTCTAATAGTTTATATATGTAATTCCACTTATTAAGTACAATACTTGATCTAAAAATTTGGTTATAAAACAACAGCTTCTATGTCAACAATAGACTCTAAAGTGATTGCTCCTGTATATTTAATCATTTGTGAACTTATTTTTTCTCCTTTCGTTAAAACAGCTTAGATTGTATACCAATTCTCTCTGAGAACTAAAAAAGCAATTTTTCCTTTAATTCTAGAATTGTGAATCCTAGCTCTCACTAAAATAGTTTATCCAATTGTTGATTCATTGATTTGACACACTTTCATCCATTATCGATTTGTTTTCTATGACTATTCTATTAATGAAACATCTCCATAACTATCTCCCTCATTAATGTCTTAATATTTCTCGTTCAATTCCTAATTTATCATTATATTATTAGTTCCCTTGAAATATTTTTAAAATAATTCTTTTATATAGTTCTGGGGTTTATTAAATTATTGATTTAAAAATTGTTGATAATTGTAATAAATTAGCAATCCATTTTATCATTGAATCTCCTCCTTTTATTATACAAGTAATAAAGTTATTAATTAAATCAAGATGAAGAACTTTGATGGTAGTAAATAATAGTTTAGCATACTGTTTATGAGATTAATTTAAAACTAGTTAATCGTAAAATTTTACAAATAAACTGTTTAAATTGCTTTGGAAATATTGGGGATTTGTTGAATTATTCTAATTTTTGAAAAATTATACCACTACACATGGATTTTCTAAATCAATAACTCAGTAGAATTGACTTAGTTATTTTTAATGCTATATAACAATTATAGCTATGAACACAGTACAATATTATTTATAAATTAAAGTTCTGAATAAATTAATAGATGAGTTTCAAATTCATTATACTCATTATTATATGAGTTCCAGTTGTTTTATAAGACAAGTAAGTTTTCAAAACCTTAAAGCAAACACTTATTTTTGGCTTTTGTTGATCATTAATAGATTGGATATTTCATTTTATAATTATTAATATAATTTATTTATAGTAATCATAATTGGGAAGCCAGTTTTGGTGACTTTTGCAAAAATTATTATTATAATTTCTTTCTTTATTCTTGGAGTTGTCTGCTTTTTTGTTCTAGTTGGCTTATTTTAAATTCAGACTGTATCAATTATTCTTATAAATTTTGATATTAAGTTGCTAACTTATCGTTTGAGCATTCGTTATTCTCTTTCTCTCTTTAATTATGCAAAGGAGTTGAAAAACCAGTATCAGTTTGTATTCTATTCGATTAATTGTATTGATTATTGGCTAAGCTCTACCTCTGTTATGACAATACATTTGGAGTAAGTGTTCTTGATTACACGACCTAATGCTTTGTTGGAGTCTAATTTAAACGTTAATTGTAAGGAATTTTTTGTGGGGTCATTGCTGCATTTTGAGGTTATTAAGAATATTTTATCACATTAGGACTTACTGAAACTTTATTTGTGATTAATCTGATTGGAGAGACATTTGAAATTTACTAATCAATGTTCTATGAGACTCTTCTTGTAGATTGCAATTAACTCGATTTATCTAATGGAATAATGATCGACTATTAGTTCTATACTGGCATTCTAATTGCAGGTTAAATTATTCTCTAAATACAACCCTTATCATACCTAAGTATATTAAAACATTTTTCAATATTCCAATTAACAGATAAATAATTAAAAATATTTATGTATATTTTTAATTAATACAGGCATAAGTTAGATTGAAATAATAGTGCTATTTAAGCAAAAAACATTTATTCTTCTTTGAAAATAATTAGATTCTGTCTAGTAAATATTATATACATCATTAAAACTTCTGAGAATATTAATATTAATAAAATGAATTTACATGATATATATATATAACCAAAATTGATTGACAAATTTCATTGATTGATAGAAGTTTTTTATTTTTAATTTAGATTTCGACGTGCACTTCCACTTCTACTTCTTGGTTGAGTTTATAAGGTTTCTAAATTAAAGAATAATATAATACATTAAATAGTTTTTTGATGGAATTAAGAATTTTAAGAATTCTTTTTAGATGCATTATAACTATATAAGTTACCTTTCTTATCTTTAATAATTATTTATTGTTGAATAGTATCATTAATTGAGGATATCGAATTATGTTTGCCATGAAATGACTTTTAATATTCTTGTTGTTATTACATTAGCAATTACAATTATTATTACTGTTAATGATTTTATCCATATTGAAGGATATTAAAGTAATTTTATTTCAAAGAACCTTATGATTAAGTTGGATAGTCAGTGCTTTCTTGAAGCTAACTACTTAATTTGTGTTCCGAATATGAACTAGTTTTATTGGTTTCTTTACTATTAGGCTTCTTTTGTACTAGTGTTTTAATCTATTAGCTATTCTTATGAAGCTTCTAAACTTCATGATCTCCTTGATCTTATTCAATTGTCTTTTTGTATGCGTCATTTTCGTACTCTTATATTCGTTATTTATAGTATGCAATATCAGATTACAATTTATTGTTTTCCTCGTAATAATTTTAGTTTTCCCTTTTGAGATTCTAATGAACAATATTCACAGATTTTTTACATTCATAACTTTCTTGGTGGTTTCAAGAAGCTCGTTTCTTGTAGATTCACTTTCATCCAATTTGGCTTGGATTGATTCTGCGTACAATTTTAATTGTTATTCTAGCTATTTTGAGTATAACGATGTATGTATACTCTAATATGATTTCTGATTTCGCCCTCATATTTAATCACAGTTTACTCCAATTTTTCGTATTCTTCCTCGGTTCTTAAACTTCTCAAAGAGGCATTTGGATCTACGTCTTTCTCTAACTTTCTTAAATGATAAAATTGTTTACTTGACTTTTTTGTCAATTTTTAACATGAGATTGGTGAAAACTACTTTAATTATGTTGACTAATTGGGGTAGATTCTCATAATCTTTCAATTCTTTCTCAATTTCATTGAGATCATTTTTGGTTTCAATGTATTTTTCCAGTTAAATTAAAATTCTCTCCAATAAATCCTTTAGGGAAGACTCCATTTCTCGATCGGAATATGAAATCAAACTAGTTTCACTCATTAACAGTTTATTAATTATATTAAATACTTTTCATATATTTTGATTACATAATCAAATTTAAGATAAAGAAAAGGTATCAAATTACACTAACTTATTTTATTTCTTCATTTCTCAAAGGCAAAAAAACTGAAGTATATTTTATATAAATAAATTGATAAAATTACAGTTACACAATTACTCCACTCTTTGATTCTTAAATGATGAAATTAGATAGGGATACACCAGTTTATAATTGTATTTAAGTTGAATACATTAAATTAATCAATAAATAATGAAACATATTTCATAAAATTCATAGAATTAGTAACTAGTCACAAAGACCTACAATGACATCCCATTCACCATTTATAATCGCTATTAAGGAATTAAGTTATTGGGAGCTGGATCATACGGAACAGTTTTGTTGGCATTGGATACCCAGACCAACACCAAAGTTGCAATTAAAAAATTAAATCCATTAGAGGATATCATAGATGCCAAAAGAATGTTGAGAGAAATAAGAATATTAAGAGCTATGACTCATCCCAATATAGTTGCAATCAAAGCAGCCATCTATGATAACGTATCATAAGAGAGCGATTATTTTGGCACTGTCTATTTAGTACAAGAATATTTTTAGGCTGATCTTCACAGAGTTCTTAAAAATCCAAAAGACCTCACTGATGATCATGTCCAATTTATAATGTATTACTACACATCCTATTTGAGGTATCAATTAACCAAGGCTGTGGCATATCTACATTCAGCATCCATCATACATAGAGACATCAAACCATCCAACATCTTAGCCAAAGATGATTGCTCTATAAGCTTATGCGATTTTGGTCTCTCCAGATAAATCGAAGAATACGAAGAAGAAGATAATAAAAAAGCATAAAATTTCACAGAATATGTTGTCACAAGTATAAACAATCTAAATCAATCTATAGGATACTACAGAGCACCAGAAATTATGGTTTCATCTCAATAATATTCATTTCCTATTGACATCTGGTCATTGGGCTGCACTTTCGCTGAAATATTAAATGAAGGAAAAGTAAATTATTATACAAAGACTATCAGGTCCTCTTCAAAGGCAAAACCTATGTTTAAATGGTTAAGATGATCTTTGAGACACTTGGTAAACCTATCTAGGAAGACCTGGATTAATTCATTAAGAATAAAAACGCCATGGAATTTGTTTAATCTCTGCCAAGTGTTCCACCATAATCAATCAAAAAGTTAATTGATTATCCCAATCCTCTAGCTATTGATCTATTGGATAAGATGCTTGTGATCAACCCTCACAAAAGAATCACAGCACATGAAGTATGATAAATAATTAAATCAGGCTTTAAACCATCCTTATTTTAAGGAGATAAGAGAAAAAACTGAAGAAGCACCCTATAAAGGGTAGACTGACTTTTCATTTGAAAATGATGACACAATTAGTTTTGAATAGATGAGAATTATGATCCTCGAAGAATTGAATAAATTAGGTGAAAAGATAGATATTCATGATGAAATGGAAAGATTAAAACAACTTAGAGAAAAAAGGAGAGCCTAAAAACATAAAAAGTGATTATTTTGTTATTATTCATTATAATATTATAAGGCAAGCATGTATCAAATTAATTATTAATTTACAAAAAAGCTCCTTGTATAACGGAGAAAGTTGTCGTCGCATACAATAGATCCTAAAGGCACCGAATATATAAACTTTAACAATAATTCATAATTTTTGTATTCAAATTTGTATGTAAAGTTCAGTAATATTAATCCATATAACACACAAAACACCAAAAAAATAATAATAAACACCTATTTAAAATATGTTGAAACTGTACATTATAAAAAAAAATTAAGTCCAAACATTACTCTTACAGGAGGCTGTAAAACCTTTCGATTAGGTATTAAAATGCTTAACTGATTATAATAATACCCTCTAATTCTAATATTGGAAATGAAGTTCTATTTGTAAAATTTGTTGATTCAAACTCAGATTTAAAGGAATTTTTGATATTTATAATAGTTGAGGTCAATCCTTTTTGTAAATTGCCAAAAAGTGATCTGTTACATATTGTTGAATTTTGATTAATTTCCTAATTATTATTTATTAATAGATACATCCAAGTAATTGCAAAGATCTCCTTCACTAAATTTACTGAAAAGTGGATGAAAATCCTTATCAATAATATAAGAATTAGATTAATAATTCCATAAATTAGTTACGTAATCTTCTAACTCATTGATACCTTATTCGCAATTGTCATGATATTAATCTATGTCCGCTTAAGTGAAAAAAGTGAAGGTTTATTTATAATACAAGACTTCTCTTGATGAATACATGACTAAAATATTGGTATTCAATCTAGTAAGTGATTAATAAAATTCTGCGGCATTCCTAACTTCACTATATGCATGTCCCAATTCTATTTATAATCCTATGTATATTGCTAATAAAATTAAAAAATGAGATATAATAAGCAAATATGATTTAATATTGAAAAAGTCTATTGGCAAAATTACTTTTTTCTTTTTTTAATTAGATTTGGAAAGCAACAATTTTAAATTTTAAAAATGAGTGTCTTTATCTTAAAAATTAAATTGATAATGTAGAATTTAAGTGTAGTCTCGCATGACTAATTCCTTAAGATTATGTAATCGATGAATGTCTGAAATAATATAAGTATGCTCTTAATTAAATAGTAACATTTTTAATTCTTCTTTTTATAAACAATATGAATAATGTGAAATTGAGATCAATATTTGCATAATACTCATTGAGAGTAGAGTGTATATCATAATATTTAATAATTAGGTTTGATAATACTAGGAGTCTGATTAAAGTGATAGCAAGGATCCTGTATCAACATTCTAAAAAACTTATAGTAGCATATTAAAGTTTTTATAAACATAATAAAAATAAGGACTCTTCGAATCGGCCGTTCCTCCATTACTATAAACAACTTTAGAATCATATTAATAATTTAATAAGGTGATTAAACTATTTCTTAAATTTAATTCCTCTGAATTTCCCTTACTTTCATACTCCAAGAATTCCAATTATAGAGATATTTCAGAGTAATGTGTGAAAAATAATTATTGTTCTAATAAATTTGTGATTTCTTATTTAAGTTTATCATAGCTTTCTAAAATTTTGGAATTAGGATATTCTAAATATTCAGACCACTACTATTTTGTAATTTAATTAAAGTATAATTCCACATTGTAATTAATTATAGAAAATCTAATTAGATTGGAAGTTGTTATGGGATAAATGATATTGTTCTTAAAACTAAGTAATTTAAAATCGCTTAACAGAAGATCAAAATTGCTAACCACTTAAAGATGCTAAAATAACCTAATATTTTACTAATATAAATCCAATAACTGATATAATTAAGTAAAGCAATCTCTAAATTGTTTTTCTTAAAAAAATCTTCGGTGATTTTCTACAAGTGGTTAAATTATAAACCAATGAAAATTGCCTGTGATACTGTGACTTTTAGATGGCTGATAAAGATGATTACCTTGAAGCAGCCTCAGATTACTATTTAGCTTCATATAATTTTTAGACAGTTTTTTAATCTCCCTCCTGACTTAAAATGTAATGTTCCTCCTCGATTCTTGGAGTAAACAAGATATCATTTTATTAGAAATTATTATTGAGAATTTCATCTTATGTTACTCTCTCTGATTTATTATTATTATTCTATTGATTAATCAACTTATTGTGGATAAATTTTGAATTAAAATCAATAAGTTTGTTTATGGTAATACATTCATCAAAACCATGAGAAGCACTTTGCTGTATTTAATTTTCTCCTCCAAACTCATCACTTTTATTGATTTTTCTTATATTAGACAAATTGAGTTAATAAAAAATATTCCCCAATATCAACTTTCTTTCAATAACTTCGAGATCACATTGATATAAAATCATTTTCATTTTTGTGAATAATGATTTCTCAAAATTTCTTTAACTAAACTGATTTAACTTCCTTTAATCAAAAAAACGAAAAAACGATGAGAAGTGTTTTTCATTCAATTTAATAGAATTGAAATTTTCAAAAAATACATTTATGTCAATCCCATATATCTATTTAGCAAATTTTGTATCAATATCTAATATTTTGCAAAATAGTTCTTCCTCTATATTAACAATTTATTTATTCTCATCTAAAAAGATACTGTAGGTACTTTCATTTTTGTTTTGAAAGAACAAAATCATTTCTATTGATTATAAATTTAATTGGCTTAAATCCATAATTAGTTCTATCCTCTTGCACAGACCTGATGAGTATTCAATATAAGCTTGATTAATTTATTAAAAGTATTTATTCTCCATCCCAGAAATAAACTTCTCAATTAAAGCCGAGTGAATTAATTTAACATAATTGGGTATCATTTAATCGAAGCTTAATTAAACTAACTCTGTTTATTAATCTGATTAATTATACTTATGCTTATTGATCTGAATATTATCTAAATCTTAAATTACTACAGTCATATACGAGAATTGATTTTAAAAATTAGAATGAATAGCTTTTATCACATACTCATCCTCTGTATTCTAAGGTGAGACAATGGACTAAGCAGAGATTAAATCATTTAATACTTCCATGTAATAAAACCTTAGAATATTTGAATATCTTTGGGCTTAAATTAAGATTAAAATATACTTTGAGTTGATGAAAACGAAGTTTTAATTAATTTTAATCCTTCCATTTATGTTTATATTGATTTTAATGCAATTTACTCTAAGTTTTTTTAGAGATGTTTTTTATTTAAACATTCAAAAAATTCAATTTTTGTTTCTATGACATTTGATAGGCTCTCTTTAATAAATTCGTTTTATTTTGTAATCTTCAAATATTCTTAAATACAAAGGTGATTCTACAAAGATTCAACTTTTAATGCTGCTTTTTAGCTTTGAAACTAATTTTATATATCAAGCCTTTAAAGATTTTAAGCAACTTTTAAAATGAGAAGCTTGCTTAATGAGTTGATTTGAATAGTAGATCTATTGGTTTTCGATTCTATTTTAAGATTCCCTTATGATTTCTCTGCTGTTTCGAATATTATTCTAAAATAACGATAAATTATAAGGTATTTCTTTTAAAAGAATTGTAATTATAAATAACTGAATATTAATGATTCTGAAACAACTCTTTAAGATAATTCTTATTAATATTTGAATAAAAGTTCCTTGAAGAATATTTCATAGGAGACTGCCTAAAATTGTTTCTCTTAGAATCTTAATCTGCACTTACATTTACAATCTTTGCAGATAGCAGAATGTTTCTATAAAAACATTAAAAATATCATATCTGATTGAAAAATTTATATGCCTTAACTCATGCCATATATTATTTAAAATACAACGTGATTGCAATTTTTAAGGTTGGCCGATAAGAAATTGATGAAATTATTAATTAGCTCCCTCTTTATATAATAAACAAAAACCTTGTAAGGCATGATCGATAGCAGAATCCATAGAGATTTAAATTGATAGTTAATAAAAATTAGTTGAAACAAACACTGAAAACCTATCACCAAAGTCATAATGGTTATCATCAAAATTACTTAATAATAAATCCCATAAATTAACAATTTCTGAATTTAGATTTAGTAGATCAATAAGATCGCTGATATCATTGGCAATAGTACCTGAATATAATCGAGGTACAAGCTACGTTATTCCTAAAAATACACCATAATCATTTAAACGAGTTTGATAAATATTCTAATATACGTGAGTATGGAATCGTTGATCGACAAATATTCTCGTTTAAAATCTAAAGCCCAATTATAAGTGAACATATTTGTTAAAAACACAAGAGATGTAATTATTGTAACTATATTTATTACATTTAATGCTATCTAAAAATTATCATCAAAGTTTGCTTTGATATTTTATAAACATATTTCTATTGCCATAATTCCAAAACCATATTTTATCAAATTAATTGATATGTTTATGTATTACATTAGTATCTTCTAGCTAATATTTTTATTAAATGTCTATGATAATTTAATAAACGTATCAGCGGATCTAATTTTCACCATATAAATGAATATAAAGCAGCATATGAAGAAAATGCATAAATAGCCAGTTATAATATAGGAGAGAAAGGCATTCCTAGTTAAATAAGTATTAGGTCTAGAAATCGCTCTTAAAATGTTATTTTCAGGTGAACTGCTGAAAACTTGTTCTGTTGTTTATACTGTAATGTAAGTGACATTTTGCATTTCATTTATTGCTCCTAAGGCATATAATATAATAAGAGGCATATTCCAAATGAATTGTTCAAAAATTAATGACCCTTGAACAAAATGTGATATTTATTTAGTAAATGAATTCATTTAATCTTTATTAATGCAATTTTATTATAATTTTATGCTTGAATTAAAATAAAATAATATTGGCTAGTCTTATTATTTCATTAATATTTTATATGAAAACAATTAAATTCTCACTGCTTAATTCTCAACATCGATTTTATGCTTTTATTTGTCAGCAGTTATATTCTTAATACCAATAGGTTTTCTATCACAGCTTCTTTGTTAATAATTTGTAAACCATCTTCTTTAAGGTTTCTTCAGAACTCTCTTTAAATCTTTAAATCTTTAAATCTTAAAATTATTTTCTATTTTTATAAAATATAAATATACGCAACGACAAAAATATTATTATTTATTTTTAGAATCTGGATAAAATGCATGAATAGAATTGTACTTATTCAAGCTTCAGGAATCTTCCAGAACTTTGTTCAGTTTTTAATATAGATTATTAGTGATTGATAATTAATTTATCCAGATATGCATTTAAAAATTAAATTCCAATATTTAATGCATTATATAAAATTTAAATTAATGAGACTTTTTTATAGTTGTTACCACATCTTAATGGGATTACAAATTTTTATTTAACCTAATTAAAGAAATTTTACAGGAATTTAAAAATGAAGTTTTTAATTATAAAAATAAGTATAGTTCCAATTATAGAAACTCATTTCCTGTTATGATTTCCATTTAATTTCAATAAATACTATGTTACATGTTAATTTCAATCCTATTAAAAAGATTCTTAAACTAAATGATCATTAAGGACTTATTGTTTTATAAACTCAAATTTAAACTTTAGAGGTTAGAATAATAAGGCCCTAAAGTTTAGAGAAAGCAAACTATTTCAATTAATAGATTGTTCTATTATGAAATAAATTAATTTGAAATTAATTTCTTAATGGTATAGCAACATTTTTTCTAGTCGTTTAACCATTTTTACTATTAAAATATTATAAAATGGGTGCATGTTCAGGAGTATGCTAATAGCAGGCAAAAAATATAGTAAATGAATCTGCAATAGTTACAGAAACCATCAAATAGGCATTATAGGAGGAGACAACAACAACCAGACCAAAATAGTAGGAAGAGAGATACTTAAAAATGGAAACAGGTGCAATATATGAAGGAGATTTAGTTAAAGGAATCCGAAGTGGTAAGGGGAGATAAGTATGGCCAGATGGTATTAATATGATAATTTAGGTTCCTATTATGAGGGGGATTTTGTGAATGACATGGCTGATGGAAAGGGAATATTGGTAAATGCTGAAGGAAGTGTCTATGATGGGGAATGGTTGGAGGATAAAGCAAGCGGTTTTGGGAAGTACCATAGTCATGATGGATTATACTATGAAGGGCAATGGTTGGAGGACAAATAGCATGGTATTGGAAAGGAGATCAATTAAAGAAGTTCTTAGATAAATTAAATTGTTAGATGAATGCTATGAGGGCGAATTCTTTAGAGGAGCCAAATAGGGTTATGGGAAGCTGAGTTTAAATGATGAAGAATATTATGAAGGTGAATTTTAAAGTGGAGTGATGCATGGTAAAGGTAAGAAATTGAAATAGTAATATAGAATAGGAACTTATACTTGGAGGAACAAAAAATCTTATACGGGAGAATGGAAAGAGGGACGGATGGATGGATTTGGAATTATGAAATGGGAGGATGGAAGATATTATGAAGGGTATTTTTAGAAGGGGAAATAACATGGAGAAGGTACATTTGTTTGGAAGGGGAAAAAGTATGTAGGAGCATGGATAAATGGGTATTAGGAAGGGGAAGGAATTTATTATAATAAGTAAGGACAGAGTAGAGGAGGTATTTGGAAGAACGGGAAGAGAGTAGAATGGGTCGATGATTTAAGTAGTAGCAATAGTATTGAATAAACATTTTGAATTTATATTTATTATTAAATATTATGAGTTCGCCTCCATCCACAAATAATGTGATTATAACAAAAGTGGAGATTGCTAGATTTACGATTTATTTAGTGTCCTTAATGGTTTCAGTACTTATGCAAATGCGAATGGAAGATTAAGGTATAATGAATACATCAGTTTAAAATTCAATGTTTTCAGGAATTTAAAATGTGTTTAAGTTTAATAATCAGACTCGATTCTCAATGCTGAATTGGGTGGACAAATAGTTGTATCATGGTTATTCATTGAATAACAATTCTACAGAGATGTATAGTAGGTTGATACCGGTGACTTTCCTTGAAATTCAAACTAAATATGCCAAGATTGATAGTTTGGTGAATGTTTGGGATAAGGATTTGACTGAAGACAAAGCAAACTAAGGATTTCAATAGTAATATATTTATCCATTCATCCAACGATTTCCGCCTTATCCTGTATTTAAGAATATCAGCTTCATCGATGACGTTAGTGGGATAACTCTGGATTCATTGAAACTAATTGATACTGGGTTTTTGACATCGAATACTCATTCATTGAAGGCTCAAGCATCATATTACAGTCCAAATTTGTAGATGATTGTAAACATTATTCTTATGACTAGTGTGTAGTCAGAATCAATATGGAATTCAGTGCTGCTGGTTAATCCTATCAATTCATTCAATATGACTCATTTAGATTGAGTTTTTATTTAAACAAAACTGATTATATTCGAATGGCTTTTGAGATTTTGTTCTCAATTATTTACATCAACTATTTATATATGGAGGGTTACAAAATATATTTCAAGATTTAGTTGGCATTAAAAGATGACGATTTAAAAGTGTAAGCATAAAAAAAGAAAGATCAACGTTTGAAGTCAAAGAAGGAGGCTAAAAAAAGAGGAGGAGTTGTTTAGGGGGAAGAAGGAGAGGTTAAGCATCTTGCAGTTCAAGGGGAAAAATCAGGATCCAAGGGTCTAGAGTCAATAGAGGAGGCTCAAAGAAAAACCAAGATTATCATTAACGTTGTTATTCAACATATTTCTGATATCTGGAGTGCTATCGATGTTTTGATCTTAGTTATTCTTGGTATTGCTGCTTCAGAATACATCAAGGCCATTTCCTCTTAGCCATATTCTGACTCTTTGAATAATTTATTGGAGAATGCAACTACTTATTAATCTGTTTTTGAACCTGTTTATAAAGAGATGCTGACTGGGATCTAAGTTTCTTATAATTTGAACGATAAATTTGCAGAACAGGCTGATATTTTAAGATTCTATAGAAGGTTTTGTGCAGTTGCACTCTTAATAATGTGGATCAAGTTGTTGAAGTATTTCATTAACATCTTTTAACGATTAATAAGTTACTTAGAGATCATCTTGAATGTTATTGAATACATGATATTTTATTTAGTATTGTTGGGAGCAATCCTGATATCATTTTCGTTGTTCTTTTACTTTCAATACGGAAGCTAAATTTTCATTACCTCAACAATCGGAAGATCATTGTCATACATCTTAGGATTTATGATAGCTCAAAATGATCAATTTAATGAGTTGTTCAAATATGATGAAGTCATCACATTCATAATGACCATCATTTACTATGTTATTGTCATTATCATATTGTGCAATATGTTTTTTGTCTTTGTTAAATAAGAATACAATGACTATTAGATGAAGCTTGAGAAACAATCCTAAAAAACTAACAATTCCAAAAAACATGATGAGGTAGTTAAATACATACATCCCTACTGGTATTTCTATAACATAGCTGAATATTTTGTTATGAGATTTTGGTTCACCTTAAAATTATAACCCTCAAAATTTGATGAATATAATGAAAACAAAGAATTGCAATATGTAATTAACGAGAGAGAATTCAAAGAAAATCCCTAAACCATCGACTTTAATGTTGATTTTGCTAATTTAATCAACTAATCAGTTGATGATGATGATAAGAATCAGAAATTCCTGATAGAAGAAGAAAAGGAAAGAATTCTAAGTAAATAGAAGATGGAACTTATTAAACTGATTTGGAAAACGGTGCTTTTATTATTAATATTGTCCCTGAATTTCATATTGCTCCAAGAATTTTATAGTCCTGCTGATGCATATTTGCAAAGTGATTCAATTTCAAGGAAAATCAGATATGATAGATCCAATGCATAAAAATAATTCAAAGATTTAAATACTATTCAAGATATGACGGATTGGCTGATTTATGGATTTCCAGATCTTTTCGAAGACAATATATTTGGATAAAATGAATTAGCAATCCTGAAAAGTCAAACCCCAACCATAAATTTTAATTCCTCTTCATCTGATACTATACTTTAGTATCAACTTTAAGAATATGCTTTTGATAGTCTAATTAGAACTAGCTCATTAAATACCTTCAATATAGTTGTCAATGATGTAATAAGAGTGACTATCAGAAGATCTTTGATGGTTAATAATACATTGGAACAATTCTCTACTTTTGCACCTGAAACGATGCTCTTATTTTTAAATTCTCCAACAGACAATATAAATTCAGAAAATGAGAATTATGAGAGCTTTTATGATGCTGACACCAATTTCACTATTGATTATGATGAATCGAATGGATTTGAAGGGGAAGGAGGTTTAGTCATGTTGCTGGAACCAAAATAATTGAGTCCTGTAATTGATTCTTTGCAGAAAGTCAAATTAATTGATAGCATCAGTTCCATAGCTATTTAATTTGTAACATTCAACCCTATAAATGCAAGAGGATTAGCACACATTAAATTATCATTTGCAATAAATCAATGTGGTGCTCTTTCCTTTAAAATAATCGATGTGCAAGGTATTAAAAAGAACTCCTTACAATCGGTAAGTGAAATCAGTATTTTGATCTTGTCAGTCTCCCTTATTATTGCACTTTGCTATTATTTATACGTGACGATAAAGACTATGCTACACAAGAACTTTTCTTATGACAGATGGTATAGCACCTACATATTACTATCATTAAATAGATCATAATTATACATGAGAGAAAGACATATGCCAGAGTTTATAAGAAAATCCCTGTTTTTAATGGATATCTCATAGTTGCTCAATTTATTGTTTTTGACTCTTCTTGGAGCTCAAATTACATTGATATTGTACTACTTCTTTTAGGTGAACACCTTGATTTAAGGGTCTAAGATATTCAGTACTTCAATCAATGATTTATTGCCTTCAACTTTGTTTTCTGTGAATTAGGATGTGGATAAGTATGTTTTCTTTAGTTAGGTCTAGAAAATTGGTGATAATAGTAAATTGATTGGGGCATTTGGTTCATGTGCAATTTTGGTGTTGTGTTTAGAAATTTTGTATTTACTTTCACACAATAAAGATTTTTAAACCTTGACAAACTCAATAAAGTACACCTTAGCTCATCTACCATTCATTTTAATTATCCTATTAGGTATAATCGTGGCCTTTTCATCAATGGCTCACTTAGTTTTGGGCACTGATCTGATTTAATATTCTACCTTCTTTGGAACCATCGTTAAGATGCTTGATTTCATTTCAAAAATAGATGATATATCATTCTTTCGTTTGGATGACAGAACCTTAGAATTTTATCTCATGATAATACCTTACACAATCACTGTTAGATTTATCATCATGAATATGTTCTTTGCCATCACATTAAGAGGGTATTTGCTGAGCAAAGAAAAATATGCTGAAGAATAATTAAATCAGAAATCGCATCCTTTGTCATTAACTTCTTAAGAATTTATAATGCTATCTATTTAAATGTTTACCTTTAAGGAAAAACTTATCAAAGTTGGATCTGATTAATATTTAATGCAAATTATCAAGTAATTCCAGCCAATCAAAGTTTATACTTCAATCAAGGACAACATAAGAAATCAGACAAACTTAACAGCCATGAAGGCTTGGGCTGAAGAATGTGCAAAAGAGATTAAGGATGAAAAGGAAATAAGAAAGCCACTTGATGTTGCCTGTCATGAATTATTGCAGGCTTACATCGATCAAAATAACAAAGGGGAGTTCGATATTCTACAAAGATTGAATACCGATCCAAAAAGAAAATTAATTGAATTCTCTTTGAAATTGACATACATTAATTATTTTAGATTTGCTATTGATTAATTGGATAAATTTACAGTCTTTTTTACAAAGAAAAGAGAACAAATCAGATCCATCTTGTTTTCTGACAGCAAAGGAGAAGATTACAAAAAGATGGTCTATATTTGTTCTTTGGAAGCTCAACTGGAAGAAAACATTTAGAGCATGACCTTCATAAAACAAGAACTCTTGGCCTTGGGGTTTGATATTGGTGAGGCAGGTGAAATTGACAGCAAAGAGAACGTCATCAAGGTCAAACAATTAAAATAACAGACATTAAAAGCCTCGTTTTAAAATCCTATGTCTGATAGGATATTCTAGTTGACCAAATTAAAGCCAGACAAAATATAAGATATGAAAAACTCCCCTGAACAATCAGATAATGAACCTGACCAAGATAATTAATTTGGTGAATCACGTATATAACAAACTATTAAGCCTTCCACATTTAAATAAGCGCAAACTATTGAGATAAAATAGGATGATCCAAGAAAACAAGAGAACAAGGATCAGTAATAAGGTGAAACCACTGAAAAGTCAACAGATGAAAAACCCAAATCTGATCAACCTGCACAGCCAGAATAGAAAATTTCAAAGGGGATCGTTAAAAATATGTTTTAAATAGGAGATAAGAAATCAAAAAAGTGACTAATTAGAATATACAATTATTTATTAATTTATTCATATCTAAATTTATACAGACTGCAATAAAATTGTAATTTTGATATTAAAATAAACTAGGTATATAATAATTAATTATTAATTATTAACGAGTTTTTATTTCTTCAAATGCTACGAAAAGACAGTTCTTACAGAGAAATATCCTTAACGGACTCCATTGAGCAGAAATCATTTTTAAACTTAGCCAGAAAACCCTCCAATGCTGATTTTAAAGGAAAGACACCCTTAGGTGCCAAAAGCAAAGATAATAAGGAGAATTCTTCTGCAAGAATTCATTCTGATACACCTCCATAAGACTTTTTTTTTAAAAGAGATGCCATCAAATCAGAGAAATAACTACCCAATGAGAAAATAGCAATCTATAATGATGCATCAAGATTTTAATCATCCAAAACGTATATGGAATGCAGGATGGAATAAATAGAATAGCGTAGAAAAACCTAAAGTCCATAGTTATTGTCCATGACTCCAGTTCAGAATAAATAAATCATTCAAGAAAGTTATAATCATCTCCAATAACCATAATAACAATCAGTCTAAAGTTCAGTCAATTTAACTAGAAAGGCTTCAGTCGTTCCTTCAAGAGGTTTGTCTACCTTATCTTCCCCAACTCCTAAAGAAGGAGATTTCAATATTTATAAACAGTAGAGCAGCATACCAGCATCATATTTAGATTCAGTTGTTACAAATAGAAATAATAAAAATTACACTGTTCCAGAGCAGTAATCATAGTAATAACCACAATAACATTAACAATAATAATAATAATAATAATAATAATAATAATAATAATAATAGCAACAACAACAACAATAATAAGAATATAAAAGTCCCTCTCTAAAATTATACTACATTACTTCGCTTATTAAAGCGTTTAAAATGAAAGGCCCAAATTCAGCAAAAGAACATCTCATTCATAATATGCAGGTAAAATTTGATCACACAATTTAAGGGAATCATAATTGCTAAGAAGCTTAAAGTTCCCCCAGTTAAGAAAGCTATAACATTACCAGTGACTGACAAAAAAACTTTGTTGTTTGATCTTGATGAAACTTTAGTGCATTGTAACTCAAATAGTTTTATACCTGGAGATGTTTTACTCAATATAAATCACGAAGGAGAGAAGATGGAAGTATAGAAACAATATAAAAAAAATATAGGCTTCATTGAATATTAGACCTTATACCTCTCATTTACTTTAGTCGTTAAGTAGAAATTTCGAATTGATTGTATTTACTGCTTCTCAATCACATTATGCTAATGCAGTGATAGATTATTTGGATCCATAAAAAAAGTGGATAAGTCACAGATTCTATAGAGAACATTGCATACCTACAGATGACGGACATTTCATTAAGGATCTTCGTATTTTTACAACAAGAAAACTTAGTGATATGTTGTTAATTGACAATGCTCCTCATTCTTATCTTTACTAAATCTAAAATGGAGTACCTATCATACCTTACATCGACAATAAATCTGATGAAGTATGTATTTTAATTAATCAATTAGGAATTGAAATCTTTATTGTAATATTTGATGTAATTTAAGAATGTTAAGGATGTGAGAGAATTGAATATGTAGCAAATGAAATTGCATCGTTTTTCAGAATATGATGACCCTCAAGAACTATTAAAATGTGAATTTAATGAATACTAATTATAATCCGTTTTATTATGATTAAATCACTTTTTATATGTGCCTTGCTATTAGGTTTGAGTGTAGCATCACTCTCAGAAGAAGGTGAAGTTATAGCCAAATTGACATAATTGGAACAAAGTGAATTTGGTCGTTATTTGATTCACACAATATAACTGGAGATGGAAACATCTGACAGTTTAGACCACTTAATCAATGTGCTCGAAAAGTTAGAAGGACGTTACTAAGATGATTAAAAGGAGGATGATGCAAACAATAGACTCTATCAGGATTAATGTGACTCAGACATTGGTTAACTTGATAAAGACATTGCCAATAGCTAATATTCAATTTTACAACTTGAGGCAAAACTAGAAGGCAATCTCATTCCTGCCAAATCAATCCAATAAGGTGTTGAAAAGGCTAAATTGGCAGAAATTAAACGTAAATATTCCCCCTTTAATTTTAGAATACACCCAAGAAATATAAGAACTTGATGAGGAGAGACAAGAACAAAATGAAGTTTATGAAGCCAAAATTGCAGAACATTTTGAAGCCTCCAAAATCATCAGAGAAGCTTAAGCCATTATTAAGGATGGACTCTAAAGACCCTCCTTGGCAGAAGTGAAGAAGAATGGCAAAAATGTTCTTAGAATAGCTCCCAACATTTTAGCTTAAGTATCTTCAAGTTTGGGTGGATCAATCAATAAGATCAGGTAGACTCACAGATTTACTAAAGCTTATGCAAGCATCTTCAAGGTGTTGTTAACAATTATGAATAAATCTGAATCTACTGCTGACGAAGGTTCTGTTGAAAAGTATTTTAATACATTTATATTGAACACTCTAGAATAATTCAACTCTGCAGTGATTTATTGGCCAAGATTGATGACAGTACTAACTTAGAAAGATTTGCTGAAGACAAGAGAGTTTAGGCCTATGAAAAACACAAGCATTTATTAAATAGAGATTTATAATCAGCTTAATCTATTTTAGCCAATACTTAGGCAACTTTATAAAGGTTATTCTCATTTTAATATATTTAGTTTGAACGATTAAATTTAATAAGCCTAAAACTCCATTGCCACCATATAATAAAGATTAGATTATTATTAAGATACTAGATAATAAAGATATGCTGAATGCGAGGAGGCTGCCTATGATTATCAATAGGCTAGAAGTGCCAGAGATAACAATAAACAATTAGTATCCGACTTAATTGGTTTAGTCAATAAACATCTAAGAGTTCTCAGAGAACAATTAGCACTTAGAGTTGCAGCTGGTGATAATATATGAAATACATTTGGATTATTTCTATTATAATTAATTGAACTCTTCTTTTATGGGGTTAGAAAATATGACACTTACATTATTTGGCATCTCATTAAATACTTTCTATTCAAATTAATATAAATATATTAATAAATGATTAATTAAGACAGTGCAGATCTTGACATATAACAGGAAGGGTTTGATTTTTAAAAATTCTTTGACAAAAAATGTTGCAATTAAGAACCTCAAAAGGAAGAGGTCCATAAATCTAATTAGCCTGAAAGTCAATAACAATGTTAAGGGGATACTTTAAGGGCATTAGTCAAGAATATTAAAATCGAAAAACAAGTAGCGGGAAGAAATAAGAAAAATAAAAAGATTTAATGGAATGAAAAGAACACAAAGATATTTAAAGATCTCTATTAATAATATTCAGGCAATTTGGATTAAATCCTTTTATACTTTTAACAAAACAATGAATTAAATACAAAAATTGATATTAAATAAATTAAAGTATAATTGTATTATTATAATTACTAGAATAAATTTAAAATAGAAAAGAAAAAAAAAAACTTGAGTTTGCTCTCAAAGTCACAAATAATATCCAAAAACCTTAATTACTAGCTAAAATTGGACTGAAAGAAAGTGATTTTAATTAAATTATATATTCCATCTGATATTTTTCTGACTATTTTTAAAGTACATAATTATTTCATTTTCAGAATCACTAAATAATGAATATTGTATAGAAAAAGCGGGAAGAATTTTCAATCAACATCAGGAAGTAAAAGAGAGAAGAATTGTTTAAATCCAAGAGAGTCTCTAATACCCAATATTTACCATTTTCTGATATTGCTACAATGCAATCAGAAATCTATTAGAATGCATATTACTAAAAATAGTGTCCAAACAATGTTTAACTTAATGAAACTATCTAAAAGATTTTTAAAATATCTGAATTAGCAGATGCATTTAATTAGCACGATTGCGAAAAAAATTATGATACTTCTTCTGATGTTGATATTATATTTGACATAATTGGCAAAGGATATCCAGTCCTAGATGTATTAAATTTTATTTATTTAAGAGGGCCTGCTTGTAAATATTACTATCCTTCACACTTCCAAGTCATTTAACATGCAAACCAATATTAAAATATATACCTACATTGTTGAAGTTTTTCAATGAAACTCAGTATGAGGAACTCTAATAGACAGTTCTGTTCATTTTCTCAAATCTAGCAGCCGACTGTTATTAATGCAGAGATGCCATTTTAATCTATGAAATACCTTAGGCAGTATTTTAAGCAATTCATTAAACCACAAATGAATTAATGAATGATCTAGCTCAAATTCTAATTAATATCTCAAGAACTCAACCTCTAATGTCGAATTTCAACTAAATTTAAATGATTAAATTATGCTGGCAACTATTTCCTTTTTTATAGGGCCATGAATACATAGCTGGAATCTTGTAACTCATTTAAAAAATTTGTTAGAAGGATAAGAACTTATTAGATATGAATTTCCTTAGTAGTATTTGTTAGGATCACACAAATTCTGATCTATACCTTAATGAAATACTAGCTTTAATTAAAATTATGTCATATTTTGACAGAAACAGATACGAGCAAATCGAAAACAATATCCTAAATTTTATAATAGTTAAAGTAAATAAAATTCTATTGAATGGAAACTTAGATAAACATTTTTAAAAGTAGATCAATAAAATGTTGAGTATTTTCACAAATATGATTGTTGAAAACCCTAAAATTATCTATATTGCCCTTGATACTAATATCATGCAACTATTTAGATTCAATGAATAATTATAAGAAACCTATAAAGAGATCTTTTGTAGCATTTATTATTTTTCCTTTTATTATTAGGTCATCAACAATTTAAATTAAAGCCAAATAAAATAATTTATATAATTGTTTTAGCCGATTTAATAATTGATAAACTTGTTAGATTAAAACATGAATAGTTCTGATATTATCATAGATATTTTAAGAATCATAGAGATTATTTTACAATAAGACAAAGAATCTATATCTGTGTTTATAAAATAAAATGGGGAATAATATCTAGCTGAATTATCCTAACATGAAAATGAGGAGGTTTATAAAATATGTGAAAGCATTTTTGAAATCATTAATTGAGTTTATTTTATTTTTGAATTTTTGAATATAAACAATTACTATTCTAATAGTACACAATTATTTTGTCAATATCTGCTAATTAAGAATTCCAATTTAGGGGCAGATCTCACTTCTTTGATTCAAAAAGTAGTGATTTAAGCATTACAAGAAAGTTTCTGAGCTTTCTCGTAATATTTAACAGATCAATTAATTAATTTATATAACAATTCATGGATGGGACTGCAATAACATAGCTGAAAACTTAATTATAAAAACTAAAAGAGGAAAAAGAAGAGCTATAGAATGATGTCCAAGAAGAAAGGACTGTCGTGGCTCAAATGTAATCAGAATTAGCACAACTTAAATAATAATAATAAATGTAAGGAGGGTAATTGCGAGATAAAGAATTAGCACTTTAGGATTACAATCGTATGATTAAGGAAAGTGAAACTATATTGAAAAAGTTAATTGAAACATCTAGTAATTTTTTAAAGACCTTGGAAGGGGAAACAAGTAAGTTAAAGAATCAAAAAAAATGAAAATATCAAAAAATATTTATTACCATCATTCTATTTAATATAAAATTTCTTTTGTTTATATTTCAAAGAACTTTAGATTTTAAATTTCATTAAATTATCCACTTTCTTAATATTTCAATTGCAATAAATAATTTATTTTAATAAAAATTTAAGAAAATAAAACAGCAAATGCTTTTATGTTGGAATTTCATGAACAATTTAGAATTGAAATTTGAAATAAATGGAGAAAAAGAAATATCTCTAATTTATTATAATTTTACTTATATAAACTAACATTTAATATAAATAAAATCAAATTGAATTGTTTTCTTTCGAAAAAAATGTCTTAATTTTAAACTTTAGACTTGGGGATTTCTAGTGAAACCAAATCTATAATCCATAAATCTATACTGAAAAATCCATAGCGGTGTTTTCATCAAAGTAAAATTAGATTGGATTGGGCAGGGAATTAAGTAGTCAAAGGTGGACTCCATAAAATAGTTTTCTTAAACTAAGATGACACTCCTCGAACATTTATGGATATATTAACAAATGATTTTACGGAATCATGTGATGCTGTAGCTAACAAAAAAAAAAAAAACCTTAATTAATAATAAGCAGAAAATTTTATCAAAAATCAGTGTGAGGAAAGTTAATAATCTAATTGTTGTTTAATTTAATGAATTATTTTTACCTATTTGAATATTGTATTAAATATATATTAAATAGTTCTTCTGGCTTGAAGTATTATATTAATTTGTAGTAATTATATATGATAAATAAATACAAATAATAATAATAAGTTATACGAATTCAATCAAATTAGGCGTTGTTTTTAAAAGAGTTCCTAGAATATCTATTTGATAAGGATCAATCTGTGAGATGTTTCGTCATCAGTAGTAACACATTAATCTTATGATAGTTTTCTTAAGGTAAGTGGTTGTTGGAATGAGTGATGCTTATTGAGGTATTCTGAGGCTTCATAGTTATGGAGAAGCAGGATTGATTCTTTGATTTTGCTGCAATCAGTTTCTTAGTATTAAAAACTGTATTTAATTTCATCAATAGATTTACAAATTTAATTTTTACTTTCTGATCCTCTTGTTTATAGATCCTTTAAACCTAGGAATGAACATGCAAGCGAAGTATACGGATCTGTTTACTTTCTACTTTTTATTGCCATTTTAAATATTTCTGAATTCAAATTGTTTCCTATTTTCTTAACGTGGACATTAATAACTTATATCAAGTTTAATAATGGAGCTGATATGTATCTTATTAAACTAGTGGTTAAAAGTAGTAAGAATATGCATACTCCAACATATATTTACACCTCTTTGATCATACTCTTCTTAATTGTGTCAACCAGACCTTACAATTTCTCACCAATTTCTATTTCATAACTCATATTTTTGAAACTTAAAAATACTTTGATCATCTTACACAATTAAAGTTAGGTTCTCCTTTGCAAAGTTAAAAGCATTTACAAAGACAGGTTTCTTAAAAATTTTATTCTCAAGATAAAAATAAGTTTCTACTGCATGTTTCTACTTGGAATTCTTTTACACTAAGTCCCAATCTGACTAATTAAATCCTGTATATGTTTCATTAGTAATTGTAATAAGCATATTAGTTTTTGATATGGATGGCATAGTTGTCAGAATAATATCTCCATTTTAATTGACCAAAAATATACTCATTGGTATACTCTGGATATTTTTGTCATAAATTTCCTAGAGTTAAGAGGTAATCCCAAATAAGGTTGAATTAATAATCAAGGAATATGTCAATGAAAAATACGGCATGAAACTTCGTACTGATATGTAGATTGGAGAGTAAAAATATTCTGAATTGGGATTAATCTCATATTGGGCAATATGGTTCATATACCTAAATATTATTTCAATGTTACCAAGGTCTAGTACTTGGGTCATAATTTTTGTATTTATACATTCTAGGATATTGTGCGAATATTTAATTTTTTGGTACATCAATAAATGATATCTTATTTTATTCATCCCCTAGAAACACTTAGGAGAATGGAATCAATAAGGAAATGGTTTAATTGAGTAAAATTGCTTGACTGTCATATTGTTTTGTGTATAGTCCTTAACAAAAGATGTCTGAATTATAAATTATATTATCCTCGCTAATCTCTTCTTATTCAACACAATCTTAAAATTAATTCACTTTGATTTGGTACTAGGATTGCTTCTATATCAATTAATAAAACATTTATTACGAATGCCATAGATTTAAAATTGCTAATTATAATTGCCACAATTTATACTCTGATAATTTTTCTATTGAATGTAAAGACGTAATTCTCTTGAGATATTATTTACAAGGTTCTTCTCTTATTTTAAAGTTAGTTCTTGTTCCACGTCTTGAATGTAAGAAAAGAATATCGCTTATTGTATATGTCCTGTTGTCATGACAAGTAAAACGGCAAGTATTATTATTAACAGGTTAACTATTATTATCTAGTTACTCATTCTGAGATTCTTAAACCACAAAATTAGTTTATTGAGCATGAATAATTTAAATATTTATATTACAAGATTTAATAAGGAATTATTAATTATGTAACAATATATTTTATACATTATAATCTTATAATTAAAGCGTCTAAAAATAGCATTTATTAATCCTCTTTTTTTGAATAAAGTGTTTATACAGTATTATTTACCTAAATTTCTCAAGGAGACTAAATTAGAATTATACGGTAATCTCAATCAGAGAATGGCTATGACTATCAAGAATATAAAAAATTAATTATTAATGACAATATTCATTTTTCTTAATAAATAAAAGTTACTTTTATATTTGATATTCAAGATTACTTAAAATATCCTTTTTTTTGAAGGTGTAATCAAAAGTAACATTACTATTTCACTTCAAACTATCAAAATCTGATATTTTTTTGCATAACCTAATAAAGTCTTCATTCTCAAAACCCTTATCTAATTTTATTTTTTGTATTCTTACTATTGCAATATATTTTCCTAATTTAACTCCTATGAGTTTAATATGAAGCATTTGATTCATCGACTTAGTAATATTAACTCAAATCCAGATTTGAATATAACTATAATTAATAGTCAATACATACTGTACAAAAATTAATTATATTTTATTAAATAACTATAGTTATATAAACAACATCTGATTACTTTTTTAAAAATTAATTCATAAACCTTAAATTTTTATTGCTAAACTCTGTTTTTATGACTGACAATTACATACAGATCATCTACTTGTCTTAAGGTAAATTCGATAAAGAGTTTTATTGCTATTACAAAAGAGTGATAAATAAAAATATAAGAAATTATAATATAAGACTTATTTTAGAATAGAAGTGAAATGGATTACAATATAGAATTGAGTATTTTTTAAATTATGATTTTTGAATATAGTTCATTCTTTTTACTATTCAATTAGGTTGGTATAATTATTTTGTGGATCACTTTACCTTCCAATGAAATGCATGGTTTCATTGTGATGAACGAATGGAGTTTTACATTCCTAAAATTCATTAAAGTAAGATGTATGATCTGAAATAGAATACCACCAAAGACTGTTTGAACAAGTGTCATCCTCTACCAATCCTTATTAACAAAGCTTGAAAGAAGTGTTTTCTTCATTATACCACACTTCTTATGGTAAATGGGAATAATAAAAATTCATTGGAGGTGTATGAACTACAGTATCTGCATTATGAGTAACTCTCCATTATTCCTTGGGAATTACATAATTGATAAACCAAGTGGCAAATTCTATGTTGCCTACTCTTGGAGCTCCATAGGTGAAAAAGTTGTCTACTTAAATTCCGAGCCTTGTGACGTCAACTGCCATCAATGCCGCAATGGCACCTCCTAATGAATGACCAGTAATTAAAACTTTTGATTTGGGAAATTTCTATCTGAGTGTTGTAGTGCAATTAATCATTTCATTAGAAATTGCCGTGTAGGTTTCCCAAAATCCAAGATGAACAGCACAATCTTTACAGTCTCCAAATTCTTATTTAAAGAACTTTACGTTGTTGATCCAATTGGTTAAATCCTAAGTACCTAATTTGAGTCACATATTCAATTACTTCTATAAACTAATACGATATAATTTTCCTTAGGATTATAACCACAATAGGCTTAACTTGAATAGTTCCCTGCGAAAGCTTGAACATCAACCATATCAGGATGTTATTCACAATAATATCCGCAATCCCATTTAGCTATTTCCTCAGGATGACATACAGCAATCTTAGTATAATGAAAGAATTTCTAAGCCTAAGAATGTGAATATATTTGATTCTCATTAGATTTATGGTTGAAGACTTTTTCAAATAATTGCTCTATAAATCCTTTCTCTGCATAAGAAACACAAAAGAGAAGCAGCAGTACAAATAAATGTTTCATTCTAAATATTAAATTTCTTATTAAATGAATACAATAATTTACGATTATATTATATGCATTTTAAAAAATTACAATAGAACTATTGGAAATTCTTAATAAATAGATAAAACAACTGTGGATCAAGTCCTCTTTCAATACTGAATATAAATACACATTTCTTCTAAGATCTTACAAATATTTACACAATCACATAGCATGAAGGTTCATATTGTGCTTAATATAAAATGCAAGAATTCTAACATTCTCTATATATTTGATTAATAAAATTTGATTATGTATTATTTAAATGAATATATTCTTAATTAAATATGAAGAACACCTTTTTTCATAAAATTAAAAGATTATTTAGAGGGTATTATTGATCTATAAATTCATTAGTTCTCCAAATGAGTGGAAAAATCTACCAAAAAGAGTAATACGTCCAGGATTGGGTGATCAACTTCTGCCAAATAATAGAGTGATCACTAGCAAATATACTATTTTTACTTTCCTTCCTCTAAATTTGGTGGAATAATTCAGCAAGATGGCTAATATTTATTTTTTGATAGTTGGAATATTATAGATGGTTTTAGATCTCTCTATCATTAGATTCCTGCAATTACAGTGTCTGATGGGTTACCGACTGAATATACTCCTTTAGTGGTCATAGTAATAGCAACAGCAATCAAAGATCTTTTGGAAGATTTGCAAAGACACAAGGCTGACAGAAAGGAAAACAATACAATAATATCTGGCAAAAAAAGCTAAGATATAAGAGTTGGTGAGTATATTAGGATTAATCCTAATGAGCAGATCCCAGCAGATATTTTATTATTGAATTAAGAATGTTATGTTGAAACCTCCTAATTGGATGGGGAAACAACTCTTAAACCTAAGCAACCAATAACTGAGAATATTGAATATGTAGAAGCTGCAGGACCAAACCCATATTTATATTAGTTTAGTGGTTCCATAAATGGGTAGAAGCCATTAAATGAGCACAATCTATTACTTAGGGGTTCATGTTTAAAGAGTCTAGATCCAATTGATGGGATTGTAATCTACACTGGGCATCAGACGAAGATTCTGCTGAACTCGCACAACCCAAGAGGTAAGGCAACAAAGATGTAATAAGTTATGAATAGATTAATTTTATACTTATTTGTAGGCTAGTGGCTTTTATGTATTTTCTGTGCTTCTTATTTTACAGTAGCTCTGAGCATCAAGAAACAAGACTTAGATTATCTTTATTTAATTCAACCTGAGGTTACTTCTTTACTTTACTTTAGTAATTTTTGTCAGAGTGTTGGAAATTGGTTTTTGCTTTTTGTAAACTTTGTTCCAATAAGTTTGATGTTGACTCTGGAGATGATCAGATTGTTTTAGGCATATTTTATTATTAAAGATCCAGAGATGGGTCCAAATACAAAGGTTTAATCCTCCAATTTAAATGATGATCTCGGACAAATCAATCATATTTTCTCTGATAAAACTGGTACTTTAACAGCCAATTAGATGACCTTAAGGTAATATATATTTAAGAACTAAAATATCGACTTGCAAAGAGAGGATTCTCAATTAATATTCAATGAGGAGAATATTATCTATTTACTTCAATTCATACTTTGTAATGATATCAAAGTAAAAAATGGGAATGTACTATCCTCTTCAAGTGATGAAATGGCTTTAATAAACTACTTCTTGAATCAAGGACTCTAAATCTCAGAAGATGGTAAAAATTACCTCATCAATATATAAAATAAAGTGTACTATAGAATTGAGAAGGTCTATCTAATTCCATTTAGTAGTGATAGAAAGCGAATGTCAATCGTGTTAAGATTTTAAGAAAAACTCTACATATTTTGCAAAGGAGCAGACAGTATTATCTTGTAAAGAATAAAATAAACTGCAAATCATTAGGAAACTATCATATCTTTTAGCTAGGCTTATGCTAATCAGGGTTTGAGAGTGCTGTTATTCTCTTACAAAGAATTAGAAGAATAGGAATTCGCTGAATGGCTAGAGATATACGAAAGAACTCTGATATAATAGGATGAACGGATGTTGGAATAGTTGCAAAATCAGCTCGAAACCAATCTTGTTCTTTCGGGGGCAAGTGGTGTTGAGGACATTCTAAGTGAGCATGTTTAAGAGACTATAATTGAACTCTAATATGCTAATATCTAAATATGGATGATTACAGGAGACTCCTTTGCTACAGCTAAGGGAGTAGCCAAGAAAATTGGATTGATGAGTTCAAGATCAAAATCTATATTAGTTGAACATTAAACAATTAGTTAAATTGAGAGTTTAGTATTAGAGTCAGAAAAAAATGTTTCCAACTAATATGAAATTAGTTTAGTGATATTGGGTAAAATTCTAATTGAGTATTCAATGGAAGACAAGTTTAGATTAATAAAGTTAGCAAAGGAATGTTAATGCGTAATTTTTAGTCGTGTCTCCCCTAAATAGAAGAGAGAAGTAGTAGAACTATTTTAAAAATGCTTCCCAAATCTTTGCACATTGGCAATAGGAGATGGTGCCAATGATGTTAATATGATAACTGAAGCAAATGTAGGAATAGGAGTTTGTGGTGTTGAAGGGTTATAGGCTGCAAGAGCATCAGATTATGCGATTCCTCTATTTAAATGTTTACAGTAGTTGCTTCTATTTCATGGTAGAGAGTGTTATAGAAGAAATACTTAAGTAGTGACCTACAACTTTTACAAAAATGTATTGTACTTGATACCCTAATTTTGGTTTGGCTTATATAGTCAATTTTCAGCATAGTCGATCTATGATTTTTACGTGTTTCAATGCTACAATTTCATGTTTACATCATTGCCCATTATCGTTTATGGAGTATTCGATATCAAATTCAATGATACTATGCCGAATAAGTATTAATTTGGACAACAAGGGGGGTATTTGAATTTCAAAGTGTTCCTCCTATCATTATTAGAAGGAGTCTATCAAAGTTTGATAGTCTTCTTCTTTTGTTTTTATTTTTTAAACACATCATCTTCGAGTGGATTCGAGTATGGATTGTTAGTTCAAGGATAAATAATATTTTTCATTTGCATTTTTGTGGCGAATACCAAAATTCTACTTCTTTCACATTAAATTCAAGTTTTGTAGATTGTTATACAAACATTGTCATACGTATCTTATATATGTACGATTTTGATATTCAATAATGTTGTCGATTATCAACTCTACGGAGTACTTTAAGTGATTTTAACATAAGGGATTACTTATATAATAGTTCCACTTGTATCCTACTTGGCCATTAGTGTTATAATATATCAAAAGAAATACTAGTTATTTAAGACCTTAAAAAAAGTGTAGGTGTCATAATCAACAGCAATAAATGCCTCGTTGATAACTTTATGAAGATTTTGATTATGAAAAATATATACATATTATCATTTCATTTAGATATGAACCCAAAGACTTCTAAATCAGAGTAGGTGATGTATAAGAACCCATCATCTGGATCCTTCTTTTTCTCATAAATATCCGCCAACTTGACATCTAAGAATAACATTCAATTTATTACACCTTCAGGCAACAACTAATTTCCAATGTGAAAGTAAAGGGATTGCTTAGGAGAAATCTGTAGAGTGCGTTTTAATGTATCTCGGAATTGAATCATCCTAAAACTCTGAGTGACTAAATATCAACATTATAGAGATAAATGTACAATTAGTTTTTCAAGCTTTGAATTTAAGATTTGGGATGTTTCTCCAATATAATAGGAATCATTTCTGGGTTCTGACTCAACTTTTCTTTGAACTTAACTTGCCTTTCTTAAATTGAATGCATTTCCTTAAAGTTTTTGTAAGTCTTTTGAGTTTGCTGCATGTGAATTATACTTTGGTATTATTATTATTATTAATATACATAAAATAAAATACATCAACGCTTATATTTTTTTCCATCAAATGCTCCTTGGATTTAAGAAAAGGTTGCTTGTTTATCCCATTCCAATAAGATGTAATTTTAGTTGCCTACATTCAAGCAATTCAAGATCACATAATTGTGATAAATCAATGCATAATTGTCAACGATATCCAACTTTTATCCTGCATCCTTCTTCTCTGGTTACAGCATCTTGCTGAATTCTTACTCCTTCACTTCTTTAGGTGGCACTCCTCTTTGATGAAGTCTAATGAAATGATTACTATGATAAATAACAATTCTAACTTAGTAAATAATAACATTCTTTTGCTATCCTTGTTGTCAGTGATTGCTCCTCTTATTGGATCCTTCAAGAGAGAAACATTGAGTGGAGAATGCATCATGTGTTCCTTGGAATAAGAATTCATTTGCCATAATTGTTCTTTGAAGTCATAATTGTAAATTGCAAAAATATGAGAAGCATAAGTAACAAGTATTTTCATGCATTTGCCATTGATTATCAAGATATTAGTGACGTAATTTTGATTAGATCTACAGTCAATTTACTCAACGGTGTTATTAATGACATTCACAGAAACAAACTTCTGCAAGTAAGGATAGGTGATAATTAATGTTTTTTTGTTAACAAATTTCATTAGTTTTGGTTATCCATGAATTAATTAAGCTATAAATTGAGATTGTCCATTAATTTTATGTTTGAATAGTTTATCATCTTTGTCAATACTATAAAATGTATTCTAAGAGTGATCAAACTCCATACATTTGAAATGTGGATACACTTAATATTTTTTGAATTGCTTATCCACTTCATTCATCATAACAGTCTAGTCACTTTATCCATAACACAATAAATTTTTAGTCAATTTAATAAAATGAGCTGGTTTCTAGAGTTTGAATTCGCACCAATAAATAGGATCAGATTCAATGTCATAAGAGAGCAAATCGATAGAATCATACTTATTAATTGCAATATATTGATGATTACAAATGAACTGCTCACTTCTGGGAATAGTGAAAATGTGTGTAAACTAATTTTATTACAGTAACTAACCATTAGCATCTAATTTATAATAACAAATATCAGTATTCAAACCTCCAGATATTAGGATGTTATTCTTAATGAGTTCAAAAGCATAAACATCATGAGATTGTCCTCTTATTTGTTAGGTGATTTGGTATTGTGATCCATTGTAGGATAAACAAACAATTTTACTATCTACTCCACTCACATAAACATTATTTAGATTTGCATATAAAGTAAGAATATCTGACATGTGTGTTTGTATTTGTTGAATTTCCGTATTAAATTAAGTCTCATAAATAATGACACTTCCATTGGATGATCCAATGAATAGATTATTATTGCAAATGCACAATTTCCACGGAATAATAACATTGGCTTTGGCAATTTTGGAACTACTTATATTGAGTTGCCAAGTTTACTATTGTAGTAATGTCTTTTAAGTTAATTATCTGATAGATCCATTAGAGAATGATGCGTACACATACTCTTTATTGATAGCAATTGATAAACATTGGCAATCTAATTGTTGTGATTGTTGAATTTGATATACTTTATTGTTTTAATAATCGAATTTTCTGATTGAACCATCACTACATGCGCATAAAAAGTATGTATCAATGGTGGGTATGGATTAATAGATATTAATATTATCTGGCAATTAAAAATTATTTAGAGGTTTATAATCGTGAATATTAAACAATGAAATTTGACCACTTAAATATGCGCAAATAAAATCTAGAAATATTATTTAGATATGTACGTTCTTCATCAATCCAAAAGAGTGAACGAATTTAACTATTGATGGAACAACAAATTGAAATTTGAGTGTATGTTGGATAAGAGTAGATTTCAATCACTCCATTTTCTTTACCAACCAGCAATAATTGCTAATTAGGATTATTTGAGAGAGCTGTGATGGTTGATGGTAAATATGGAATTTGTTTATGATGTAAAGAAACATGAGCCTTTTCATATTACTTTTTAATCTGTGGTTGCTCTATTTACATTATTTTAAATTATATAAAATATATATGTCATGGTATTAATGACTCATTTAGCAGTTATTATTCTTCCGTTTTAGACTCCTCCTCTTAATTGTCTGTAGCACTTTCTTCAACAAGCATTTAATATGGAGGTAATGCTGGAGGATGTAGAATGTAGCTGACTTCCATGTATTAGAGGACAGTGTCGCCACCTAAAATAGAATTAAAGCAATTACGTGTTCCATATGCACAATGATAAGTCGATGATTTCTTATCAACATATTCACCTCCAACTTTAACGTAGAAATTACCAGCCCTACTATGAACATCAAATCCTGTTATTCCCTAGGCCAATACATTCTGATGAGATTCGAAAATAAAAGTAGAAGGAACTTCTCTCTCAAATCTTTGTACTCTCAATTTCATCCTATTTTCATTATCCAAAAATTAATTGAATTAATTGTCTGAACTACCCAAAGTTCCCATTATAGTAGAATAATCAGAAGAAATAAAGTAAGCTATTCTAAGAGTATTAATATGACATCTGTCTCTTGTCAAGAATCTTACTGCAGTTGCACTTCCTGTTGGTTTACCCAACTAAATTTAAATGGTTGTTGTTAATGAGTCGTAAACTTCAATTTCAGCACCTACAATGAATGCTACTACTCTTGGTGTTGGATATTTCAAATAATATTGAACCATGAAATCTTGGAATCTAGTACCAAAACCTTGTCTCAATCTAATCAAATCTTCAAATTAATAATTAACGTATTGCACTTCTGCTTCTGAATCTACGAATGCCACCCATCTTATTCTTAACACTGGAATGATTGCTGGACCATTAATTAGATAGTTGATATAGAACCCTTTCACAGTGACATCAGAAACAAAAGTTTGATAATTGATATTCCTATTTTTATTCCACTCTATTTCTTCGTGCATCAATAGAACTTAAGGACGTCTATTCAAATATTTATTATTCTGACCTGCTGAATTATCTTGGAAATTGCACTCTAGTGAACATCTGCAATGGGAAGACAGGTTCAACGAATTTGTTTTGTCTATTGATGGTTCTATCAATCCCAGATTGCCATTCTGTATAGCCATCATAGCCTAACTATCCCAAAACGCTAACACATAAAATTGCTGCAATTATAAACATTAATATTAAAAAAACGATATCAATTAGATAATAATTCTGCAATCAACTCCACCAAGGCCATTGTGTTTTGCATAAATATATCAAAAATTTCTCGTTTTCTTTATTACAACTAATAAAATTCTTCGACCCAGTCTTCGCTTTTAATACATTTAATTAATAACTAGAGTTCTTCTAAATTCATCAATTTTTCCTTGACTTCTTCAGCATCCACCTCTACTTAAGTTTAATCATAATTAACTCTTCTTTTTCCATAGATAAGATGAGTCATCACCTGTTGTAGATCATACTTATTATGAATCATGGCTTAAACCACATCCTCTCTTTTATAGCCCTATTCAATCAATTCCAAGACCTTCTTTTTATAATCTTCAGCATTATCTAATATCATCTCCTATAATTCAATGAGTTTTGACTTTTTTCGTTCTCTGATTGTTTGGATAATTAAATCTCCCTCTTGTACATTTTAATTGATCAACTATAGTTTTGGTTAAAGAATTCTGTTTTTATGTATATAATTATATTCCTCCTTTGTGTTGCTGACGATGTTATTGAGATCTTCCACGGTGATTTGTTGAGGAACTGTAACTTTGAGATTTTCCCTCGGAGAAATTTTAACAATAATTTAAATCATTAATAATTTATACTTACGAGGGGGGAATGTAAGACATATCATATGATGATTAGCAATTTGAGAAAAAGTGAGAGATGAATTCATTAAAGGGAAAGAGGATGATATCGAAATACTGGATTAAAGATTTGATTAAAGCTTGAATATAAATTAAGTTGCTAACATAATAAATTTTATTGATGAAATATTAACAACAGAATGATATAGAGGGTCAGAAGCATTCTCTGTTGAGTGTTGAGGATCTCACTGATTTATTTATCCTTAACAAAATCAACGATGGATAAAGTTTGGACAGGGTTAAATCATTGGGAGACGATTATGGTTTGGCTCGTAAACTAAACTCAGACACTAAAGTATGTAAGAGAGTCTAAACGCTAATAGTAAGGACTCAGCACAGAAGCTGATGTGTAAAAGAATAGGGAAAGCTTTGGAGACAACACACCAGTGGAGAAAGAGCCAACGACCTTGTGTGAGTTGATAATGGAATGTTTGGAAGACACCATGCTTCGAATACTGTTATTGGCTGCATTGGTATCAACAGTGATTGGAATAATAAATGAAGGATTGGCCACAGGATGGACAGAAGGGTAAGTTAATTGTTTAATCATAATAGGGCGACGATTTTTTTTGCCATATTTTTAATCATTTCAATCACGGCAGGAAATAACTATTTGAAAGAAAAACAATTCAGATAGTTGAGAAGAAGATTAGATGATGGAAAATGTCAAGTTATCAGAGGAAATAAGGTAACGGAAATTGCAACCAAAGATCTCGTTGTTGGAGACCTTCTATTATTTAATTTAGGAGATCTCTTCGTTGTAGATGGTAACAAAATAATTGTATTTTTATAATAGGTTTGATGATATAAGGTAGTGCAGTTAAAATGGATGAGTCAGCAATGACTGGAGAAAGTGACGAAATCAAAAAATTGCCATATTAAGAAATGGCGCAATAAAAACAATAGCAATTGAATCAAGATGCTGCCAGAGGTCATACAAGTCCATTTTTGATATCAGGAACTAAATGCTTAGATGGAACAGGCTAAATGCTAGTTCTAGCTGTTGGATAAAATACAATCTCTGGACAGTTAAAGAAGTTGTTGATTCAAGACAATCCACCAACTCCATTATAGTAGAAATTAGAAGGTGTGGCTTCAGATATAGGAAAATTGGGAGTTATCGTTTCAATCTTCACATTCATTGCCTTGATGGGACATCTTGGATATGACATTTATTTAGGTATGATACAATTCCAGAGTCTTAAGACCTTGTAAGTGATAGTGGAATCATTCATGATTTCTGTAACCATTATAGTTGTGGCTGTACCTGAAGGATTACCCTTGGCTGTTACAATAGCGTTGGCATATTCAGTTGGAAAAATGAAGGATGAATAAAATTTGGTTAAGAATCTATCATCTTGTGAAATAATGGGTGGAGCCAATAACATATGTAGTGATAAGACAGGCACATTAACCTAAAACATCATGCAAGTAACTGCCTTGTATGTTGAAAAGAACACTATCAAGAATGATGTCCATACAATTAAATCTAAATTGAATAAGAATACTGTTGAATTAATGTGTGAAAGTATATGCTACAATTCAAATGCCTTCCCTTAAAAGGATAAAGTGACCAATAAATGGATCTAAATTGGTAATAAGACTGAATGTGCTTTGTTAGAGTGCGCTGATAATTTCAATTATAACTTTTCTTAATACAGACCTAGTGATAAAATCCTTAGACAAATCCCATTCAATAGCAAGAGAAAGAAGATGAGCACTGCAGTATATAACCCTAAAACCTAATTTGTTAGAGTTTATACAAAGGGTGCTTCTGAAATTATCTTAAATCAATGCATCAAAATGGTAGGAGCTAATGGGGTTGAATAGATCTTAGACTAGAATGCAAGAAATTAAATCTATAATGATATAATCTAATAATTTGCTTCTGAATCCTTGAGAACTATAGCCATTGCTTATCGAGATCTCGATCCTCACTCTTAAAATTCAGGTGTATTAGGATAAATTCCTTAACTTACTAAATATACTTAATCAATCTAAGAGGACGATTTAGATAAAGATTTAGTGTTAATTGCAATTGCAGGAATCAAAGATCCAATAAGACCAGATGTCCCGAATTCAATCAAATAATGTCATTCATCTGGAGTGACTGTTAGAATGGTCACTGGTGATAATATATTGACTGCCACAGCCATAGCCAAAGAATGCGGAATTCTTCAAAGTAACAAACAACCAGGACAATATGAAGTGATGGAGGGCAAGTTTTTCAGAGAGTTTGTGGGAGGACTCAAGACAAGCAAAGACAAAGATGGAAATGAAATCAAAGAAGTAGGAAATAAAGAAACCTTTAAAGTGGTTGCCAGAGAGATGAAAGTTATGGCAAGAGCATCACCTGAAGATAAATACATTTTGGTTACTGGATTGATTGCTGAAGGTAATGTTATTGCAGTCACTGGTGATGGTACTAATGATGCTCCGGCTTTAAAAAAGGCAGATGTAGGATTTGCTATGGGTATCACTGGTTCTGATGTTGCCAAAGATGCTGCAGACATTATCCTTTTAGATGATAATTTCAGTTCCATAATCACTGGTACGTATTCTTTTTAATTTTAGCTATGAAATGGGGTAGAAATATTTACGATTGTATTAGGAAGTTTATTCAATTTCAATTAACTGTAAATCTAGTAGCTTTATTCATGTCCTTTTTGGGTGCAGTTGTTCTAAAAGAATCTCCTTTAAATACTATTGAAATGCTCTGGGTTAATCTTATTATGGACACCTTTGCTTCCTTAGCATTAGCGACTGAACCTCCCAATATTACAGTGCTTGAAAGATAACCATACAAGAGAGAGGATAAAATTGTATCCCCAACCATGAATAGAACCATCGTAGGAGGATCTATCTATCAGATTGTTGTTCTGTGTGGCATCTTGTTTGTTCTACCCAAATATATGGATTTATCAATGCCTGAAGAGTTAATAGGATAAAAGGTAATATGTATATATTATCAATTAAGTTCCATAAGAATGTAGTGTAGATGAGTATATTTTTCTAAACTTTTGTCGTTATGCAAGTGTTTAATTCAATTACATGCAGATAACTTGATTACAAAACTATCAACCCTTTTACTAATGCATGCAACAATCCTCTATTTTGGGGTGTCTAAACATTCACTTTGATAATCTAATGCATCCTAATTTAATTTGGCGGTAAATTTGTTAAGGTTTCCCATTTAACTCTTTAACAACATATACTTTGCATTGGATTTGGAGTAGGTAGCATTATTTTTTTGGCCTTTGTTAAATTAATCATTCCTGAAAAGTTCTGTCAAAGAGTTGAGCTTTTCAGAGAAGATATTATTACTGAGGATTAAATGGATGATACTTTAGCAAGTAGATTAAGAAGAAAATCAACTACAAGACAAAGAAATAGAAAAACTGAAAATTAAGATTATGTCACTGTCCGCAGTATATAAAGTCATTAAAGAATGTGAAATATTAATTATGATATTAATAATTCCATATATCTAATTTTTTAGAATAAGTCGCTACCAAAATAATATTGTTATAAACAATTAATAATGAAAATCTTTCACTAAGAGGGCAATTTTTCTATATGATGGAACATGTGACTTTCATTAGTAAAATACTCTTTTAAGATGTTATTCTCACTCAATAGTTCCAGCATTCCAGGATGCAATCCAGTAATATACACTTAAGTGCTATTTTCTATGTTTTTAAATACTATGATACTTCTCATATTATCTATAATAATGGCTAAACTGTCAACTGCTTGGAAATCGAAGACGCAAACATATCTGAAACTGAGAATGAAAATATCTGTCTTGGCTAATTCTTTGATCTGGTCGATGTGTCCTTTGATATTGATATAATTTAAGGCTCCATTAAATCTATAAACAGTATAGGTTCCTTCGAGATTGGGGGGAATGTCATTGCATTCTTCTTCAAATTCATGAAGATTAGAATCTCTTAGATTTATTTAATACACTCCTTCCTTTTGATTGGTCATCACTTCTGCTGAAGGTGAACTCATTTTTTGAGCAAAAATAATTAGAGCATGCATGCTGCCAATAAGAGTACTTTGAATGGCACCATAATTAACACACAACCAAGCAATACAAAAAATATAGAATAAAATTAATTTTCTTTAAGTCCTGTAGAGATTAACATAGTAATGCCAAGGTGGTATATTAATAATCATGTACAGCAATTGACCACTAATAATATAGAAGGGTATATCCATAAAAAATTTACTAAAAACTCCATAGAAGAACAGTATTGATAATGCATTAAGAATGGAGGACCATTGATTGGTCTTACGTAACTTAATATCCAGAATGTACATTCTTGAAGATGCACAACAAGGCAACCCACCAAATATTCCACTTAAAATATTGGCAGTAGATACACATTGTATTTCCTGATCATAGTCACATTTAACACCACTTAAAGATTAACCTGCCCTTGCACAGAATTGATTTTATATCAAAATAAAAAGTGTAATGGGTATAGCTTAAGTTAATAGATGACTAACAACTTAAAAGTCTGGATGAAATTTTGGGCCATCGTATTCTATAAAATTAAAATATATTGTGACTTCTCCATATGCTGATCTCAAGCATTTTTCAGTTGGATAGACTATTCCCAAGGTTAATCCAGTTAATGTAGTTATGAATATCCATGGAAATTACCTAAAAAATATTCTACCCATCTACAAAAAGAGGAAAACACACCATGCACCTACTAAATAGTATAGATCTCCTCTCTCTTGAAAAGACATAAACATATCGTAATAGGATGAATACAGTTCTACTCCTCTATTCGAATGATTATCTGTTAATCCAAACATATAATCACTATATGAAAAAAAAAATAAACTTGCAATCCCTAACAAGAATCCTTCTATAACATAAACCGGAATAAAATCAGATAAATGATGCCATTTTAATAAGCCTGCCAAATAAATGTAGATTCCCACTATTATTGTGATCCAAGGCATTACTTCAACACCATAGGTCTTCACCAATTGATAGTTCAATCCAATTACGACCCAAGACGGCATATATATTGAATGGTTGCCTTATCAATCTTTAAAATATACTTCCACTAAAAAATCCATTGGTTAAGGCTGCTATGAATGCAGTCGTAATACCAACAGAGGCGTTGCAACCTGAACTACTACCAATAGTTAAGTGAAATGGCATATTCAATATTGTCTAGGCCATGCCACTCTTCCATGAATCTCTAATATAGGTCAATCCACTCTTAAAACTGTGAACAGACAGATGATCTAAACTGGATTATTTTTGGAGTTTGCTTGATTTAGCTTTGGGTACTTATTATTGATTTTCATTTTAATTCAGTGTTGGAATTTCAATTAAAGGTTATTAAGACATAAATAATATTAACAAACATATGCTAAAGTTATTTATTCTGACCTTTTTAATAATTACAATTTCAGCCAGATTGGACCAATAAGATCCTGCAGTTGGAAAGAAAAATACAAGTTCAAACAAATAAGAAAGTGATGTTATGAAATACAGGAGAGCAGCCGCCATGGCCAAAGAGGAATTCTAGGGTATGGAAGTGTCAATAACAGTGATTAGAACTATGTGGTCTCAATGGTTTTGTGTGGAAATAAACTACTTAGGTTGATACTCAAGTAGTCTCTGGATTCAATTACAGCATCTATGGTAAAGTATAGAAGGGAGATCAGACAAGAACAGTCAAGGTTTCTTTTTATATTCCAGCTGGATAGGATTCCAGAATTAAAGCTACCGGTTGCAATATTGTTGCTTGAAGTAATACAATAAAAACAATATATATATATATTAATAATGCCTTATTCATTCAAACTCTTAGTTCACGATGTCTAACTTCAAATTTCAGATCCAATTTTGATCTCCAGTCCTTCTCTTTCATTCACCATAGCCAATTATCCCAAAATTGTAGTTAACGGAAAATGTCCTATAAGTAATGTCAAGGGAACATACGATTAACAGAAACCATTTGGCCATGGGAAATCAATTTTATTGCATTTGAATCAGGATAAAATGACAGACATCTTGAGGGAAATGCCCCTTGAAATATTATTTTTGAATGGACAAGCAATTGTAGCTGGAGCAAGGATTAATTTAGAGCATTTTATTCCAGACATTGATTCAGAATTGAAGTTCAAGAGAGGCAACTTCCATTTACTCGATCATTTTGGGAAACCCTATTTGTTGGCTGATATTTCAATAAGCATACACGACCCAGATAAAATTCCAGAAGTTTTGAAAGAGGAAAGAGAAAGACAAATCTAAATGATGAAATAAAAATAACAACATGATTACTTACAATAACTAGAGAAGCCAAATGATCCAGAACCAGTCCCAGATTAAATAGTTTATAACAAAAAGAAGAAACAAGACTCCACTCCAAAAAATTAGTATTCACATCCAAACACATAATCTGAATAGAGAAGTCCAAGAAATATGAATGACATTGAGCAAATAAGTTAATAACCAAAAATAACCATCCAACAACCACGTTAATCAACTATGCAATCTACTTAACCTAAAATCCCATAAAGACCTGTAAGTGCTACACCCAAATCCAACGTCCATCCTAATTCAAAATAGCCAAACAGTTTCCATGAATCCAAAGCAGCATCTTAAAAACAACCGGTGAAAAAACCCTTAAAACCAGCACTCAAAGTAAATTAAAAAACATCCAAACCAATTCCCTAGAATTCTTAACCATAATCAACGATTAAAAAGAACCCAAATTCTGTAATCATACCAGAACCAGATGAAATTAAGGATATTCCTATTACTGAATGGGTTAATTAAGTTTACTGTCCTCCACCAATGTTTCTGGATAAGAAAGTGTATGTGCACAAGGTTTATAATGCACCTGAAGAATAAGTCGAGAAATATGTAAAACCCGCAAAATTCTACTCTATTGGGATACAAACAGATTTTTAATTGCCAGATGTAAAAGCCCAATAAACTGAATACTCTCAGGATCCTTAAGATTACACTCCTAAGGACAGAGTATAAACCCAAACAGTTGTATCTGATAATTACTAAGAGGACTTTGAAAGCTTTGTTTAATCTTAATCCTAATTCTCATAGAGTTAACAACTGAAGCAATCGAAAACTCCTAGAAATTAACCTTCCTAAAATAGGAGAACTACCTCTATTTAAGAAGCAGTTGAAGAAGATGTTATATCAGATATCTATTCTTAAGATTTTGAATAAATTAGTTAGAGTTAAACTTTTAAAAGAAGTTTATCAAAAAAGGATGATATTTCAGATTCATATATCCCAGATTTTGAGTCTATCAGCCAATCTTAATAATTTAGGAAAAAATGATTTTTATTATTTATTTTATAATATTTCATAATGGGTAATAAATAAACTCCTGCGTAATAATCAATTCAAGCATATATCAAACATCTAAAGACAAGGAAGGAAACCTTAAATCTAACAGGGCTGAAATGCATGAAGTATGATAATATTATTGTGACCATTGATTAATGGAAGAAAATGAGTTAAAAACTATTATAAATCTAATATGAATATCCGAAATACAATTAGAGAATTAAAAAGATAATTTAGGAGCTCAAGATATTCATCGAGAACATCAATTCTGAAGAGTTGATCAAGGCTTTTCAGAACAAACAAAAATTAGAAGAGTTCTTGCGTTTAGATAATAGTGAAGCTTATCCTTGTCTAAATCTTAGTGAACACATTCAAATTGATTAATGCTAATTGCATGTACAATCCATGATAAAATCTACAAGAATTAAAAGAAGAATTTTAAACAACATTAATGAACTTAAAAAATAATCTAAATTAAAGAACTTAGTTGAAAAAGAAATCTTATAAAAAGATAATTTTATTATGATCATCATAAAAAAATATTGTTAAATTGTATTATAAACATTTCAATAGATAAACATGAATGAGCTTAATTAAGAAACAATTGATCATTAACAATCCCTTACATTTATAACGAAATTTCAATAGAAATTGCTGACTGATATCTACATGAAAGAGATTGATCCTGATATTACATTAAAAACCATTTTCTCCTATGAGAAAATATTTCTTCATTATATTAATTTTTTAAAATGCACAAACTCAGAAGAATTAAAGGCTTACGAATAAATGCTAGATCTAAAATAAAATCTTACTCTTAGTGATTTGGGAGCAGAATAAGCATTTTGGTTGAGTGAAAAGAAAGATCCCTATTCTGAAGTTGTTCTCTAATTAAATTTTATTTAGAAATAAATATGTCCTGTAAGAAAATTTGAACTTATAGGAAAGCTTAAATATACAATATGCAAAGTAAGAATACTAAATAATTATAAGTGCTTAGACGAATATTATATCTAACATCCGATGAAAAATCAGAAACAATTGCAAGTAGATAGCGATCACTTTTTAATTATCTTGATTTACACTTTGATTCGATAAAATTAACCTACTTTTTTTATTCATCTTAAATTCATTTTATTTACAATGTCAAAGGAGATCGGTAAATCAATCATTTCTCATTCTTTTAGAAATAGACAGAGGTCAGAATTCTTGGGTTTTTGTCAGCCTCATTGCCGCTGTGACTTAAATTTAAGTTAAAGATATTTGCAGAAATAATCTCTAAAATTGTTTAGAAACTGTTATCTAGAGTTAATTTAATCTAGAAGGAATGTGATCTATATTTTTTTAGATTAAAACCAAATTTTTGTCTATTATTGCAAGTAAATAATTTTGAAACCAAATAATAATTAATGAAATTTGTATCTTAATTATATAAAAAATATAATTTTAAAGAAATCACAAATATTCGCTTAAATCAAAGTCCTCAATAGAATGTTTTCTTCCTTACTCAAACTTTACTCTTTTTTTATTAAGATGATTTTGTTATTAAAAGTACAAAGTTCGTTTACATTTTAATTTAAAGGACTTACATCATTAGGTGATAAAATTGTTAACTACATCTTAATCATCAGTATTAGCTTGGGAAATTAATACTTAAACTATTTTGACTTATCGAATAGGGTTATATTTATTTAGTAATAATTATATTCTTGTTCTTTTTAAGCGGATCTGTTTTCATGATTACTCCTAATTTTTTTAAATATCAGATATTACTCTATCATTATTGATAGAAGACGGCCTTTTTATTGTCTTTGTTATGAAACATAGGTCGAAATTCGTCGAAACTATCATTTGAATTTAAGGATAAAAAGAAAACATCATTATTTATCTTATGATACTACTATATACTATTTTATATTTTGCTATAATGATTCAATATTTTTATCTACGAACTCCAGCCAAACATGCCCTATATATATTTCTAGGGTTTTCTGGGAACATATCCGCATGAATTCTTAAGTCTTCCATATTATCTATTAAATTGAATTGCAAATCATTATGATACCTAATTCTCCTTTTTTTGTCCACATCGCTTCAGCTGTATATCTTTTGCACATGTCTTCAGCTTCTTTTCTCAAAACAGGATCATTTACTCTGCCAGTAGCATAATCACATCCCTTCCAACAGATTTAGATTGATGGGTTATACCATGAAAATACATCTTAACACATGGCGTAGCAAGTACCACCATTGTACCTAAGAATTTACCCACCTAATATTGATTGATTAGATTACCTGTTGCCATTTTGATTATTAAAAATAAAATGTTATTGTATATTATATAAGTTTAATAATTAATATACTCATTAACTTTTGTATTGGTATTGCGAGAGATTCATAGTGGATGATAATCACTGTAGAATAATTACATAAATAAAACAGTTATTATAAATAAGGGTATATATAGAGAGTCATTAAAAAATTAAATCTTTAAATTTAAATAAAAACAAACAATGTCCAACAATAAGGAATAAATCAAGGCAGAACTTGAAGAGAATAGAAAGAAATTAGCTGAAAAATTTGGACAAACTAAAATGGGCAGCACTTTGGCCAGAAGAAAGCATAAAAATGTTCACTAAACTTAAGTACGTAATGGAAATAATCATTATAGATAAATGACGATAAGAAGCTTAAATAAGTTATTAAGAAATTTGGAGTACAACAATTGGGGAATATTGATGAAGTCAACTTTTTCAAAGATGATAATACAATTATTCACTTTTCAAAACCAGAAGTCCAAGCAGCTATTGGAAGCAATACATTTGCCATTTTTGGAAATCCAGAAACTAAAAAGTTTGCAGAGTTGATGCCAGAGATTTTGAATCATATTGGTCCAAACTAAATGGGTCTTCTTTAAGAATTAATGAAAGAAAATTAGAGTAAGGTACATAATTTAAAAAAAATTTAAGGAAAAAGTTGAAAAAATTGCTGAGGCTGATGCAAAGGATGAAGACGATATTCCAGTATTGGTGTAGGGATAAAACTTCGAAGAAGCAAGCAAGAAAGAATGAGTTAAAATATCATATATTATGTATACCATCCATTATTTAATAACCAATATCTATTATGTTTTTGTTTGAGGAGATCTTAATCACGAGCTTTAATGGGGGTATGAATAATCAGAAGGATATTATCGTCTCTGGATCAATATTTATAGTGTTTTTGAATAATTAATCAGAATTGGTTGGAGTTTTGAGAGGGCTTTATAGAAATCACATGAAAGTGAATCCCATTTGAAATTATTATTAATTTAATTAATATTATGGTGTTGACTGCTAGACAAAGGGATGAATTAAATTAAGCAATACATCAATATTTATTGATAAGCTATCAATAAAGTGCATAAGTGTTTAAAACTGAAGCTGTTGTTAAGGATGGCTAAATTGAGGCTGATTTATTGGAAAAAAAATGGAATTCTATTGTAAGGTTGTCAAAAAGAGTAATAACTTTGGAATAGCAAGTAGAACAATTGAATGAATAATTAGCATAAGCTTAAGCTGGCAAAATACAATTTAATAAATGTACATCAAATAAAGTTAAGATATAGCTGATGATGAATAAAGATTAACACCCATTGAGAAATTTAAATTAGAAGGACATAGAGCTGGAGTGAATTGTGTGGCTTTTCATCCCTAATACTAAATTCTGGGTTCAGCAAGCGATGATGGCAGTATTAAATTATGGGATTACGAAAGTGGTCATTTCGAAAAAACCTTAAAAGGACATACAAGTAATGTAAATTGTTTGGCATTTGATCCTACTGGAAAATATATTTGTAGTGCTAGTAGTGTATAATTAAATTTGATAATAAGGATTTATCAATAAAATTATGGGAATTAAAAAACCATACCTGTGTAAAAACACTTATTGGTCATGAACATAGTGTATCAACTGTTTAGTTCTCTGATCATGGAGATTTTATATTGAGTGCTAGTAGAGATAAAAGTATCAAATTATGGGAAGTGTAGACTGGATTTTGCAAGAAAACATTCTCTGAGCATCAAGAATGGGTCAGATGTGCTGTATTTAGTAATGATGAAAAACAAATGGCTTCTTGTTCTTAGGATTAAATGATTTATATATGGGTAATAGATAGCGGATAAATTTTGCACCAATTGAGTGGACATGAACATGTGGTTGAATAAGTCAAATATGTTCCAGAACATGGGGCTAAACAAATTCTGACTCCACAATAACAGCAAAATATTTAAACGATTAATTTATTAGTTTCTGTATCAAGAGATAAGGAAATCAAAATATGGAATACTATTTTAGGAACTAATCTGTTTACATTATCTGGACATGACAATTGGGTCAATGGAGTTTCTTTTCATCCTGATGGAGTGCATATGCTATCAGTATCTGATGATAAGACAATTAGAGTATATGATTTATATTGACAATAGGTTTGGAATTTGAAAGAATAGAAACAAAAAAAGAAGATTGAAAATGCTCATGATAAGTTCATTTTGAAATGTGAAATAAATAAATTTATATTCGCCACATGTTCTGTAGACCAAACAATTAAATTATGGCTATTAAGTTGATCAAATAAATAATATTTATCAAAAATATGTAAAATACAGTTAATTAATTTTATATGATAATTATGATATATTAATATAATATAATCAGAATCTCCTTCTTAAATTCCATACCGATTAAATATGCTATTCAAATTGAATGTCATCTTCAATTAACACATTTAAATTATTATAATATCCAATGAATTCTTCAAAGGTTACGTTCGGATTTTTCACATAATCTCCTCCTGTCTATAAAATAGTTAAAATTCATACAAAAACAATGTGGTGTTATTCAAACGTGTCTATGAATTCACATAAAATGTCATCCTCTCTTCTTCTGTTGGCTCTGACATCAGGATGGTCCTTTGCATTGAATTATTCTATTATTTATTAAATTCTAATTACATTTAACTATATCGATGGTAGCCTTTGGAAGAGATTCAAATGCTTATTGAACAGCATTAAATTTCCTTAAACTCATCGTACCTTAAACTTATTTAATGAATCCATCATAATTCATCATTCCATTTGTTTGGAATTATTGGAAAACTTCATCTAAAATTTAATCGCTCACTTCCAATCTCCATTATTTAAAGCAATTCTTCCATTCCTAGTATGATAATGCATTCAAATGGGATTTATCATACAATTAAAATCTATACTATATATTTATCAACCCCCTCAATCCTCTTTAAGAAATTTTATTTCTCAAAATTTGCACTCCATCCATCTTTTATTTGCTTGATTTTACACTTTGCTCTCTTTCTTACTATTATTATTGTGATTATTATGAAATCTATGATTAAGACAGTGGGATTTATTAAAGTTATGATCCATTTTAAACTGCTTTGACATCTTCCAATGGTTTAAATATGTTAAATGAAGCTGGTTAATTATAACCTACAGAAGGTCTTGATTAAGCTAATTATTCTTGTTGGGTAAATGTTCCAAATGGTGCATTTGCAGAAACACTACCTCCTTGTAAAACATATCTATGATGATCTTATAAATAACTTCTTTTATGATCTGGTTCAAAAACTTACTTATTACCAGCATGATGATTCTTTCCTCCATCTTACAGTAATCTGAAAACATTCACAATTATCTACTCGAAATATTTATCATCTGGTATTGAAGCACTATAATTACTAAAGAATTCTAATAGTTCTTCTTTTGTAATATTTTCATGTCCAAATCCTCCATTAATATTATGTAATTATTGTAATGGTTCAAAAAAGTCTTAAACAATTTCATCATCACTTTTCTTACCACTTTTTAGATCTGGGTGATTCCTACAGATGAAGTTATTTCTTAATGTTGACAATGTGACATAGTCATTTGTTCTATATTTTTCAAATAACTATTCAATTAATTAAATCCTCTATGATGGCATTTCACCTCTTAATACAAACATGAAACCCCAGAGATCTATTAAACCAGATTATTCTCTATCGAAATATTGGAAGACAAGATCTATTTCAGGGTCTGTTACTTCAATTTTATGATCTCTAATGGCCTTTCTAAACTCAGTCAAATTCAACATCCCATCATGATCAGCATCTAAGATTTTTCCAACTCTATACAAAGATATGAATCCTCTTGCTCCTCTTGATATCAATCTATTTCTGATTCTTTGTACTATTAATTCAACCTATCTTGATGTTGAGGACATCTAAGATGCATTTGATTATTGAGATTTTACTGATTTTGGAACAGATTATCGTTGTTATTGTTATTGTTATTGTTATTATTATTATTATTATTATTGATAAGATTTTACTGATTTGTCTTAAGATGGGGAAAAATTTAATTATTAGACAATTTGAGGATTGGTTATTATGTTCTATGATTCAGGCGAATAATTGAATTATTACTATTATTATTTTGCACTTTGAGGTGGAGTACCATATTATGGGGCTTATTGTTAAAATTAATTCAAATCCCAAACAGAAGCCAGAATAGTCTTAAATATTTCATCATTTGTCACATAAAATCCAAAATAAGAGTAAAAATCAAAAAAATCTTGTATTGTCAACATTTTAATTCCTCTTAATTATAGATAGACACTTAATCCTGATAAAAATTCTTCTCTAACGTCATTAGGCGATCTATTTAGTATTTTAATTTCTGGATGTCTATCTGCATTGAATCTATTCACTAACTACTGAGGATTGACTTCTCTTTATTCAAATGTGTAAAATACATCTGACACTACTCCTTACCTGGATTAATTCAAGTATTGACCCTTAATTTAATTAATCAAGTTTGAAGCACTCATATACTCTCCATTGAATAATTAATACAACCCATCCACTTCTATATTATTCCTTTTCAAATAATCCTGCAATTGCTAAGCAGTAAATTAACTTGGTAAACTTATTGCTAAATTCAATATGCCTAAAGCCCCTTTCAATTGTAATTTAACTCTTAGTTATTCTAATGGACTTCCTGTTTGTACTATTCTTGATTCTGCTTATTCCTCCAATGATTGCTTCCCAACAACTCTATTGATAAACTCCTTATAATTTAGTTATTCATTAACGGAGTAAGTTGTCCAAAGTCTCTCTCCAAACTAAATTTAAGAAATTCTTTTACTTCTTAATCTGAAATCGTAACACCTGCTTTAGCTATTGCTTTTAAAAAGTCTTGCTTTTTCAAATTCCCTTCATTGCTAAGGTCGAAGAATTTGAATATTTTGAGTAACACTGTTTCAACACCTATTCTTGAAGAAGCTTTGAATTAAAGTTTTGTTACAAGTTCTTTTTCAAATTGCTAAATATCCATTTTAACGATAATTTAAATTGTAATTTTAGAAAAGACATCTCGTCATAAGTTTCCCAATATTTGAGAAAGATACTTTGTATTTTAAATATATTTAGGACAACAATCACCAATACCCAAAAAATATAAACTTAATTATTTAGCTTTCATACATGTTTAATAATTTGAGTAGATTTAATATATTTTTGAACACGAAGGATCATGACAATCATCTAATTCAAAAACATATATAGAATTTTAGAGATTAAAAATATCCTAACTTTACTACTAATAATTTTTGATAAATATTATTAATTGAAATTAATCTCTCACTCCTATTCTTCAGATCCAAAAGTTATTTGTTGCCATGTGTCTGATTCAATGTCTTATGATATTAAAGCCGAATTCTAACCCAGAAACAAATATATTTTCTTAAACGGATTTGGGCTTTGATATTCAACAGTTGGTAAGAATTACATAAATGCTATTGAGAGGCTTTCAGCGACAAAAATATCATAAGAAAATATAACATAGCCTTTGTTCTTTTCAAGATGCTAAAATGTACGGATTGGTTTAGCCTTAGTTTAATATTTAAGATTTCTGATTAATTTGTTCTTGTGTAGATTATAAACTCTGACTCCAAAATGATGTTATACTACGACCAAATTATTGACATTCCATATTTTGGCCTTTATTTTTTAAAAGTATTTTGGTTCAAATGATAATAAGAATTATTTAACAACCTTCAATTTAGTATTTTTCTTTCTGAATACTTTTAAGCAAATTAACTTTTATTATCTTATCATTTGCAGTGTTGAGAGATAAGCGTCCTTATTCTAAACAAATCTCCAATCAAAGGTTTCAGAGTTGACCTAATATACTTCGCTTTGATCCCCAAGAATATGTGATGTTTCCAATGTACCATTTGTTTACATTAATTTGTAGTTGGAATCTTCTGTAAAGGATAATTTCAGTTGTTTATAGGCTTCAAAAGTGATAAACTTTAATTTGTATTGCTAATTAGTTTAGATATCAAAAATGATATAATCCTATTCGCCCAAAAAAAAAATAAATTTAGAATCAGGAGTGAATTAAATGGAAAATGTATCTGCATCGTCATCATGCTCAAAGACAATCTGATTGGTTTTTAAATCTATTACTGTAGCATTGTAATATTCCTTGTATTTTTCATAAAGAAATATACAGCAGACAAATTAGTTATTGTTTGAGATAATTATATTATTTATTAGACTATCAGCCTTGCTGGGATGTTTTTAAATTTTAGCTTGCAATTCTTTGACAATGCAAATATTTTGTGATTCAAATTGCATTTATTAATATCATCAAATAAAAATGGAGTTTAACTTAAGAAATGAATAAATGATAGCATATCATAGAAATAGAGAGGATTATGAACCATAACCTGAGGATTGTTTATAATTTGCTTATGGCGATCGTAGATACGTGAAGATGACAAACTAAATTTTTGCAAGTGATGATGTTTTGAAACTGAAAAATTTAGAGGAAATCAATGAAGATTTGTAATTCTTATATTTATTAAAACATTAATAGTCATAGAGGAGATTTTATAACCTTGGCATTGTTATCTAGTGATATACTGGATGTTTTAATGAGTCATTTATCCAATCCTCACGAGAGAATTCGAGAACTCTCTTCGAGTGCAATTGTAACAATATTTTATACTATAAAAAGGTGTTGATTAGTTCAATAAAATTTGGAAGAGATAAGATAATGGAGAGGTGTTATGTTCCAACAATAATGAAACTTCTGAATGATTAAGTTGTTAATATTAGAAAAAATGGATACCTAAGTTTATTAAACATGACTGAATTTTAATAAGGTAATTATCATATTCAAAATTGTAGGAGTTGATCATGTTTATGCATAGGGTATTTTGGTACCATTGGTTAACAAATTGGTTGAGGAGAGTGTCGAGGATTTATTGACTCTGGATTTGCAATTGTTAGAGAAAATATTGTATTGTGGAGATGCCTAAGTCGAAATTCTGAAAACATAAGCTATTAAGAGATTAACATAACTTTTAAAACGATCTAATTTTAAGTTGAGATCCTTGGCTTGTAAGAATTTAGCTTGCATTTCATATGATGCAAATGGGAAATTAGATGTTATCAATTAAGGATGCGTTCTTGAATTGTGTGCACGATTATTAGATGATCATAATGAAGTTATCACTAATGCGACAATGGCTTTGGCTAGTTTAGCCTAGCATAATGAATGCAAATTTCAAATGATGGATAATAATAAGCTAGATATTGTTATTAAATTGCTTAGTCACAACGATCACTAAATCAAATTAAATAGTGTTCAATTAGTAACTAGTCTTGCTGAACATCCAAAAGGAAGAAAGGAATGTTATAAATGTTTGCCTACTCTTTAGAACTTTTCAACTGACCCTTAATATGAGTACATCAGTCCATATGCTATCTAGGCCATCGAAGTCATTAAGTGGGAACCTTGAAAAATAAATTATATAATATATATTTATTATTAATGGAAAGAGATCCCTTTTATAACAATGAGTAATAAAATGAATTGCGACCCTATAAGCCAAGTAAGTTTTGAAAACAAAATAAGCGTAGGAATAAACCTTCTTTGAGAGATTTTCATATTCATCCTTAACATTCAAAACTACTGTCGTTTAATTCATAATATTCTTTTTAACTATAATTCACACAGTTTATTTGACTGAAAAATATTTGGAAGACGATGAGGATGAATCTGACATTTATAGTTTTGAATGTGTATTGTACACTTGGGGTTCAAAACACACTCCCTCAATTATATACCGTTTTTAATATTGGAGATTAGTCTGCCCTATATTTCTTCATGGATCCTTTTCACATATTATAGGCAATATGATGGTTCAAATATATTACGGATTCATTTTAGAATTAACGCATGGATGGAGAAGAGTTTCAATTCTCTACATAGTAGGAGGAATAGGGGCTTCCTTATTCTCATGCGTTAGATTTTATTCTGAGACATCTGTAGGAGCAAGTGGATCAATATTCGCTTTATTAGCTCTTGAGTTAATCTATTTTATAACTGCTTTTCCTGGAATTGAACCAAAAAGAATTGTTGTATTTATTTTATTAGCTCCCATGATTTTCTTATCCTTCATTGACGCTCCTCCTCAAGTTGACATTGCTGGTCATTTGGGAGGACTAGTTGTAGGATTGCTTATAGGAATAGGATATGCATTTGCAGATGCTCAAAGCAATATGTATTATTACATAATATCAATAGCAAAAAATAATGCTAATACATTTTTTACGGTTTGGTTGGACTTTTGTTTATTTATATTTTCACCATCCTCTACCAGGCTAAATTAGAAGATGAATAAATATGCTAAGGAATGAATATTATTTGAATTCCAATATCATTTTACATAAACTATAATATTTATAATGAATTATGTAATTAAATAAACAGAATTATTTTTAAGGGGACTAAAGACATGCCACTCAATTGATTAGAACTTGTAATGTTACTTTTGCACTAATGGTATATTAAAATATTAAAAAATTTAGGAATTTTATTGTTGAGTAATTATCAATAATTTGACGATGTTGATTCTAAGAAGCCCACATTTTTTTTTTATCTTAAGTCAAATTCATTTGAACAACTTCAAACTAATTCAATTCATTATAAAATGCCACAAAACTTGTCTCCAGATCTCTAAATAAAACTATAAAAACTCAATGCCACTTTGGATAAATTAGTTTTCGAATTAAACATAAATTAGCTATATACAAGTTTAAAACCCTTTAAAAAATAAATCAAAAAAATAGAGATTCAAGTTTATTACACTATTTCCCAATTGAGAGTCATACAAAAATTTAAAATGATTGTATTTTTCAAGGATTCCTTTTTTACTATTGAATGCCCAATCATTTAATTAGACGAAATTGAATAAATGGAATCTATTAGAAAATACATGGAAAAAAGAAAACACTTAGAAGTATTTGAAGTTGATCCAAAAATCTCAGAATACTTGAATGATTTCAATCAAAAAGAAGCAATTTAATTGATTTTGAAAAAGAACAGCATTGAAATTCATTTAAACAGTGAAAAGCAGGAGACATCTCTTGAATTAAATAGTGGATTTTTAACTTAATATAAGTTTGATGAATTCTCTAAAAATTACTAAAATATAAATACTATCAATATAGAACCCAATGTGTTAACACCTTTTCATGGATACGGATTCAAAGTCTCAATTTCTAGAGACAGTAATCAAAAATCCAGAATATTTATTTCTCAAGATTGGCAAGATTAAATGAGTATGGTTCTGAAATCCATCACAACTCTTATTAACAAGATAAAAATCATCTCTATTTTAGATGATGATCATAATGATGATGAATTGTATACTTTATTTTTATTTAATTTTAGACTCGACATTATAGCTGAATATTAGATTGATAGAGTACAGGAACAGGAGTCAATTATGGAAAATGAATAAATAGAAGAACAATAGATGAGAAAGAAAATAAAAATGAATTTTAAAAGTTGATTCTCATTTTTATTCAAATAAATGCTAAATTTATTATGTAATGATAATATAGTGATGAATAAGATTATGTGAAAATTTAATGTACTATTTTGTAATAATAGCTTGATTAAATCACTTTTTCTATGTATTTTTAACTTTTGGTTATGCTTAAGTTCCTGCTCTAAAACCATTCTTTGCTCTTCTGGCAATTGATTTCAAATATCTCATTCTTCCTGTTCCAGTTGATCTACGTCTGGCAACCTTTTCACCCCATCCACTGTCTAATATTGTATTAATTTATTATAATACAGAGTCTTAATCTAGCAGCTGGGTATCCACATGATGCGCATCTGTTTTTTTAAATGTGGAATGTTTATCTACCACATCTCTTGCAGAAAGTATGAGTCTTTTAGTGTCTTTTACCGATTGCTGGTGTACCTCTTGCCATTTAATTATTTAATAAAAGATTTAATTTTATGAAATAATCTCATAACACTAAGAAAAATAAAGATGATAAGAAATCTTTTGTAATATAGGTAATATGAATTATTAGTTATAAACAATCCAGATCATCGTTAATCCAAAAGATTTCTTAATTAAAAATATACAATATGTTTATCTAAAACACATTCATTTTTTTTTGGTTTTTTATTTTAATCGATTTATCCATTCTTAAGACACATTTATTTCCTTTTTTTCAATATTTGCTTTTGCCTAAAAGTATTCTTCTAGGTTTTATTCAAATTTTTTATATTCATTAAGTTTGGTGTTGCTTTCTTACTAAACCTTCTTTCGTACCAAATTACTATTTTGAACAATTAAGGGCGCATTTTCATTATTATTGTTGTTATTTATTGTGATAGATGGTCTCGATTATTTTGTTTCATCATAATAGCTTAAGCAATCCTACTATTTTTCATTGAGAAGCGATATAAATAACTGTAATCGCTCCTTAGTTTTAGAATATATTTGAGTTTGTGAATAGAACTTTTTATCTAATACTTACTTCAATGAAATCAAAAAGTCCTATGTTTTACATCAGATTCTTACATTCACTTCTTTGTTCCTCAAAACTATGTTGGTAAATGAGTATTTCATGAGTCTCAAACAATGAATTGATTAAGAAATTTTTTCTTTGTGTGAAAATGATTTCACTACCTCTTGCAATTCTTTATGCTTTATCTAAGTTACCTTATAAGATTTTTCCAGCTCTCTAATTATGGTGACATAATCTTTAAGATGCTTGATATCAATAGGTTTTGTAATTTAAGAAAATTACTTAATATGTTAAAGAATTTTCTAGCATAAAATTTAAGTATTACTTCCATGTAAATCCTAACCGATTTGTAGATTTAGTCAAAAAAGAAATCATATTATTCTATTTATTAGAATGTGTAAGTAAAGTACTACTGCAATTCTTTGTATGTATAGTTCTCCACAAATATTAATTCAATTATTTATGTCAAATAGCATTATTATTCTATGATATCATAATTTGTTTCATCTGTCGAAGGTGTCTCACATCGCAGAATCTCCTTGTTTACCATGCATTACATATTCATAATTTTTAAATACAAAAATAATTAAAAAAATTCCACACACTCAATAGAGATCAATTAATACAATTAAAATTAATCCCAATTAATAGAGTTTCTATTCTCCTCATCTTCAAGAAGATTGGCAGACAAATAGTTAATAAATATAATTATTTATTTCATAACCTTGTTTTCCTCCTCTTTTACTCATCCATAATCAAAAACAAGAACATTTTTAAGAATACTGATTACCCCATTAAATTGTGTTAATTTTATTCCTTTAATCTGAATTGCGTTAATAAATTACAATAACTAAATTTATTTAAAGAAATGCTTAATATACATTTATCTTAATTTAATTTTGTAATGAACAATATCTTGCAATTTCTCTATTACAAATCTATCCTATTTGATTCATTTGATCGAAATAGACAAAACTATGATATTTTCTTATCTTTATACACAACATTGTTATTTAATTACTAAAGCTCAATATTGAAAATATCTTTGTCTCTAATATCTAAAAATGGCATTGTTGTATGAAAAAAGAACTTAGACTCAAAGTATAAAAATACCTGAGTATTGATGATAATGAATCCTATAATCTTTGTTACCTCAAGCCCTAATAGATTTCTTTAAGTTTATAAGGAAACTATTTAAGTCTCAGAGTAGTTCCTTCATATGCAGTGATGCTAGTTACTATTCTTTAAGAATTTGATATCTTATATTATTTAGACAATGCATTTATGTTATAAATCTTACTTTACTAAATGAATTTCATTTTATTTTAGCATTATTATTTACAGCATGAGATCTATACAATACATTTCTTTTTTGATCAATATTAGATATATAATATGTATCTTGAAACATAACATTTAATCTCATTTAAAATGGCTTTTGTATTTAGTTAGGTGAAATGAGATCTCTAAATTTATCTGGATAGCATCTGTTTAGATATTTTAATTGTTGTTTAATGTTCCTCTATATCCATTTAAAATAATTGTGACATTTATTTAATAACAAATATTATTTAATTAAGATAAATAAATTGAATAATACAAAAGAACATGCCTTAGGTTTTCATTATTTAAAAAATCAAGTAGGGTCTATATCATTTATTCCTCAGCTTTTAGGAAGTTTTTTAAAATTTAATTCTTAATATAATACTAAAATGAAATTGATTCTATGAGAAGCTTAAATTCTAATAACATTGAGATTTTCAAAACATTATGATTTTTCAAATAAATTAGTAAAAATATTAAAATTTCAAACTTCAAGCTCAAGTTACTTCTAAAATTCTGCCATTTGTTTTTCCAATTCAAGCATATCACATTACAATTCATCGTAGTTGTTGGTTGATTCCAATAAGGAATTTAATTACTGAATGTCTGATGAGGGAGGAGGTTACAATTACTTTGAATAACCATTCAACTATTTGTGGATTTCTGTAGAAAAGCTTTAAATTTCGGCTAAACTTTATTCTAAAAATCCATCGCAAGTCCATTTTGTAATGCAAGTTGATGGTACTTTATATTCTAAAATTAATAATTTGTTGATACTTGATAATTGTTATTAAAGTTCTGAATCAGTGATACAATTTGAGATTGATTAATCAATGACTTTAATATCTTCTTAGAATTTTGTATATATCTTATTTCTTTTGTTTTCAAAATCAATTGCTCTTTCTTCAAATGTTTTATGATTAATCTCTGTTGGTTTAATTTGGTTTATTTGCTTCTAAATTTGTTAAGCTGTAAGATTTAATTTGTTTAATGTATAATCTCTTACTTTATCAACTTCCTCTTTTGTAAAGGTAACCTATATTGAGCTAATTTTCTTTTTTCTTTCTTCAATTTCTTTGATAAAATGATTCTTTGTATCATCATCAAAACACAAATTAGCTGCGCAATATTTCTAAACAATTCTTATTGGCGAATGATCATCGGAGGAATCAAAAATTCTCTTGCGTTTTTAAATAGACATTTAATTCGTTAATTTATTTATTAATCATCTGTTAAAGAAAACATTTTTATAATTAATAAAAATGTGAAAATATTAATCATACTTAGGATGAGTGATGTCTAGGAGTTGTTCTAATTTAATTTGTTGAGATCGATCTGACTTTAGGTAATTGTTATTGCTCTGCTCCATTTTAAAGAATAAAAGTCGTTGAAGTATTATGCAAAGCTGGCCTATTAGATTGCCTAGTTACTTATTTTGTTCTTGAAAATTTAAATTATGTGTTAGCTGCTTTCTTTATATCAGATTTATAATGAGAATCATCAGATTATCTATGCATTATTGTGGGTTAATTTCTAAAGATATTATAAATTTGTTTTGAATTTTCAACTTCCTATTATAATTATTTGATCAATTCATTTAATCGCTAAATTTATAACTAATACTGCTCCATCATGTAAGCTTATTCACCTATGACCTGTTATTATTGTTTAGATTCCTCTTTAGTTTGTGTTATGGTTAATTATTGCTATTCAATTTTCTTTTTCGCTTCATTCAATGCCTTTTAATCTTAAATTCTGATGATTTCGAAGCTTTCTTTTTCTAGTTAAAGCTTTTTTAATTCATCATTAACTTTATTAAATCGCTCTTCGAAAGCTGCAGTTAATTATTATTTTCCTATTGAATGATTGCTTCTAAGCATCTCTAATTATTATTCATGTGATTTTTTTAGTTCATAAGTATTATCTTATAATGAAATAATTAATTAGTTCAATTAATCAATAATTTTAGCATCTTCGTTAGCTTAGTTCTGTAAGTTTTGAATTTAATTCACATAATGTTAAGTTTTATTTTCAAATTCAAGATTTAGTTTTTCCAATTCAGTGTTTTGTTTAATTTTTTATGCCTCTAACTCCTTTTGTTTTAATAAAGTAAGTTCTTCAATCTATAATTTTTATTGCTTGCTTTCTCTTAAAAATTTTTATTCGTAATCTTTAGCTAATTTAGCTGCTTTTTAATCAAATTATAACTTTAAAGCATTTAATTTATCTTAAAATGACTTTTCCAAAGCCTGCAATTTAATGGTTTGACTCTCTAATTGATTTGAATATTGTGAAAGCATCAATTCATAGTCTTCAATTACTTCTTTAATTGCGGTATCATCATGTTAGATCATGGTTTCTTTATATAATAATTAGTCAGTATTTATAAATTTATTAGGATAGAGCAATTATTCATATTTAATTCTTTGCTTGTTTAATTTATCTTGATAAGTTTTATCTATTTTGACATTCATATCAGATAATTCTTTGATGCACAACTCTTTTTTTCCTATTTGAGAGTTTATCTCTTTAATTGTAGTTTCTTATTCAGAAATTAGATTTTCAAATTTAGTTTATTATTCAGCGTATTAATCCCTCTAATTTTTAATATACTATTAAAGTTCGATTTCTTTTTTATTTAATTTTTCAATCTATTATTTTAAAGACTCTATTTAATTAATTAAATTAGTTTTTTCTAAATTTAATGCAGTAATTTCATCTCTATTACTCTTTAAAGTTTATAATAAATTTTCAACTTAGCGATTCAATTTAGTAATGCTTTTTTATTACTATGAGCACTATTAAGCTAAGAGTCCATTGTCTTATTTTATATTTTACAATTCTGTTAAATGTTGTCTATTTTTAATATCTAATTTTTAGATTTAATCATTTAATTCTTTTATCTGTTTCGAGAATTCTGTTTAGTTTTATCTTTCTTATTTATCAAATTAATTAACCAATTCTTACTTTTATTTTTTTAATTTCTATTGATATTCATCATCTAATTGTTAATATTTTTTAGAAATTTCATCCTTTTCAAGTTCAATCAATTGAATTAAATCTTTAAATTTGATTTCTTGGTTTTCTAATTTTTTATTGAATTCTAATTTAAGTGTGATTTAATGATCTGAATTCTTTTTTTATTCTAAATTAAATTATTCCAATTATTTTGTTATTGTTTGTTCATGTTTAAGGATTGTAGCATTTAGTTTTTCAATTTCATTTCTAGTTTCCTCATCTTGTTGTTAAATAAATAATTTAAACATTTTATTTTCAGTTTCTAATTCTTGTATCTGCTCCAAATAATTCTCGATATCTTTCTTCAACCATTCATAAACATCTACCATATCACTCAAATTAATTTGAAGATGGCGCTCTTTTTTATAACTTAATAATTGAGCAAAATCTAATCGCCTCTGTTCCATATAGTATTGTAATGCATGAATGCTTTCCTTTAATTTTGAGTTACTCTCAACTAATGGCTGATTATTTAGTATAAAATTACAGTCAGCTATGATTCCAAATATTTCACATTATCATTTGCTTACTTGAACTTTCTATCCTTATCATCTTCGAACATAATAATTATTAAATTTATGATTTATAATTTGAGAAAAATGATTTCTTTATTTATAATTCAAATAATATAAACCAAGTATCATCTATTCGCACATAAAGACAAAATAATTTAGAATGAATTACATTTATAATTTATTAATATATAGATATAATGAATAAAAACATAGAACTAAAGTAATACTATTTACTAATAATAAAAACAAATAATTTAATTTTTGAATATAACTCATTTAATTACATCTAAAGGGACAATGACTGCTATTATTATCAATAAGAGACAGTATACAACCATATATTTCTAAGCTTCTGACTTGGCTAAGATAAATCTTTTTAGCCAGCATTAAAATAATAAAAATGCAACAAGTCCACAAACTATTATTATACATATTGCAAAAGTCTTTGAGTGTTTATTGCTCCTTCTCACTAATCCAGTATCAATATTAATCAAAGATTGAATACCCCAAGTGATTCCCATACAAAGTGATGATTTACATATAGCAGTCTAAAAGAACGCTTAGGTAAACTTCAATTACAACTCTTCCTTTGCGATATCAATTTAATGGTATGCAAGTTATGTTGAAACCAAAACACCAAGAAATATAAATCCCAAAACTTGAATTGGAATACCTGTTCCATCAAAAATTTCAAAAATCCACCAATCAATTAAAAAGTATAAACCTGTTACTATTGCTAATGATATTAATAATTCTAATATGATGTTGACATAATCAGCGTCATCTTTAGGTGTTGGAATGAAATGACATATGAGATGGGCAGGGAAGAACAGAATAAAAAGGAATTTATCTAGTCCACCTTTTGGAAGAGCTAATTTTTGCTTTCCATCATCTTATTCTTGTCTAATATTACTTATTTCAAAATTTACTATTATTATTGTTCTTATTCTTAATCATTCTCTTAGACTCCCTCCTAATCCTTTTAGTGTTCAATAGCCATGTCATTATTTTCCATTAAAGGAATATCCTCATTGATATTTTAATGATGGGATTCTGGAACTGAAGAAGCAGGTTCAATCTTACTTTTTTTTGAAGGAGGTCCTCTTTATTTAGGCTATTTTTATAATGAAATCCTTACTTTATACATATTCTAATAATATTCAACTCTAAATTGTTTCTCTTATTTGATTTAGTTTTTGATGGCAAATATTATAATGTATACTAATTTTTAAAAAATAATCCTTCGACTTCCACTTTTTTATGAACTTGCTTTATTATTCAAAGCCAACTTCTTTATTAAAGCAGGATCATCAGTTTAAATGTAATTATTATCTTTTAAATGAGTGATAGATATTCTTCTCTTTACATAAGTTAAATGCTACTCACAACTATAGTCTTCATCTTCAGCAGTTAGATCAAACCATTCCATCATCTTAGACTTAACATTTTCACTATTAAAAATGAAGATAATATTTGCAAAGTACACTACCAATAAGATAACTGCCGTTCCAATGTTCAAAAAATCTAGTAAAATACATATGAATAGAACGAAGAGTGATAAAATATAAAAAAATGCATCTCTTATTGTTATCCATGCATCTAGCACTCCATGAGAATGAGTAGGATACTTATAAAGAATGTAAGAGAAAACAAAAAAGATCATGAAGGCATCTGATCCAATAATTGTAGAAACAGCCAAATCTGATTCACTACTAAAGGTTGAGTAAAAGCATAGGATAAGAAACTAAATTGAGTTTAAACAACTGTACAGGATGGATTTATATTGTTCCTCGTTTTCATTATCCTAATTAAATTACAAATCTTTACATCCAAATAATTCATAAACATCTAAAATAAACTGAGTAAATGTTTCCTATAGATATAGTATATCATTCCAAAAAAGTAAAGGACTCCAATAACGTAACCAATTATTTCTCCAGGTGATTGTTCCCTTTCATCAGGAATTAATAATCTCATTTATTATATTTTATAAATAATTTCATTATCCAATTTACCCATTAGCTTATAATTCATTCCCTTTTTATTCTAAAAAGTCTGCTAAAAAATGAATTGGATTTTCAGGGTGTTTTTCACATAGAACAACTAATGCCTCAGCTAAATAAGGCACAACATTATCGGCTAAATATTATCGAAGGGGTTAGCTTCTTAAATCAAGTTGTTCTTTTTCTTATTGCTTAAACTATTCAAATTTTTATTCATCAGTCAATTTTTATTTTTCCTTTGAAACTCGACTCTCATTTAGAGATTTCTAGAAAATTACATAATTTTTACATTCAATTAATCTCCCTTTTTCTTTACTCCTAATTATGATTATTAAACTTATGATTGAGATATAGGTATCTTTTTATCCTACTATTAGTTTGATTCTTATTATTGAGCTGATTGTAATTCTGGAGAAACATCCTCTTAAATTACTTCAATTTCAATGTAGTCTTCTTCTTTTTTTTCTTACAACACTAAAATGGGACCATTCCGAGTGATAAATTCTTAAACTTAATCAAATGCAGATTCAGAATGGTGTATTGTTTTAATATCAAATTTTTCGTATTATTATAATAGGGAATCGTTTGATTTTCTAAAGTTAACTATCCTTCTACTTACCTAATCTTCTGTGTATCTGGTTTGATCGATAATCTATCTCGCTTTTTCCTTCAATTAATCGTCTGAATAGTCAAAGTATATAACTCCTTTTGGTTTAATATTTTCAATTACTTGATTGTTCTCATTCTAAAACAAAAGTTCATATTATTCTAAAGTTTTTGGAAAACCATCTAAAATATATCCAAGATTTTATGCATCATTTTACTCAAGTCTCCACTTATACGCTTAAATTAAAATATGATCAGGCAATCTAGGGATGATGGTTGAAGCATCAAATACAGGTTCTGGTTACCCTTTCGGCACCTTTTTCTTCTTTTTTTCAGCCTCAAATACTGCCAATGCTTCTGCAACCATTTAATCTTTCACTTACTATAGAGTTGTTTTTACTAATTCCCCTAATTTTGTGGGAGAATCTATTAAATCTTATATTAATTTTTTTATCTAAATGTGAGGAATGCGATAATAATTTGATAATTGCTAACTTAAATAAGATTTTCCAGCTGCTGGACCTCCATGAACTATTAATTTAATTGTATCTAAACCACGATATAGTTTGAATTGATCTCTTATTTTGTATATATTTTTAGTGAATCCTTCCTGAAATTGCCAATCAATTGTTGAATTTTTTTGAGCCTCATTATGTTGATCATTTGAATCGAAAATTTGAGTTGGCCTCAACCAAACATTCATCATAAACATCTTCTCTGAACAATTTGTTATTGTTTTTGTTTTCCCGTTTCCAATACATTTAGCGATAGTAGTAACTAATTTCTTTTAAGTCATATTCTCATAATCCACTGCAAAAATATAGTTATCTTGAGGATTTAGAATTGTAGCTTTTCTCACTATGCTTGCTAAATCATTAACATGGATCATTGGAATAATGTTATTCCCTTCACCATATATTGGTAATTCAGCATCTGGATTCATCCAAACTGTTTTGAAAAGTTCATAGAGAATATCTTCTCCATTACCATACACTAATCCAGGTGTTATTACGTAAGTTTTTAATTCTGTTTTTTCGCAACCCAAAATTGATTGTTCTAGATGCTTTAATCTCTCAAATAAATTAATTCTTCTTATTGGAAGATCGTCTTCAGTAAACCTGTCATACTTCTTAAATAATTATGATTCATCTTCATTCATAATCGATTATCGAAAAGCAGTTTCCTCTGATTTTTTCTCTTTTAAAGCAGTTGTCGACCATGTTAATGGATTACTCACTAAAACAAATGTTTTCTATGAGTTATAATGGCCATATTTTAATAATTTGTATGCATACTCAGCTTAACAATAATTCTAATGAAAAATGATAATATCACAATCTAAGACAACCTAACCTAATTCAGTTGTATCAGCTGCATTTATTAATTTAGTTGTTCCTCTCAGCAGATTTTCCCCATTCCCCACAATTATATTTGGATTTAAATCAGTCTCGTGATCATTTCGAAATTCCTCTACAAGAGCAGAACCAATTAAGGAAGTCATGTCTTCTATAAATATCCTTAATTACTGGCAATTTTGGGATTTATCTAAAGAAGCCCTTTCCATAGATCTAGTTTATAAACTCATTTTAATCTAATTATTGATATAATAAAAAATAAAATAACAAATTTATCATTTCTTAAGAGTTAGTTTTGAACTATTGTTATTTTTATTAATAAAAATAGAATCAAGCAGTGAACTTTTGCATTCAGATAACTTTTTTCTTTTTTCAAATAACAAAAAGCATCAAAGTTGTCCTCAAATTGTAATTTAATTGAAATTTCATAATTCAATTATCATCTTTCTCTTCTTTGAAGCCAATAATATTTACTATAAAAGTTAGGGTTTCTAAATTCAAGACGCTTTGAATCAGACTTTGTAAAGTTAGAAATATTATTTGAAATCTTTAAGCATATTTTATATTATATTGGGGATATGCAGGTATTAGATTGCCATTATAACTTACTTATATTATAATTAAATTAATTATAATCCGTTTTATTAATAAATATACATTCATGATAAAATCCATCATTTTGATGTCTTTGCTCGTATTATCCTTTGGGTAGAACAATTAAGGAACTTTGGCAACACACTATGATTTAGATGGCAATTTGATCTCTGAGGAAGTTCAATAATCTACAGAATATGATTACTCTTCTCTTAATAGCATGGATTCGTCATGGGATTCCAGCATGAATCTGAACGTTGATGAACAATAAAATTAAGTTTAATTAGATGAGAACCTCGACTCTATGAATTCAATGGAATTAAGTGATGATGTTGCTCCTTTATAAAGTGGAGAAGTCGATAACAATTAAACAAATTTAGTGGAATCAGAATTTGAGATATCTCCAGTTATCAATAAATCGCCAGAAGAAGAATCATCATCTTAGTATTAGGAATATTAATAATAAGAAAGGGAAAGGGAAAATTAATTAGCAGAAGTGATGTAATAGGGTAATAATGATGAGAATCAAAATGAATAAATTACAACACAACAACAACAAGAAGAATCAACTCAAATTTAAACTGATACTTTTTTATAGCCTGTTATTGCATCATAAGAATAAACTATTGATATCTAACAACCTCAAGAAGAATAAGAAATTATCAATTCATTAAAATAAAGTGAGGATATTTAAGAATCATTTGTAAATAATCAAGAGATTCAATCCTCATTTGATGAAAATGATTCAATTTTATAAAATATTGATCCAAATGAAATAAATTCAAACAATTTGATTGCAAATCAAGAAATATTAAATAATGAAGCAAATTAATAATAGCAACAAGACTTAACTTAAGGAGAATTGAATGTTTCATAATAAGAAATTCAAAGTATTGATGATAATTAATCAATTAAATCAGAGCCAGCTGCTGTTGAAAATTAAGCCTCATAATAAATTTCCAATGAAAACATTGAATCACAACCTAATTCAGATTCTCCTTAAACAAATATTTAGCAATAATCAATTTCTGAAAAAGGAATAGATCAAAATGCTGATTAAACTACTCAAACTCAAAAATTGAATGATAATATTACTCCATCCTAATCTGAAATGGAAGAAAAATAAATTATTAAGAATGATAATGAGTCATAATCTTTGACACAAAATAATAATGAATCATAATAAAATGTAGAGGAAAATCATGAATTGAAAAAAGAAGAGAACAATATCACTTAAGAGCAATAACCAGAAAATTAAGAAAAGCTTAATCCATAAATAAATGAAACCTAAAATATAGAAGAATTAAATGTTTAAGATGATATTAAAAATGCTAATGAAATAAAATAAGCAAATTGTATTGTCATATATTCTTAGTGCGAGTATTAAGGATTTGCATTGGAAGTTTGTAATAGTTTAAAAGAAATAGAGTATTTTATATATTGTTTTACATTTATAGGAAATTTAAACATGAAATAAAATCTCTCTATATTCCATAAGGTTATGGACTTACAATTTATGAAAATTAAAACTTTAACGGAAAAAGCCATCGATACACTTCATCTTAGGCATGTTTATAAAGTGCAGTTTCTTTAATACAACTAAAGATGGATATTTAGTTGGCTCATTAAAATTTAAGAGGAAACAAATGATTAATAAAGCTAAAATAATATATTATTGAACAAAAATATGATTATTTCATTAGGTTTATTGCTAAAATTACTCTTTTTACTATTAAAATATTTATTATCCAAGTGGTTTTAAAGAGTCCTCAAAAATTTAATTCAATTATTTAAGATGTTCACCATTTAAACAAGTTACATCAACAAGAGCTGCAGAAACCAAATATGGATCTATATTGGCTGCTGGTCTTCTATCTTCAAAATATCTAAACTCAATAAACTTATACAATACCCTTATCCTTATTCTTTAGTGATAATTGGGACCCTAACAGAACATCCTCTTGATCCGTCTCCCCAAGAGAATTAATCATATTTTCCAGTTTCATGTCTACCTGTTAGTCTAAGCTCATTCTTTTAGCCATAAAGCTTAATCATTTCAAGATGATTTTCTTTAAGAATAGGCATTAATTTATCTACAATATATCTATATCCTCCTTCAGATCTAGTTGTCAGAGTAGAATAATTGCAATGTGCTCCACTGCCATTCCAATCTCCTAAAATAGGTTTAGGATCATAGTTAATATCAATTCCAAATTCTTCTCCTATTCTTTCCAAAATATATCTTGCAAGCCACATATGATCACCAATTTCAATACCTTCTGCAATTCCTATTTGAAATTCCCACTATGATGGTGCCACTTCAGCGTTCAATCCAGCAATTTTTATTCCAGCATTCAAGCATGCTCTCAAATGAGCTTCTGCTAAAGCTCGACCAAAATTATTTCTTTCGCCAATTGAGCAATAATATCTACCTTAAGGATAAGGAAAACCACCTGTTGGCCATCCTAAAGGCCATAAATGTGTTGTTCCTGTTCTTTTCAATAAGAAATATTCTTGCTCAATTCCAAACCATGGTTTATGATCTTTGGCTTTCTCCATAATTTAATTTGCAATCCATCTAAACGAATAATAAAAGATTTGAAATTACCTAAAATTATATCTTGCTGGTGTTTTTTTATCTGGTAGGTATGTTTCACATAAGACAAGAATATGAGGATCACCTCTGAATGGATCCTTTATTACACGAACTGGCTTTAAATAAATTTCAGAAAATCTGGTCACTGCTTAATCAGTAGATGATCCATCATAAGTCCACCACTCTAAATCCTCAAGTGTTTTGATTGGGGTTTAATATACCTAAAATAATTTTACACGTGTGAATTACTTTTGTTTTTGATCTTAAAGATTCACCTGTTCCATCAATCCAAATATATTCTGCTAAGACAATTGTATTATTGACAGCTTTAGAAAGTTAGTAATAATTGAAGTCACGTAGATTTTCAATTGTTTCTGTCATTAAAATTTAAAATAATTGGTACTTTAAAATAAATATGAAATTTTTATCCTTAATTTAAATTTATATAGATTTAGAATTCAATTAATTCTTTTACATTTCTTATAGTCTCTTCTTTGCTTAAATTTATACATATAATTTAATCCATTGAATTTTTGTATTTATGGCAATCCTTAAATATATCACTATTCTCACAGTTTGAGAACATTTAATTTTTTATATAATTAGTTATTTCTTTAAAGATTAAATCCTAATGAAAAGAAGAAATTCGTTATAAACTTTTTTAATTTTCTTCTGGTATCTTTACTTAATCATGAATGTGACAATCTTATATTATTGAATATGCTATTTAATTAACTATGCTTCTCTTTAAATTTCAATGTTCAACTAAAAATTAAAAAGTTTTTCTCTCATTATATCATTTTATTTTGACTCTCTTTTAGTATCTCATTCCAGTTTATTTTTAAATAGACATTATCATGATTATAATCATAAAGGTGATTGATTTTCTAAATTGTTAATAGTCTCAAATAATGTTAGCTTTAGGAGTTCTGTCTATTTTATGATATTGTTTAGAACATCTTCGCTTCCTTTTTCAGATATCCTGTTGTAAAAGTGTTTCGTTTTAAAATGTTTCAATGCTAAAAAATGATATTATCCCATGAGAAGTTCCCATTATTTAATAATAAATATTTTAGAATTAACGAACATACAATGATTGATTAAATCAATCAACTTAAGGAATAAGTAATTACACTTTAGTAAAATGAAAAAGATTACCAAGATTTGAATTTCCTATTCACCAATTTGGAACATAGATATAATCTTTTAGCAGAAGAAAAGTAGAGAATGGAAATTGATTATAATCGCAGACATGAATTTAATATGCAATCAGTAGCCAGACACAGAGCAGAGATTGACTAATTGCGAAATGAGTTAATGTCTTGCCAAAACAATCAGGAACAGATGGAATATTTGGTATATGAAAATCAAGCGCTGACAGATGAAGTTAACAATTTAAGGGATGCTTACACAAAAATAGTGTAATAAATCTAAGAATAAGATGAAAAGTATTAAACAACTTTGGCAGCTAAACAATAGTATATAGAAAGCTTGTAATTTTAAATTAAATAAATGAATGACATATAGACACACAAAGAAAAAAAGTTTTAAGCAGAAAACGAGAATAAACAATAATTCGTAAGTGAAATGGAATCTTATAAGTCGTAGAATGAAAAACTTACTATAGACAATAAACAATTAATCAAACAGATTGAGCGATTAGAACTTCAAATTTAAAATTATAAAGATTAACTTAATCAAATGACATAAGAAATTGGAAAAATGTAACATTAAATGGGCATGCTAACTAAAGAATTAGGAAATTAAAATGTATGTAATTCTACTTATTTTAGAAAGTTTCAGCAAAAGAATACTAATTGGATCATGAATTAAAATCTTTAAAAAATATGAACATATAATTACTTTAAAAAAATGAACACCTCCAATAATAAATAGAATAACTAATACATAACAATTAATAGCTGATCTTAGAATGTGACACATTGAGAATTAAATTTGCAGAATAAGAAAACTCAAAATTAATGGTCTAAAATTAATACGCAAAATCTTTAAATAAATTTTAAGAAGAAAGGAAAGTTATTAAGGATTATTTATGTAAATTGATATGATATCATTAGAACGATAAAAGGTCTTGAGAGAAACTAGATTATAAAATGAAAATGATGTTAGCAAATGCTTAGAAGAAATTACTAGATTAAATAATAAGTGATTGTTATTATTTATTTTTCAAATTAAAATATTGAATATTTATGTAATACTAAACATTTAAGCCCACAATTTTGAATGATACGACTAATTAATAATAACAAGGTACGTTAAGACCAAGCTCTAAATTCATGAATTAAAAAATTGATCATACAAACTTGAACAATGAAAATAAAAAATCTATAGCTTAATATTAGGAAGCTATAGAATATATCTAAGAAATAGAGGAATAGAAATCTATAATAGAAGGATAAAATTAATTTATCTAGATTTTAAGAAATTCAATAGAGAGTAAGTTATAGATTGAAGGATTTCAAATGATATTAGATTAAGTAGAAGTTATGTCAAAAGAATAAAAAATTGATTTATTTGCATTAATCACATAGTTATATTAGGAATTGTCAATCTAAAATTAATAAAATGCATAAGTTGAAAATTTATAGCAATTAGTAGACAATTTAAATAAATAAATTAATTGTTATGCTAAAGAGTTAACAGAATTAAAGGTAGATAAGTAATATTTGTTGGAATAACTTGATTAATTATAAGGTGCCACTAAAGATGACGACAATAACTTATTTAAAGATGCTTAAATATCAAAATTAGAATCAGAGAATCAGCATTATAAAACTCAGAATTAGAAATTAAACTTGCAAAATGAAAAATATTAAGATGATCTAGCTTAACTAGAAAAAAGGCTTAATAAGATTCATTTGAATTTGAAAACTGAGGAATGTGAAAAAGAAGAATTAATTAAAGAATTAGAAAATTTAAAACAAACTTTCTATAAAAGTCAAGTTAAAGAAGAGCATAAGTTAGAACTTAATTTGGCTTTAAAAGAATAAGAGCTAGAATTTAGCAACAATAAAATCAAAAGACTAGAGACTCAAATTAAAGAATTAAATGCATTGATAGAAGAATAATAAAAATAAATTGGAACATAAAAATATCAAATAGAAAATTTGCAGCAGTAGCATTAATTGCAATATGATTAGTTAGAGATTGAAATGAATCAATATCGAAATGAAATTCATGAATAATAAATGTTTTGTGAACAATTACAATCATAGTTATAAGCATCAGACTAATATATTTAATAGAGTAAATATTTTATATATATATCATAGTTACTGATGAAATTCGTAAAATTGTAAAATCTAATGACTTAGACATATTCAACATTTTAATATCACTATAAGAAAATATTTAAACTTTAAACCTAAATGAACAAAGGTTGAAATAAAGCGAACATGAAAAATCTTAAATTATCTTTGATTTATAACATTAATTCACAGACTCCCAATAAAATAATTAATAATTATCTGAGTAAATATCTTTGTTAAGTGCATAAACATAGCAATATTAAAGCGACATAAAACAACTAGAAAAATAAAAACGATTATTTCGATAAGAATTTACTCACATGAAATAATTAGAAGAACAGAAAAATCAAGAAATTAAGGAATTATAAACATAGTTTTACAAATTCGATAAAAAGTTCTCTGAATAATTAGAAAGATCCATAAAAATAGAAAAAGAAAATGCTCAATTAAAAGAATAATTGTCGCTATCTTAATAGTAACTAGCGAGTGCGAAAAACCAAGTTTCAAATAAAAAATCTCTAAGCTTCAGCTAATCATCATTTACAGAATAAAAACCAAAGAATTATGATTACATTGCACTTTTATAAACTGTAAAATACATTCTTATATAAGTTTGAAAAAGTAAAACCGTTATTTCCTAGTGAGGCTCTTGAATTAGTATAGGAGATGCACTCTTTACAAAACAAATTAGTAAGAACAGAAGAAATAGATAGTCAATTAATTTAAGAAGAAATAAAGATATAATAAAAAATATCAATTTAATAACTCAATTTAAAAAATACGCAAGCTTGCTTATCTAAAATAATTTCTGAAAACAAAAAGTTAAAATTAGAAGTACATAAATTAATTTATTATCAAAGTTATAAATGATTTAACCAATACAGGTTGAGTAAACTTAATCATAAGAATGTTTATCATATGATTAAGGAAGAAGTTTCTCTAGATTTCATAAATAATCAATGTCGGTTCACACGAAACCAAAATTTTAATGATATTATATAGAATTACCTTTATTGAATTTTGTGAAAAGTAGAATTTACTATTAAATTATATTATTGAATAATTATACATTGATATGATTGCTTTTTAGGCACCATTCTTTCCTGACCGTAAATTAGATATCAATTAACAGTCCTCACTTTGAATAAGACAATATGGCCATAGAATTTAAATAATTTATAAATCTATAATTAAGAAGGTTATTTTTCATTTACAAGTGATTTTATTGCTTAAACAAGATCTAATTAATGAATTAATCAGAAATTCCAACTAAAGTTTAAAAATGATAGTTTAACATTATAAGTTTGTTTCCATTTATTTTATAAATGATTTATAAGTATCAATAAACTAAATAACATTTTCTGCAATACCAAAATTAACAAATCTGCTTAGGTATTCAATTAAATTGGATTTTATTATTAGATATTATTTATATTTAAATGTAAACTCACACTTATTATTTTATTATTTAAATTTCTATATTTGAATTTGCATGCACTAGCACAATAAGAATCAAGGTTCATTATTATTATAAATTAAAGCTAACATTGATTTTAATTAGCAATACACGTTAGAAGATGACCATTATTACTAATTACCAAAGTAGATTGCTGCAAATTTTAAAGGTCAAAGAACTCATACTAATGTAAACATTGTTTCATCCTTTTAGTATAAATAGGATATATAAAAGTTGGATGATGATTTAAAGGATATTGCAGAGACGGCTGTTCTTAAACTTAAAGATTATGCTAAAGTTTGGGATGTTGACTCTAATGATCAATAATAAAGATATTACTTCAACATTCCACCAACAAGTTTCTTACAAAAAATCCAAGAATTTTAATTACCTAAAAACTTTTAAGCTGTAAGATTTTTGAATTTAATCATTTAAGTATGAATATAATGCTGTAGCAAAACTATCGGAAAAACAAATTAAATAAATGAAGGAAACTGGAACTTTTGAAGTTCCCTCTAGATAATTTCCAATTCCATATGTTTGGTAGATTTCATCTTGGGTAATTAAAGGTAAAGAATTAGAATTTATCAAAGGAATTTAAAATATTGAAACATCAAAGTATTTGGATCTTGCCAGAGCATATAAAGCATACAGAACTTGGCTAGCTTATATTGCTTAAGAAAGAGATGAAATTGGAAGAAATATATCACTTAGATCTGCTGTATATAATATAGGAATTGTAATTATTCTTATATATATTAAAGAGACCGCTAGTGATATTTTCGATATTTTTTGGATTTAAAGAGATGTATTCTTACGTAGATGACCTAAAAATATTAATTCTCATTGAAACGTAAAGATAATTTGAATTGAAGAAATTACAGAATGTCAATGTTGAGTTATATAAATATTTATAACTGAACCCTAATGATAAGGAAAATTTAGAAGCCAAATAAAAATATGACGACTTATAAAGATGTTAAAACGATTTCGAAATTGAAAGAAATGGAATAAGGTTGTAAATGCAAAGCCTATATGATATTTAAATAGAAAAGAAAACTTTACTAAAAGCTGAAGATGAAGAGATTGTAGAGTAACACTAACATTTACAAGAATAAATAAATTAATTGTAATGCGATTTTGTTAAAAAATATAATCTATTTATTGATAAGGACATTGATATAACAATCTAGATTGAATAAGCAGCATATTCAGCTCAAAAATAGTTTTGGGAAAAAACAAAATATCATAAACCTATTGTCTAACAACTTATTTCCTTAGGAGATTGTTTAAGACTTTACGATTATCATTACGAAATTTATTACACAAAATATAATGCAGCCATAAAAACCTTTAAGGAATAGATAAAACTAAAACATAAAATAAAATCCAATTTCCCTAAGTTTGTAGAGGAAGAAACTTAAAAATTCAAAAAGGATGTGAAAAAATAATTCAAATAAGAATTTGTTAAAAATTTTTTAGCAGATATGAAATAATTAAATTTGTCTGAATAATAGGTTTATGAGTAATTTGAATAATGCAAAAAATAGATGAGGGAAAATCTTAAGCAAATGAGAAGCCAAAAGAAATTAGAAAACAAAGAACCTTCGATTAAAATTGTTGTGTATGAATTTCTTTTTAAATTAGCTAAAAACGATTATTTCCTCCATATGAAGTTTATTAAGAAAGAAATAGATTTTATTTGAGAAGATTTAAAGATTACCACATTGATTCTTCTAAAGCTGGTTGGAAGCTTAAATTAATAGTGATAAGATACTATGTTTGGACAGTTAACATTATATTTTGGTTAAGTGCAAATGCTGTTTCTGGACCTATTGGAATTAAGGCTTTGATAAAATCGAATAAATTTAGACCAGATGTAACAGTAGATTCAGTAACTGGTAAAGTCATGTCTTCAAATTTTACTGTTACGCCCTTGAGAATAAAGTTTCGTAATGTATTAGAAGGAATGAGGAACTCCAGATGTCACTTTGAAGGTAGTCCTGATACTGGTTTGTTTGGAAAAAATTTATATAGGGTTTTTAACTTAATAGAAGTCTATATATTTAGATTTTTATTAGTTGGCATTATTGGAGTACTAATTATCTTACCAACTATTATTTTATCTAATGTGGTAATATCTACTCTATTGGCATTCACTGCTTGGCTTTGGATCCCAATAACCATACTTATTAGAATCCTATTTAATTCACTAATTTATGATACAGATGTATGTCGAAGAAGAGAAAAAGATATTATTTGGAGATCTCCAAATTGGTTTCCATTAATCATCAATATTTTTGATTTTTTAATTTTAGGAATTTTAAACGCAGTTTATTGCTTATTTAAATTGCTAATATGGCATCCCTTTTGGATAACATTTATGGCTGCATTTGCTTATCTTAGATTTTACACAAGATTGCTCTATGATTCGTTTACTATTAATATTATCAAACTAATGGGTAGAGTTCCATCCTCAGAAAACAACATAGCTTGGAAAATCTCTGGGCCTGGGTTGTCAAGATAATATTTTTACGGAGTATATAAAATTTTTAAATAAGATCTAATTACCTTAAGTATTGATTTTGGTTCAAGCAGAGTTAGAGAAAAAGATTCTAAATCTATACAAATAAAACTTAACAAATCTAATCAACAGACCTTCATAAGATCTCAGGTAAAAAATTAACCCGTTTTTCTAATTATTTAATGTAAATATATCAAATTCATTTAGGCATAATTTTATTTTGATGATCCAGCTTGCCGATATTTGACTAATTAATTAAATAAATAAATAGAGGAAAGATTAAGCCTATTTCCAAAGCTTAATCATCAAATTAGATTTTCTGAAGAAGAATTAAAGTACATTTTAAAATAGGTTAAATCATTTGTGAAAAAATAAATAATTTTAAAAGATATGAAATCTTACATTTGGGATTCTTACGAGGTTTAGAAAGGGGACTATAATTAATTATGCGAAAAGATTATGGCTGCAATATTTGGTTCTGCTGTTCTTGATCCATTCGAAGATTTAGAGATGAGATTTTAGCTCGTATTCTAATCATATTATCTTAGAATATTTCTTAAAACTTTGATTTTATTAGAAAAGTGGATAAAGCTTTAGACGGGGACATATTATTTCAGCTGCCAAGTGATTATACAATCCAACCTAAAAAATTAGGAGATAATCCTGTTATTTAAAAACAATTTATTTCTTATTAGCATGTAATCCATTTTATTATTTAGGTTTTACAAAATGTGTGGAATTGGCAAAAATTAGAGTAAAGTTAAAGTTCTTTAAATTCCAAAAGAAATAGATGTTTAATAAATTATAGTATAAATCCTAAATAGTGAATTATTATTAAAAGTAATGTTATTAAAATTATTTTATCACATCTAAAGAGCAAATTTTATATATTTACTCAATCAATACTATTCAAATAAATCATACTAATTAGTTACACATTATTTCTATGATTGTTATTAAACGAACCCATTTTTAGAGTGTTTTTAGATACAATTTTTTTTAAAAACACTATTGCAAGAAATAATATAAAAGCTCTCCTCATTCTAGATTATTTTAAAAATATACTAATTTATTAGCTTGAAAAATTACCATTTGAAAAATCATTCTAAAAATTTCAAAAACATTAAATTTTTATTATTTAATTAATATGTTATATTATGGTTAACTAGTAATTGGGCCTGCAGGAAGCGGGAAAACTTCATACTGTAATATTTTACAAGAAGGATCTTTTAAGAGAAACATTCAAGTAGTTAATTTAGATCCTGCTGCCGATTATATCCCCTATAAATGTGCAATTGATATTCGAGAATTAATATGTTTAAGTGATGTAATGGAAGAATTTGAATATGGTCCAAATGGTGGCTTAGTCTATTGTATGGAATATTTATTATAAAATTGGGATTGGATGTAAGATCAACTAAACAATATTGCTTAAGATGACTATGTTTTATTTGATTGTCCAGGGTAAATAGAATTGTATTCTCACATTGATATGATGAGAAAGTTAACATAATTATTAGTAAATTCTGGATTTTCAATAAGTTCTGTTTATTTGGTTGACATAAATTTTTTAGAAGATGATGCTAAATTTTTATCTGGACTTTTAATGGCTTTGTCAGCCTCTATGACTTTGGAGTTACCTGCGTTTACTGTGCTTTCTAAATGTGATCTTATGAAGGACAAAAAGAAACTAAAGAGATACACAAAGCTTCATAAATTTAATGAAGAAAGCGAGTATATAAATCAGGATGAATTTTCTAAAACTTATAAGTCTTTTACTTCAGGCATTAGTGAGTTGGTTACTAGTTTTGGAGTCGGGAGGCTTTTATGTCTAGATACAACTGATGATGAAAGTATTGACAATATCTTAGGAGAAATCGATTACGCAATACAATTTGGAGATAATTTAGAACCAGATGATAAATTATATGATTAAGCCGAATAATAATTATGAAATACATACTATAAAAATATGGCTATATATCTATATTTATTAAGCTTAGTATTCAAGCTAATTTACTAATATCATTCATAACTTCATCCCAAGCATTTCCAAATTAGAATCCTTTTTAATAAATCATATCTTAAGCTACTTAATCCCTTGCTTATACTAAATCCTACTTAGTTACATTCTACATTCCTTTAGATTTTAATAAGGATAATAGTGAATTATCCTAATTTAAACTAGCCATTTCTTACAAATCCATCATATCTTAAAACCTATTTTTATAATATTCCACAGTTGATTTCAACGATTTATTGTCTTCATTCAAACTATGATTCTAAACCTTTAGTTTATGCACTTCTTCTTGCAATTTATCAATCATTTTCATGTAGTTTTCCTTTAGAAATCGAAATTCATTAATATACATCTCCTTCTCTTTATCTAAAGTTTGCTTTACTATTTCAAATTTATCACATTCCTATTAAAAAATTTACTTTTATGATTCTAAAATTTTAATTTAATTTGTAAATTAAGCTATTTTTACACTTGTTTCAACTTCATTTTGTTATTTTAATTATAATTAAGCTTCTAACTGAACTATTCTACTTATGAATTGTTCATTAACTAATTTTATCGATTCCTTTAATGCAATTTCTTATTAACTAATTAATTGTTCATTTTTTTATTATATCTATGAATATTCAATTTTTAATTTCTAATTTTCATTATTTAAGATTTTAATCTACTCTTCATAGAAAATATTTTATTTTTTCAGATTTTCCAATTATGCCTTTTTAGCTTCATTTTAAGAGATTTCCATTTACAGTTTATTTTCTCTCTCTTATAGAGAATATAGCCATTACAAATTTTTTTAATCCATTTCTTTGTTTTTTATATCAATGTTCATTTTGTCTATTGAGTAATTCAATGAATTTAGTTGCTTCTTTTATTGTTCGAAATTATTATTGATACTGCTAAGATTACTCAACAGTGGACCAATCTTTTCATACAAATCGTAATTTCTTTAACTGTCTGTGCTCATAAAAATTAATTTAATAAAAATATTGAAAATTCAAATTGTCAATTCCCCTTTCAGCAAAAACATGACATAAAAATAAAATTTGAATCTAACAATTTTGAGTGTGCACTTCAAATTTTGCTACTGTATAATTTTTGAAGGATTAAAGACAAATTTTGGAGGAATAAACAAAACAAAAAGACAAAGAAAAACCTTACGACACAGAATAGTAACAAAACTGTCTTAAGAAAAATGTGTAAGTGGATCAGAAAATTTTGCCAGTCAGAAAAATAATATTAGATAATTTTTTCAGCCTCAATTTATGAAAATTTAACTTAATTAAGTGATTTCGTGACAGTAGATGATAAATCTCAACAATTTATGATTCATATATTATAATATTAATAGAGAAGGCATTTTCTTATCAAATTTTTGGAATACAATATTTTATTATTATTATAATTTTAGGAATATAAATATAAAAAGGATAGCAGATAGGATTAAAATATAATTAAGGTAACTTTTTCAGTACATTTAAAGTATTAATATTTCATATTAGTGGAGCTTATTAGAAAAGCAAGCTAAAACTTTGGGAATTCTAAATAACAAAGTCTCTTTTTAGAATCAATTACTCCAAAGGAAAATGTATTGTAGCTCATTTTCTAATAATATTTCACAAATAATTAGAAAATAGTATCAATTTATATTATGAGATGTTAATGTTTTACAATAATATATTTTATATGATTTTAATAAGAATATTGGTTGGAGAAATCTATTCAATAGTTATTTTTACAATGATTGATCAGTTTTCTCTGTTGATTATTGAGGTAGAGAAGAAAGGAGAAAACATAAAAGCTTTAAATTAAGTTTATGGAAGAAAAAAGATTTTCTGTAAAATTTAGAATATATATAAATAAAATAAATCGAATATAATTAATGAAAAATATAATTGCAGCCACATTGACTACTTTTCTAATTGGTTTGGGTTACTACCAAGAAAATTTAGATTCTGCTTCTGATTTTGAAAGATGGGCTTTGAAACATGGCAAAAGCTATTATGGAGATGAGAAAATTTACAGATAAACAATTTATTATCAAAATAAAAAAACGATTGATGAACATAACAAAAGAACAGATGTTACCTATTTAATGGGAGAAAATCAATTTATGACAATTACCAATGAAGAATTTATCAGACTTTATTTAAATACTAAATCGCCCGAATAATAAAATAATTAAAATAAAGTTATAAGGAAAAATATTCATAAATCTCTTGAAACAATTAACAAAGAAAATAAAAAATGGCCAATTGATTGGAGAGGTAAGGTCAAAGTAAAAAATTAAGGATCTTGTCCTTCTTCCTATGCAATGTCAGCAACTAGTCAAGTGGAAGCAGAATATGCAGTCTTAAAAGAAACATCTCTAACATTATCAGCACAATAAATTATGGATTGTCAAACCATGTTTCGTGGATGTGATCCTAATTATGATGGAAATACTGCTTGGGATGCATTGAGTTACATTGAGAATAATGGATTATATCCGGAATCCTCATATCCATACACTGGTAGAGACCAATGGTGTTAAGTAAATACTGGTGGACCTTGGAAGATCAAAAATCGCTGGAGGACTTTTTCTACTACGGTTTAAGAGTTACAAAGCGATCTTTATTTTTATTATCCTTATTTAGTTGTAGTTGATGCTACTAAATGGTAATTCTATGGTTCTGGTATTTTTTCTGATTGTAGTTCTGATGTAAGTCAAGGAAAGTATTATGCATTAGTTGTTGGTTTTGAAGATATTTGGTTTGTTCAACCATCTTTTGGAACTGCTTGGGGGGAATCTGGATATATAAGGTTGGCACCAGGAAACACTTGTGGTATTTTAAATTTTGTTTATCATGTGGATTTGTATTGATTATCATAAAACCATTTAGCATAAAACAACAAATTCACCCAATCTCCAAATAAGAATCAATTCAATAAGAAAACCTTTCAAATTCTGTATTAATTCCCTTCCTAAATTATTTATGAACTATTCATTAATTTTCAAAATTTTATATATGATAGATTGCAATTCTAGCGTAAGAATTGAAACCTGGGTTTTTTTATTGCTGTCCCCCAGAAAATAGCCCTCTTTGACCTTGATAGTACTATGGGCGATTGTTGAAGAACAAAAAACAGAGTATGTAATTTGGGAATATGCTTCATAGCAAAAAATTGTATTTCTACTTTTGAATTAACAATTTTGGTAAGATAAAAATATTCTTCAATGAAAGCCATATTAGATTGTTCCAAAAAATATAGATTGTAACAAAAGCATTACCATCTGAATCAACCTTAAGTTAGTAATAATCATTTAAAATAATCGTAACAATATAAAAATACCATATCTGTAAATTAACAATTTCAAATATTTAGAAATATTGACAATAAACAACAAACTTTTCAACCTAATAGCTAAATTAGATTAATTCTAATGAAAAGAAAACAATCAAATACTCCTAATTAAATAGTGGAATTTGAGAATTGTATTAATAAAGAAGATTGAGTTTAAATCATAAATATAAATAAAATATCTTCTATAAATATGTATATATATTAATAAATTGAATAAAAATAAAGACTATTTACAATTATTAATTAAAGAACTTGAAAGTAGAAATAAAGTAATATGCAGCAAAATTCTAAAAAATTAAAATAACCAAATGTAAATTATTTCTAACAGCCGTTAAAGTGTTTGCATATGCTGATGATATTGCAATTACTAATTTTGAAACTATGCAGGATGGGTAATAGAATAACTTCTTGGACTTGCTGATAAATATGGTTTCAAAGTGAAACTCAAAAACAAACTTCATCTCAATTAAAAATTAGAGCAATCTTTAAGGTCGAACACTTCGGGTACCTTGATGTATATATCTCTCCAAGAGGGAATACCAATGAACACAGAAAGTGCATCATAACCAAAATCAACTTCTTATGATAAATTGAAAAATCTAAGTCATTATTATATCTGCCCTTGATGCACCAATAAAAAATTAAAATTCTTTTTGTTAAAAGTGCTTTAATAGCTGCCAATTTATTTCTCTACAGCTTATATCACGAGTACTTATAGTCTATCATTTTAGGCCCTGTTTATCATCTTATTGTGCGCGCTTTGTTTCTTTTTATCTAGTGATGTTCTGCTACACCTAACTAGCAAACAAAGATAGTAATTCAAATATATATTGTCAAAAATGTGCTATTTTTTCCTATCAGAATAACGTCTGGATAATTAAAAATGCATGTTAATTAAGCAATAATGTTGCACTACTATGCACAACAAATGTAGTTCAGCTTCTACAAGAGGAGATCATAGAATTTCTTCTTGTAATTAATGTTGGCACCCATTGACTGCTTAACCCATCCTAATTAATATCAAAAACTACTCGAGTCTTTTAAAAACTGTTATCTTTTATAAATCCCATCCATGATTAGTAATAAACAACAGCCTGCAGACAGCAGAGAAAACAACTACGTGCTTTGTAAATCTTGTAAAGCTGTACGTCTAGTGGTGTATATAAATTAATTTGCCACTGTTTAACACTAATATAGAGAAGCATTTCTGCAAATCCAAGCATATATTTTCCTAATAATAGTGTTTTCTGCATAGGTTTTCAAACCCCCCAAAATTTGATTGATTATCAACCTCATCTGTTTCATGATGTTGTTCCCATAATGAGGCAATGTCTATTTTTATTTGGATACTGACAACTTGGGTGGCGATTAAAAGATATATACAACTTAGAGACTTGCCTTAATACAAGATATAACAATAATAATAATAATTTGATGATGATCGGCTTTTTCATGTTCGAGGTCAAACACCTTCACATCAAGATGAGAAAACTAATTCCAGAGGAAATAATTGTAAAGTTATGTAGTTTGATCCCACATAATGCAATTTTTAGCTATCTCTTAATGTAGCCATCTTCTTTTAGATCATATTCCAGCCATCCTATTATCCCATCAATTAGTCTTTTGGGAAAGCTTTATTTAGTCCCATTACCCTCCGAAAGGAGTTTCTTTTAATGAACTGCCCCTACTTAATCATAGACTTATTTTATTTCCAAAAAAAAAAAATAGCAAGATTATTGTATCTAATATGGGGTAGTATATAGAAAGTCCACAGTTTAGTTAAGCTTCTGAAGGGAATCATTTTTTCACAATTCTTAGCTATTATGGTTTCTAAGTGACTAACTTTTTAGCTCTTTCAATTTAATGATTCAAGTTCCCTTTTACAGATAACCATATTTCCAGGATAAAGAGGAAGTTATTAAGACCTTTACTAATATAAGTACTGAAGAAAAAATCAATTAGTCTATTCATACTATTAAACTAATAATCTATTTTATTATTTTAGAAGTAATATTGACTGTTAAGCGACTTCTATAGCTTATTTAATTTAAGAAAAAAAAATTAATTGAGCTTGATAAAATCAATAAATTTAATGATACTTTTTGATTTATTAAAACAGGGAGTGTTCATATAAATAGAATATCTATTATAATATTCACATATCACTTGAAGAAATATATGTGTGAGTTAAGGAATAAATTGCTGTAAAATTCAAATCCAAAATTTTTTTGAAGTCGTTATATTGGCATTCTATTTAACCTCTGGAAAATAGTTAAAAAATGGTATTTTAATTGCAATTTTTCTTATTATTATTGAAAACAGAAAATTACAGCCATAAGAATGTCAAATTAGTACGAAGTTGTTAGCATTGAATATACAAATAATATTATGAATGGCTTCTTAATAACAGATATTAATGCAATGAAACTATTAGATTAATTTTTTATGCCAACTCATTTTTATTTCTAAATAAGTTGAATATTTGCTTTGATGAGCACATTATTTGAGATTTTGCATAGATTAAATACAAAAATTAGCTTGAATCGAGCATAGGAGACAAGAGTAAAGAAAGCAAAGAATTTTGGGAGCGAACTTGCATACATTAATAAGATGAATCTGTTTTGAATTTGATATTTTGTTTTAAATTGTGAAATTCATGATTTGGAGGTTTGATTCTCTCTCATATTAAACAATTTGAAGAATAATAAGTAATAATTATGTATTATGCTATCGCATTATCGATATCCCTATATATAAATTTAGTCTCTGATTTAAATAGAAGCAGTAAAATATATTTCCTAATCTCTAACAGGGTAATTTTATATTAAATATTAATCAAGTTATTTATTCAATTATATAAAAAACAACTGAAATAAATTTATTCAATTTTTTTCCCCTTTTTTTCTAAACGTGTATTTGAAAGATAATAAAAATAAAAGTTAAATTAATTATGATTAATTTACTCTAATAATTTTACCAATACTAGTTTTGTGTTAAATTGGATCTTGATATATTTATTGTTAGTTTTGATGCAAATAAATAATATTCTATTTACACTGCTTAATTGATAAATTATAAACTTATATTATCTCCTATTGAATCATAGCTTTTCTCTAACTAATATTTTTTTAATTAAATTAATTTAACTTTCTGATTAGAATACATTTGAATAATGGCTTTGTATTACTTCTAAGTTTACTAAACAAATAAAAGTGATTCAGACTTTATTTAGTTTTGTTTTTATATTCAAGTATCAAGCAGCATAAGATTAATTTGATCAATAAAATAAAAAAAATATATGCAATTAATTATTACTGAGTAATATTAAAATTATTATTATTAAGATTGATTAAGGAATGATGGCAAATTTCAATTGATAAACATTGATATGTCATGTGATATAATATACAAAAATGTAAATTAGTGTAATTGTCTTTCTTATACATCCTTTAACTAATAAAATTAAATATATCTTGTTTTTGGATATAGAATTTAACCCTTCATTTAGCTTAAAACTTTCAGGCTCATGTACTTATTATTCACTTATCACTATAGAAATGTAGAAATAAATTTCATTTAAGAAATTATTAAATTTATTCAGCAAATCGAAGAAATTTTTAGCTAGTAATGATATATTGTGTTTCTATGATTTTTAATATTAATCAATCGTATTTCATTGTTTTAAGTGTTCAAATATCAAAATCCCTTTAGATTTGAATAATGGTTTTAAATCTTTACCTTAATAATTTTCAAAATCTCCTTTCAAAATTAAAGCATTTGAAGCTTCCAAATTTGGATTTTGACATATTCTAAGTATTGTACGATCAATCACAGCTAAAGAATAATATGAATAAATACAATTTAAAAAAATTGAGTGATATTAAAGTGGCAATTTAAACTAAGAAAGAAGGTCTTTGTAATAATTATCTTAAGGTAGAATCTCTTGCGCTGTTTTAACATTCCAAAAACGGGTTGAATTGTCATCATTATCGGATGCTAATGTAGTAACATCAGGAGAGTAACAATTTGAATAAACTTCACTTGAATAACCATCTGATTTGGCTATTTATTATCCTGTCTTAACATCCCATAAACGGATAGACTTATCTGAACTACCAGATGCTAATGTTGTACCATCAGGAGAGTAACAAATTGAATACACTGCTGATGAATGACCATCTAATTTGGCTTTTTATTATCCTGTCTTAACATCCCATAAACGGATAGAGTTATCCAAACTACCAGATGCTAATGTAATACCATCAGGAGAGTAACAAATTGAATAAACTGTTAATGAATGACCATCTAATTTGGCTTTTTATTATCCTGTCTTAACATCCCATAAACGGATGGAATTATCATTACTACCAGATGCTAATGTAGAACCTTAAGGAGAGTAACAAATTGAATTAACAATATCTGAATGACCATCTAATTTGGCTTGATATTATCCTGTCTTAACATCCCATAAACGAATAGAGTTATCTGAACAACCAGACGCTAATGTAGTACCATCAGGAGAGAAATTCATTGATCTAACTTCATAAGAATGACCATATATTGCAGAGTACTTTCTTGTCTTAATTTTCAATAAACGTATTTAACAAACTTCACTACCGAAATAAGACACACCA